CATCCTTAGCATGTAGATTAATCAGTGCCCGACCGAGCACCGCAGCTATGGCGTGCCGCACCGGCGCAGCGGGGCTGTCGATAACTTTCCATACAAGGGTTTTGAGGTGTTCGAAGTCATGTGTGTTATCGAAGAATGGTGTCGTGGCAACCAACTGCTCCAGGCAGCGGCATGCATTGACTTGGACGAAAGTGGACTTGTCGCTGATAGCAGCGTTTCGGGCCTGCTTCCAGATGTCGCGGGCAGTTCCTTCATCGATCGGAACCCCAATTCCAACAACAACCTTGCGCATCACTGCAAAGAGAACTCCTCTGAGACCAGTATGGTTGCTTGCTGATTTGAGCAGTTTCAGTGCAGCCAAAGTCGCAACATTCGACTGCATGAACGCACTCTCGCCGGCAGTCGCAAAGACCTCCCCTAGACAATGCGCCGCAGCGAATTTGGTCTTCAATTCGGCTTCACTCTTTCCAGCGTTCAGAATAGCCAGCAGGTCGGTGATCGTTTCGAAGAGGATCCCCCGATCCCCTTTGCTGAGTATTGCGCCAAAACATCGCCCTAGATTATTGCGGAGGACTCGCGTGATAGTCGGCGAAGGGAGGTTCAATATCTTGAACAATTCCTTTTTCAGATCTTTTTGTTGCGATGTGACTTCCGCAGCTTCCAGTCCAGATATGTATTGTACGAGGTCGGAGGTGAACGTAAGCATGTACAGTTCCTGTTGTTCGGAGGGGAGGGCGTGTAGTTTAGGGATGTCGAGCTCAGGGACCCCATTTTGTGGAGGGGACGGTGCTTGAGTTATATCGGAGGCAGACATTAGATAGATTCAGGGCAAGCGTAGCTCCATAAGCAAGGAAGAAAAAAAAAAGAAAAGAAAGGGAAATATTTAGTTCACTGTAGTTGCGTCAACCCCCATCTTCACTCCTTATCGTGTGGCCTCACACGGAGATCGGATAAACAGTCGCCCGAGTGAATCTTGATGGAGATCGGATCGTCGTCTACAATAAACGAAGGAAAAGTATTATGGCTCTCAGGCTTAGCAGGCTGCTGCGGCAGCCCCGGTGGGTTGATTCTGCCTGTCATGAATGTCGCTATTTCAGCACAACCTCGACCATCTTCTCTGGTCACAACAAATGGTCCACGATTAAGCATGACAAGGCCAGAAACGACAAGGCTAAGAGCAGGGAACGGCAAATAGTGGGAAAGGAAATTGCCAGTGCTACTCAGAGTACGTATGACCATTCAGTTGTGCGCATCTCAGATCCTAATACTCTATTCTAGTGTGGGGACCCGACACGAAGTACAATCCTCGTCTAGCCCTTGCGCTGTCGAATGCGAAACGAGCCTCTATCCCGAAAATCATCATCGAGGCAGCAATTGCTCGCGGACAAGGACTTAGTGTCTCGGGCCAGGCACTAGAATCCGTGACGATTGAGGCCATGCTGCCTGGTTCGGTGGCTGCGGTTGTGGAGTGTCAAACCGATCAGAAAGCGCGTGTGCTACAGGACGTTCGCTACATGATTAAAGACAATGGAGGAATCGTCACTCCGACTACATTCCTCTTTGAGAGGAAGGGGAGGGTTGTTATGGAGAAGAAAGATGATGCGAATGTAGACGAGTACTTGGACCAAGCAATCGAAGCAGGAGCGGCGGATATCACCACCGATGACAAGGGTCGCCTCGTGATCTTGACCGATCCGTCAGAGACGAAAACTGTCGGCGAGACATTTGCAAAACTATCGGGTCTCAACATCGAGGAATTAGAGATCTTCTGGGATCCTAATAGGGATAGCATGGTCGAGGTAAAGGACGAGGAACAGGTGAAAGATCTTGAGGACCTCTTGAGTGCTCTGCGAGAAGATCCTAGTGTTCAAGATATATATCTGAACTCGATGGAGAAGTTCTGACCTCTTTTGACGCTATGCTGCGGTCAATCTGAAGCCGAAACCATCTCACATCAAGGGCCCAGTGTGTGTAAAAATATGTATTATACAGATACCAAGCATTTAACCGGCGTTATGGGAACTTTCATTTCTAGGACTGGTATCAACTCTCACCCGCCTATTATTATTACTCTTTGCGCAAAGCCTTCATTGTGCTTCTCATCAGAATGCCAGTACCCCGGCACCCAATCGCATCCAACCAGTCCAGCATATGTACGCGGTACTCCTGCCATGTAATCTTAGCACCGCCATCCTTCTCCAATGCCTGTAGCACTTTCTGGGTGACCGGCTTCCTCAATTTCGGGCGGTGATCTGCAACCTGTTGGTCCTCTTCCAGATCCGCAAAACAAGCTGCCGACAGGTTGCAGAATGCAGCGTGGTGGCTGAGAGAGAATATCGATGCAAGATTAACGTGGAAAGCGCTTTCGCGGTCGTAATGTCTGGCCGCCTCAGACAATTCCTTGATATAGATTGTCAGAGCAACGGTAGTCGGTGCTGGGACAAGGCAGCCTAGCGCGTTCGGGTCTTCGGCGTTAAGTGCACGGTTGCGCCATAGCACATTGCACATGTCCATGACATACCCGTTGAACCGACCAACCAGATCTGTTCCATAGGCCGGAGAGTTCTGTGCTTGGAGAACTTGTGAATTCAGAGAGGCCTCGAATGCAGATTTGTAGACGGCCAAGATGGAGTTGAGGCTTGAGATCACAGCGACACTGGGTGTGAAGGCGAGTGTGTATACAGTTTGCGCATGCGGAAGTGTGATGCGGAACCGGGCATCTTGAGGTGCGTGAGAAAAAAGTTCTGAAAGGGTTCTGTAGAAGTCGAGCACAGAGACTATAGCTGGCTTAGACTTTTTATCTTCGTCCTCCACTGAGAACTCTAGAATCGAAGATGCCAGGAGCTCAGCGTGCACGATGATTTGACTCAGATGGACTGATTCTTCTGAAGTATCTGACTCTGATCGAAGTTTCACGCCCCATTGGCTAATCAACGCTGAATAGAAACTCAGCAACGCTGTTCTGGAACGAAGACTCTCGTTCAACACAGCTGATTCCAATGGTGATAATAATTCACTCCGGAGTGAGGCGAAAGGTTCGATTGGGATGTACTGGAGAAGTCGGAAGACGTGGTCACGATTGTCCTTGCCATTCCATGTTTGAAGATAAGACTTCAAAAAAGAACGTATCGAGGGTGGGAGGTCCTAATGTTTTGTCAGTGTCTGAGTTGACAGTGAACTATCCGATTAATTCACCTTAGTATAGGATGCATATCCCACAACAAAATTCAACACATATGATAATGTCTCCGGCTCATCATCTTCATCCTCACGTAGAGTCTCCAATTTGTCCTCCAGGAAACTTCGCAGCCATTCATTTAGACGATGGTGTGCAAGTTCAGATTGGACCAGATGAAGGTACTTCTGAGCCATTGCATCGCCCAAAGTTGAGATAATCTGATTTGGCAACTCGATCTTGTCAAGCTTGTCAACAAAATGGCCAACGTCACGAAGCTCCTCTAGGGATGTATGCTTATGAGATACTCGTGAAGTTTGTAGAGTCGGAATAACCACTTCGATCCTACTTCTTTTCACAGTCCCGCGATGAACAACCTGGAAACTCGATCCCTGGCCGGCCTGTACTCTTTCCATATTCTGGTCTTGAAGCACCTTCACATGGCTTGACCACTCGGGATCTGGGTGTTTGAAGAAGAGGGCATTCCTTCTCGATCCTCCAAACTCACCGACAATGACCTCAGGGTAATAATTCTTGAAAATCCTCAGAAGGCTGATAAGCTCTTTGTCTTCACCGCCAGCAGTCTGAATCAATTCCATCAAGGCTTGAATCCGGAATGGCTTGACATGTTTCCGTCTTGTGAGAAGCGAGAGAAGGTGACACAGTGGTTTCCGCAGACTAATCATGTCCAAACAGTTGAAAAGAACGGCATAAAGCTTGGCGAGATGCGTCCTATCTTCGAAAAGATCATACGCAAGAATCAGCCAGCGTAATAGCAGAGCCTGCGTGGCGGGACTCGGTTTGTTCTTGCTTGGCCCAAGACAGCACACCACTTGAGTGACATTATTGGATGCGATCCTCTCCTGGGGGTACAGGTTCTTGATCAGCGTTGTAACCGTGCCTTGATCCAAGTTATTTTTTGTGGTCAGAATCTTCAGGAGACGGGCTAGCACGGGTTGCGGAATGCCGCCCTCGTACGCGTTTGAAGCGATTGTTTTGGCTAGTAGACTGGCATCTGTGTATCTCTGCTTGGGCGGGACAAACGCAACTGTCGAATCGCATTAGTAACATTCTTTACCATCCATCTCAATTGAGGGAGCTTGTTTTGCCATACCAACTTCCAAGTGCTCGACCGCATCAAGCAGGCCGCTTGGTTGGTTGCTACCTAAAGAATTGTTAGCATTGTTCAATTGGAAGAAAACGAGCAGAATTCACCTGTATCACTATCCATCTACACAAATTTTATCCTAAAATTTCCCGCAATTGGTGTGTTGTCGAGAACGGTACATAGACTGTAGTTTTTGATTTGGGGTGGTATTGGCGCGTAGTTGCGTGATGCCGCGCTTCGTCTTCAATTGCGCCCGTTGAAGAAGCAACTCAGAAGCTCCGTCGAGTGCAATTCCGAGGATCCTGAAAATAATGTGACCAAAGGAATGATTGATTTTGGTGCAGATCTAATGAGAGTCGCATAGAAGAACGAGTGCGCGCGAAGATGCGAAAATGGCGTTAAACCCAATCGGGTAACCATCAACAACGGATTGGTCTGTCATTGTTGGTCTGATCATACTAACTATCGCATTAATTTGTCTCGTCTACTTTCATGATACTGGATAAGTAAATCTCGGAAATCTAAAGTGATTTATTGGATCATAATTAAAAGAATCGGAATTAAAAATTGCTGGCTACAACTTCGTAATAAGTATCATCCGATGCCAACTAGCATCATGCCAAAAGTAGTAAATCGAGTGATGTACTACATATGCAAAGGCGTTTATCACAGGTTCATCGGCCTATAGGCTGATAAGGCCCACATCTAAACCGTTGTTCACTTCCTTTTGCGGGTAGACGACTTGGAGGTAGCCTTGGAAGAGGATTGGGTAGCCACTTCCTCCTTCTTGTCGCCCTCGATAGCAGGAGTAGGTTCCTCCTCCTCGTCACTGTCACCTCCCTGGCCGAACTCGTTGACGCGCTTATAATCAACCTTGTACTTCCAGCCCTGGTAGAGCCAGACGAAGAAGATGACATCGTCGCGGAGAGTAGCCAGGCGGTGGAGCCAAGGCATCTTGACAGTGAAGGCGAAGAGATCGTCGATGAAGGTGTTCAGGAACTTGTAGGTCAACGCCTTTCCGGGCATGTGGGCAACAGACTTCAACCGGTAGTTGATGTAGAGACTGGGAACCATCATGAGGAAGCCGTAAGCGTAGACACTACCCACCAGGGTCTGAATAACGTAAGAGTACCATGACTTGTGGGTATTGTAGACCAAGCTGTACGCGGCGTATGCGAGCAGAAGGGGAACAGCCAAAATGTACAGGTAGCGGAAAGCAATCTCATCGTACTCCTTGGTCTTTTCCTCCGTCTCGCTAAGCTTGTGCTTGTCCTCAAACACAATCACATAAGGTAAGAACGACAACTTAGAGGTGGCTGGTGGCGGGCGCAAACGAACGTCGACGGTCTTGGTGATCTTCCAGAATTCCAGAAGAATACCAAATCCTTGACTGGCCAGAATCATCCAAGAGGTGTTCTCGCTGTTGTCCATGAGGTAGAGGAAGATGACAGCCTGCATGAAGACGTTGGCCAAAATTGTCCGAACTGAAGTACCAACAACGTCCTTTTTCTTGCGCCAGTGGGCCTAGAAAGCGAGAATATTAGCGATACCATACACCACACCTTTTAATAGTGAGATATCACTTACAATGTCGTTCTTGAAGGCCAAAGTCTCGAACAACATGTGGAAGACAGTGACCACACCCGTGGTGCAGAGAAGCCAAATGTTCGTATCCAAGAGAATCTCCTTCACCATCTCCCACTCGGTTCCATCTCCACCACCGGGAGGGGCTTGCCGTAGGCAGCCTGGCGAGAACTTTGCTTCGAGCCTTCATCAACACTGCTGAGGATGTTGAACTTCCAGTTCGCCATGTTGTTGAGAGTGATATGCAACGGCACGGTCTCGACGGTAGAATTCAACTCGGTCATGTGGGTCTTCAGTTGCCAAAAGGTGTTGACAAAAGCGATCGGGTAGTACCATCCATTCTTTCCACTGGCATCACGGGCACCGGTGCGCTCCAGCTGCACATACTGGCGAACCGCGGGGTTCATCTGCGCCAATTTCTGAGTTCCGGAGTCTGGGATCAGGGACAGGGTGAAGTTGGGGTGGTAGTATGACATAGTTGAAATATCCGGGGTGTTATCTTCCTCCTGGTCTTGCTCGTCCTCGGGGCCTGACAGAAGATTCTTCAGCTTCTTGACCTTCTTCTTGGGAAGGTACTGGTTTAGAGGTCGGAGGAAATGGACTGCATCAGCGGTGTTGTAGTTTTCAGCGGCGGGGTCTAACTGGTATCCGGTGCGAGCCAAAAAGAAGTGAGCCCAAAGAGTTCCATTCTGTTGGACCTGCTTTGGGACTTTGATGGTGGTGTCGATTTCGCGAGTATCACTGTAGTTTCCAATAGTGAAGTTCTTCTCGTCCACCACAAGAACACCGTCCGGCGACTTAAAGTTGGGCACAATGATAGAGGGGGTTACATAAATGCTGAGATCGACAGCGCTGTCGGAGGGCCAGATCGGGGCGATAACCTCGGGGAGAGCACTGCGTTCGGCGACTTCACTGGGATCGGGGCGATCGGCAAAAGCGGGGATACCACCAGAATTCACACTGGGAGTGTCTGCCTTGTCCTTATTTCCCATGTACTGGTTGATGGCAAACTGGGCCACCAAGAAGATTGCAAGACCCTGAAGGGCACCCTTGAAGCCCGACTAGAAGGGGTCAGTGAATTCAACACAACAACACTAGACACTAGATCAGCGACACATACGTTGGACTCCTCCTGTCTGCGTGGCCTCTGTTCCGACATGATGGATGAGGAAAAGAAGAGAAGAAACCAAGAGGACAGCAAACATGAGCGATTAGCAGGCGATTAGAATCGAGGCCCGGGAACTTCGCGTGGTCTTGGCATTTGTCTCTCCGACCCTCCGGACATCTTCCATTCTTATACTTGTTTGCTATTAACCAGCTTTGAAATTGCAATCGCGTGATGGATAGCGCGTTCAGCTATTGGCATTGACCATCATGGACAATAACCCCCCTTTTGATGCCCGCGCGCAATTCCCGTCGCATAATGAGCCTCGGGTATGGCTGATCACCGCGGGGGATTCGCCTATTGGCCTCTCAGTCGCTCGGCAGGTCCTTGCGCATGGAGATTATGCATTTCTTGGACTAGCACATTCAGCTTTGGATCGCGATGAACGTCGCCGTGATGAATTTGAGGCTTTTCGCGCTGAAGTGGAGCACCACGGTGATGGCTGGGCACAGCGCATGAAGACAGTTCCACTAGATACTCGGTGCGCTACGTCAAGGCAGTCAAGTTAATCATGAATCTTGATAATAATGACTGACGGTTTCCCGACACAGAATGATGGGACAGTGCCAGGCAGTCGTGGCAGATGCAGTCGCAACATACGGAAGAGTAGACATACTTCTATGCTGTACAAGTCAAGGTGACTCCCCCTTCTTAAAAGGTACCCTTGTACAATATACTAAACTTCTCCCAAGCCCTCATTGGAACGGTTGAGGAACTTTCCGCTTCAACTCAAACTATGAATCTCGTGCACGATCAATTTGAGGTTAACTATTTCGGCCCCCTCAATATCATCAAAGCCACGCTCCCCCATATGAGGAGGGAGCGGGCAGGGCATGTGATGATAATATCAGGGATCAGTAAGAAATATATCTCACATAGTGCTTAAAGATTTGTCTAACGCTACACAGCGGCGCATATCGGTACACCTGGACTAGGAATGTACTGCGCAGCAGGCTGGGCCCTTGAAGGATTTTGTGATGTCAGTCTCTATACACGCATCTGGTTAAATGATCCCCATTGCAGAAACTAATCGGCTTTTCAGAGCTTGGCTTATGAAGTTGCCCCATTCAACGTCAAACTCACCATCTTCCAATGCAGCATCGAAATTGGCATCCTCACCAACCTAGTAACCAGTGTCCCTCCAATCTTCCCGGCCTATTCACCCGCCAAAAATCAAGCACCTCTGTTCCGTGGGATCCTAAACCATCTTGTCCCCCAACTTCCCGACGCATCTATCTCATCTGACAGCCCAATCACACCCAGTCGAGCAAATGATGAAAACGCCCGAGTCAGCTCCATTGAAAATGGACCATTCTCCGCTCCGGAGGTTGTGTCCATGCACCCACCGTTAAGCTCGGCACATCTGGAAGTGTTGGTCTCTGAAACAGTCTATGCCATTACATCAATTGGTGGCCATGAAAACCCTCCTTCGCGACACATTGTTGGGCAAGAAGGTGTTGCGAGTGTCAAGGAAAAGCTCAAGACGGTGAGTGAAGAGCTTGAAGACTTTATACAGGCCAGCTTTGCTGTTGATGTTGCTGCGGATTCGGATCCTATGCCCGCTATGTCTGGAATGAATGAAGGGCTTTAGTGTGGAGTACCAGCAATTACATATACATTTCTCTACTAAACGAGCTCCAGGTTTTGATAACTATGTACTAATATTGGGATTATACCTATTTGTCAACTTGTATATCACTCCAACCCTCAAGAGTTCACTCTGTTTAACTATGCTCACTAGCCCTATCGTGCCATTCCACGGGTTAGATAGGAAGGTGAGAAGGATTCTGCGCAAGTGATAAGAGTTGCCAAGGGGCAATGGAGCTTGGTAAATGTAGTTGCGCCGTCCTCTATTCCGTAAATGGGCGCCATGAGTGAGGTACTCCCTGACTAGCTACAGTTTAAGAGGAGAAACTATATACCCGCCATATATATTCCGGAATTATTCTTTAAATGCAACCTAGAATTTCTAACTTTTATACCTTCCTAAACCCCAGCTCTATATTCCGTATAAGTCGTGATTACTTCTAGCAAGCGTGATTAGAATACATTACTTTGCATTCATGCCACACTTTTATTTGATACTTTACCTGTAGGATATTACTAGACCTTGAGTTCAATTGTTCATTGCAAGCTAGCTACCTTTGTCACGCATGGACCGTTTTCAATTGTTATCTTCATATGGTACCAAGGGTAGTGTGGGTGAAAGGTATGGTGTATCGCCGTTTTTATGGTAGAAGGGGAAGGCGTGGAAGGCGGCTACTCAAGTTGTCCTTGCTGGAGGAACCAAGCCTCTCGCACATCAAAGAGGCTGCCCATGTCCTGGTTATTTCGGTAGCACCGGATTTCCTTCCAGGCATTCGCTGTACGGCCGTTCGGCATGCGGCCATCGATTTGTAGAATCTTATGGACGAGTGCTTGTGGCGAGGAGAGGCTGGGAACAATGATCTCATCCGGCTCACTGGTAGTAGCTTGAGACGGTGTGGGGACTAGATCGTTCTGTGGTTCAGTACTTGAGGGTTGAGTGATTTTGTCCTGCTCAGCCTCGACGGGTGGCTCAATTGGTGCCTCAACAGGAGCCTCTACGGAAGCCTCAACGCTGTCCGCAGGTGTATCGAACTGAGCTGTGGACAATTCCAATAATTCCGCTTTATCACTTTTGCCGTTGGCATTGGCAGTAGATGACTCCTCTACTGATGTAGACAACTCTGGCTGAAGGAGCTCTGGCGGCTCAGGGGTTGAGGAAAGCACAGACAAAGGGGATTCTGGCTGGGAGGGCTTTGGGTCGGAGGATGCTGCAGCAGCAGCTTTGCAGTTTTCTTCAATTTGTGCAGCCACGATGTCCATGAAGGAAAGAGAAGCAGTTGGGCTCTGTGCATCGCGCTGGGACTCTTCTATTTCCCGAGAAACCTCCGGTTCTTGGGGTGGCTCTGGTTCGGGTTGCTTTGGTGGGTTTTTACGTGGTCGTCCTCGCTTACGTTTCACTGGGGGCTGAGGTTCGGGCTCAGGAATTGTGCGCTTAGGTTTTTGTTTTCGCGTACCACCAGGGCTGAAAATAATAACGCTGAATGGGGATTCTTGTTGGGTAGCTTCGTCATTTGAAGGTGGAATGACTGGCTGCGTGACGGTGTCGATATTCATCTCATCAGTGGAAGATGTAGGAATCTCATGTGGCGCTTGGTCGATCCCAAGACTCATCTCGTCACTAGAATGTGGAGGAATCTCTTGTGACGCTTGATCGGTATCAAGCTTCATCTCACTATTGGAGGTTGCATTGGTGAGCTGTGATTCTGGGTCCTCATATTTCAACTGCTTATCATTCCAGGATGATATCACTGGCTCTGGCTGTATGTCGAAATCCACTTTCACATCTTCCTTTCCCTTTTCTGGTGTCGAAAGTGGCTCTGCTTTGTCGAAATTGCTGCGAAGAAAGGATCGTTCACCAGGTGGAATCGCAAAAGTCAACTTCACCCCATCACGGTCAAGAACCTGTAGCTGTCAGTAAATGGTGAAGCTGTATGCGGAGTGGAAGATCTTTACATACCTTGACTTCCTTTTCGATGACAATCCTGTCAGCCCCTCTACCGTAAACATAGTGGAATTTCCAGATGTCGCCCAGCTGGATGACACCTTCATTGATAAGAGTTCCCATCTTCACACGCGCACTTTCTCCAGCAGCTGCATTCCAGACGACCTTCTGCTTCTGCCCCCAGAACTGCTCATATTCGCGCTCTTTGAAGTCATCAAAGTCGCCGTTTTCGCGCTTCTCCCTGGCTTCTTGCGCCTGGCGTAGCCATTCGGGGTCGTAGCGGCCGTTTTGGAGGTCGAGCTGGAACTGTCGAACGCCGTCGCGCCAGTTGTTTGAATAGCGGATAAAAGAGTCGGGGATGGGTTGTATCTTTGCATCTGGGTCATCTGATGTAGCTTGTGCCTCTGGATGAACGTCTGGGGGGAGTAGAGCGAGGATGTCACGCTTATCGCTTTCCTCAAGGGAATTCCATGCTTCAGGCCGTGCCAACAGTTTCTAGACGTTTTGAGATTATTGTTAGCTTGAATACCCTCGTGGCGCATCTGCGGACAACTGGCTCATACCACTAGATCCAAGTCAATGAGGACGGACTTGTCGCTCGTCAATAGCTGCTCCTCGCTCCATTTCCCTCTAGCGGCAGGCCTTCTTGGGGTTCTAGCTCGTGAGCTGGTTTCGGACTTTGGGGTCGACATGGCGAGACCCGACTGTTCTGCTACATTGGCAGAACTAGCAGCAGCACGACTAGGACATTATTATAATACGTCAGTAAAAGAGAGAGTTAAAAAGCAAATGCGGAGCTTACCCCGAACGTCGTGGTTCTGCCGCACAGAACTTCGCTACCGCCTTCGCTCTCTTCCTCGGAGCCATTCTCACGGCAAAACAAAGGAGAGAGCGCTGTCCTTCAGAACAAGAAAGCAACGATTTCAGGATGGTCAGGTCCACGCAGATTGCAAGGCTCGATGGTAAGGAACTCTCAGGGAGGCTGTGAGGAGACGGAGTGCTGATGTCAAAGTGAAATAGGCCTTATGCTGGCGGCTTCGGTTGACGACGAGCAGGTACGTGACAACGATTATTTAAGCTGGTCGTGAGCTTACAATATATGTAGGCTGAATCAGAGCTCTCTGAGATCAAGGGTCAGGCTAAAATGATATTTCGGCGCTTGAATCGCAATGCCGCACCCCAAGCCAGTATTGAGTCTGGCCAATACAGTCTACAGTAAGTTACACCCATCAGTCAACAAACATTATCAATGGGCAATTTCTCATATGGCTTGCAGTTACACAATTCAAGATGATATCTGCTTCCTTTGCATTTGCGACAAATCCTACCCCCGCAAACTCGCATTCACCTATCTCGCTGATGTGGCCACCGAATTCACAACTACCTATACCTCCTCACAATATCTCTCACCCACCCTCCGTCCATATGCTTTTGTCGAGTTTGATACCTTTATTCAGCGCACAAAGAAACTGTACCAAGACAGTCGCGCAACTCAGAACCTCGATAAGCTGAACGATGAGCTCCGTGATGTCACCAAGGTGATGACGAAGAACATCGAGGACCTCTTGTACCGAGGCGATAGCTTGGAGCGGATGGGTGAACTGTCAGGGCGACTGCGCGAGGACAGCAAGAAGTACAGAAAGGCGGCTGTACGCATCAACTGGGAATTGTTGCTGAAGCAGGTGGGTCTATGCTTTACGCTAGATTTCCCCTGACCGATTAACTAACCATCTCACAGTACGGACCTTTCGCTGGCGTCGGGCTTGTCATTTGCATTCTTCTTTTCTGGCGATTCTTCTAATTCCTTGCTCTCCGTGGCCATGCTCCTAGGCCTCGCTGTATGAATGTACGCATAGTTAATACCTCGGTGATTGCGGGTTACAATCCGCCGATTCTAGAATAAGGAGAATTGCGTGTGAACATGTATCTTATTTGATGATACCTAAATCTCATCCTCTTCCTCGTCGAAATCATCTTCTTCTCCCATGTCGTAAAGAATCCGGCCTCCTTCGCCTGGGCCATCGTTATGCTGTGCGTCAAAGTATGGCAGCACAACACCTTCTCTTTCGCGCCTCTGTCGGTCAGTGAGACCCAGCTCGAAGGTTGATGTCGGTTCCTCATCGCCGGCTCCTGGATCTCGCTCCATGGGAGGGTTGTACAAGACATTATCGTCAAGCAACGTCACAATCTCTTTCAGATGTTGTGGCGAATACCGCGACGCAGGCGGGAGGAGGTACCATTCCAGTACACCACGACCGCTCTTCCGCCTATGCTCTAGCTCAATGACAATCCCCTCAGCTTTGCCGGTGCCGGCCAGTCTGTCCAGTCGGCCGAGGAGAACCCCTTCTTGCTCTTCCTCAAGCCCGAATACTGGAGGGGCCAGACTGCGGTCGCGAGCAGCCTTCTGTGCTAGGACATGCGAGAATGAATGCAGGGTGATGATACTTGTAGCAAGATATGTCAATACAGAAATAGGTGATGGTGAATAGGGGCTTTGCTGTGGAAGTTCGGGGACATCTTGATGATATGTCACCACGAGTGATGCATCAACCTTAGCCGATGGCGACAAGGGAGCAATAAACGAGCCAAGGAAGGAGGGCAGGTGGAACCCAGGGTCAACTCTTTTTGAGTTGAGGAGAGGGTTAATTGAATCAATGAGGATAAGACGCCCTATAAAGGCAGTAAGTATGAATTCACTAGTGGGGAAAATGCACAATGCTTACTGCGTGAGGGATTGGAAGCTGCAGCAGACTGATAAACTGCGCTCACTTCTTTAACTATATCGGCAGGGCTCTTGCGTCGTGTTGATATAAAAGCATCGACTCCATCGGGTTGCTTCAGGGTTTCGAAGGCGATGAGTGTGACATGGACTTTGGACAGCTGTCGAACTAGTCAGCAAGGCTGTTGATCTGCGTAAATAGCAACGCAGGTGTCGCTTATGGCATTCTAAGTTAATATATACCTTTGCACGTCTAATATATTCTTTTAGGAGTGGCGTAGCCGGCTGCTCCAAGGAATCCAAGACAAGTGTGAGGGGCGACGCAGTGTCGCGCAAGCTCAGGAGTTTCGAAATCAAGAGTAAATTGTGCGTCCGCCTGTGTGAAAGGTTGATAGGCGCCATCTTTTTCTTGATATTCGATATTGTTGTCGTTCAATTGCTTTCTGGAGACGCAGGTTGAAGACCACACAGGAAGTGGGGTTGCGCTGCGAAAATTTCGTGGTGGGATTTAAAGTTGGGGCTCGACGGGCCGGTCCGCGGGCTGCAGCACTTCATGCCCTTCGTGCCGTTCATATTTATCCCCGAGGTCCTTAGCGGCCTTTCTGGGTCGGTGGGTCAGTCTGTGTGTGGATAATATAGACCTATTGTATCAAGTCTGTCGGAATAATTCTCTCTTGAAGTGGTAATCACCTATAAGCTTTGGTTGCTCCATAAATCTTCCCATGGAAGCCGAAGGAGTGAAGGAATAGGTATGTAGTGTTAAAGATATAGAAACAAGTCAGATTTCTGGAATCAGCAAGCACTTCTATGCAATAAAATTGAGCGTTGAGACCCGACCGTTGTTTGGAATACTAATCTCCTATTATTATGATGATATCCTCAAGCAACCCAACAATACAGCCAGGGTGGCTACCCGACAATCGATACAGCTGATGGGCACTATCAAGTATAATAAATAGATAGATACTGAATTCTGGTAGGTAATGAGTTAGGTTAGTGACAATTCATTCGAGACACAGAAACCTTGGAAGCTTTGGATGGACAGTTGCTAGGAAAGTTAGTCCTGAGGAATACCTATCCGAGAATGAACAAGCAAAGATGAATATCTCTGAGGGAAATGAAACTAAAATCGAAGGAGGCATTTTTTTTCTCGTCATATATATATGACGGATTATGATGGGTATTACTTCTAAGATACTCTGTGCAAGCACCAGTCACACCTGATGTTGCCTTTTCTGACTACATGACGGAACCCAGTAGTTATACATTTCTTTACAATGTACCTTAAAGAACATCATAAAACATTCATTTTTTTGGAGCCTCGGCTGCCTATACCAATTTCCAGGCAGCTCCGCCCAAAACGAACTTAGCGCCTTATCTGCCTGGGACTAACCCGTTTCTGCCTGGACTCCGCCAAGACCGCGCGAGTACAAAAGCCTCCTGCGGACAGGAATGATTGAATATTATTGTCCCAGTGTTCTACGTCAATATGTCTTTAATTCCCAATCCGCAGCTTCAAATGCCGGGGTTCAATGTGAAGTTGACCTGCCAGCCCGATGTGAGAATCTGTATCTTCTTTCCACAAATGCCATTCGCTAACAAACCAGAAAAATGTGGTGTACACCGGCCATCACGGCTTTCCTAATGCATTGGATGATGATGCACTCGAAGAAGGCTACTTGGAGTATGTTTTAATTGTATTACGCGCGGGATGCGGAGTTGACCTTGCTCTCCAGTGACTTAGTGACGCATCGAGAAGTTCTGATGATGCGAGTGATGAACACCATTACCGATAAGCCCCAATGGGATCAGAAGGTGTGTTTGGGCTTTATTTTTGTTACCTTCCATATTTGTTTCTAACGTCCTATAGGTCTTTGATAATGACATCACAACAAAATGGCGCGACGAGATTGCCCAAAGTGGCCAAGATGTGACTCCTACGATGATGGACTGGATCATCAAGGAGCTTCAATGGAAAGCCAACGTTCTTAAAGAGACGGGCTATGTCGGTGTTTTTGATGTGGGCGTGATCAAGTCTGATACAGCCGTGTCGAAAGAGCTACAACAATCACTGAAAGAGGCAGTAAAACCTCTCGAGGATATGTCGGAGAAAGATTACCACCCCGGGTCTGATAACAAAGTGGTTGACCTGGTACATCCCTCACTGTTCCCCGTGATCTACGGCCAAACTCGCGTGCTTCCAGACAGAGTCATTGGCCCTCATGACTGTCTAGGAAGCGTTGGACAAGGAGATCTTGTCCCCATTCCTTTGAGTCAAGATTGCGGGCCACTATTGTGTAGCCAACATGACTATGACTCCAATGAGGAAACCCGTGTCTTCAGTGATAAGTTTCAATGGCTCCCGTGCGATGTGGAACTCGGCGATGATGGCGGCTGTCGAATCGTGTCATACATCAATAACGCCCACCCTGTTCACCATAAGCCTCTCTATGAGGTCGTTGAGAAAATTATTGCTCAGGCAATCCCGCTCTGGAATCACAGTCTGTCCAGATTTGTCGTTCCAAGAATCGAGTACAGCGAGGTCATATATGGTGAGCATCCAGAGCCTAGGCCTGTTCAGCCGGAGGGGCATGTTCACTACAGCCATGCGTTCTGGGAACTCCATGATCAGTGGGAGAGTACCCGTCCTATTATTCTGCCTGAGCCAGTCAGCTTTGAACCTCGAAAAGAAATGTACAGTGCTAATCTACGCGAGCAATTTCCCGACAAGAAGTTGCAGATCATCGTGAAGCTGGCGAACATTGAATTGAGCCCGGACAACCCTCAGTATGAAGGAGGCTCTTGGCACATTGAGGGACAGTTGGTAAGAGTTTTGCACCCTTTGGTTAACTGTGTGTATATTCTAATTTTCAACAGAACGAGCGCATCTGCGCTACTGCAATCTACTATTATGACAGTGAAAACATAACCGATAACACCTTGGCATTTCGTCAACGCGGTATGATGGACATGCTAGGCATTTCATACCCCCAAGGGCAGTTCAATTTCTTACAGGCCGTCTTTGGCTTTAGCGACGATATTGGCGGCAGCGGAGACAATCGCGATATGACACAAGACCTTGGGGCCGTCGCTTGCAAAGAAGGTCGGCTACTTACCTTCCCGAACACCGTGCAGCATTGTGTTTCCCCATTCTCGCTTGTCGACCCGTCTAAGCCCGGTCATCGTAAGATTCTCGCGCTATTCTTAGTTGATCCCCATCGTCGGATTATCTCCTCGGCCAATGTCCCTCCGCAGCAGGAGGATTGGGGTTACGAGAGACAGAATGCTGTGAATCAGGCCTTGGCAAGTCTGCCATTGGAGCTGCAGGATATCGTTCAAAATGACTTGGGGCCTATTATGACCATGGAGAAGGCCAAAGAGTACCGATTGGAGCTCATGAAAGAGCGTGGGCACAGATCGGGAAAACACAACGATAACTTTGAGGCTGGAAGCTTCAATCTGTGTGAGCATTAAATACGAACTCGGATAACCTAGTCGACTCTGGTTCATGGCGTGCTTTTATCGGTTTACCCGTGTAAAGATTATTCATTAGTATTAGGATTACCTACTTCCGATTTTAAAATGGGTATTGTGTAACTTCAGTCTGTTTTAGATTCTCAAGTTCAGAGTGGCATAAGATGGAAGAAAAAAGTCAATTCAAATGTTCAATTTCGTCATCTGGTGTGTATTTATAACGATTGTATCCTAAGATGCACACCACGGGACATCGCTGAACTATCAATCTTTATCTGCATGTGTCTCGTGAACCTCCGTCACCTCTCCCTCATACGGATCAACGACAGTAGTCGCAAACTTCCTTGCTGGAACTCCGCGCTCAAAGAGCAAATCCAGTTCTTCGTATGTGCGGCCCTTCGGCTCGGGGAGTCGGAAGAATGCCCAGACCAGGGAGGCTAGACACGTACCAGCCCAGAAGTAGGCACACCGAGCACCCCAGTTCCAGGCTGTGGAATTGAGCTGGTAGTTGGTCAGAACGTTGACGACAATGTTACTGATGTTGTATAGACATCGGGCGAGGACGATAGTCTTAGCCTTGAGACGGGTGGAGGATAGTTCTGAGACGAGGGAGTATGTGACAGGGCCGACGCTAATGTCATAGCAGAACGTGAAAATGATAAGCATGACGCCGATCGCCCATTTAGCTGCGTTGTTGTCCCCCGGAGCAAAAGAGAGAGATCCTGTGATGACTAGAAGGACAAAAAGACTGGCGAGACCGGAGATATGGATAGTTCGTCGGCCCGCGTAGGACATCAGGAACCATGATCCTATTGTACCCAAAACGCCAAGGCCGTATTGCCCCAGGGACAAATTAAATGATTGAACGGTGGGTAGGCCCGCTTGAACACAGAAGTAGGCAAAATAACCCATCAAGTTCTGGCCACACAGGGTCTGCACTAACCAGACAAGACAAACTACTTCAGTGCGGCGAAGGTTTGTTCCCTTGAAGCAGTCCCAATATGTGGTCCCACTAGAAAGCGATTTCTCCAACTCGTTGGTGTGTTGAATCATAGCAATTGTCTCTTCGGGGTCAAAGTTGGGGTCATTGGATGACGTCAACCGCTGCAACGCTCGTCGAGCTCCTTGCACATTACCTTGGCGCACATGCCACCAAGGGGACTCAGGCGCGAAAAGACAACCGATCATGATTGGGATTGGCCACACCCATTGTACACCAAAAGGAATGCGCCAAGCCCATTGGTCATCGCGAGAAATGGAGCCACGGTTGACACCAATGGCCACAAACTGCCCAAATACCCAGCACATGTTGATGAAAGTTGTCAGGTAAGGTCGAAGGACTACCGGACAAACCTCGGAGGCGTAGGCCGCTGGCAATGTCTGGAAGATACCCCAAGGGATACCGGCGAGAATCTCGGCAGCTAGCAACATCTGAACATTGACTGCAAAGAAAAACAGAAAAATGACCGCTGTGATGGTGGCCAAGGCACAGACCATGGTCTTGCGATACCCCAGGCGTTCAGAGACCAAACCATTGATGAGAAGTCCAATGACTTCACCGCAGCGTGCACCATTAGAAAGGCCGGATTGCCAGGATGCCGGAACAGCCCATTTCCCCGAGGCAGTCTGTACCCCGAACTTTTGGTTGAACACAGGTGATGCGTACATTGAACTCAGCAATGCAAGGTCATACCCTTCCATGATCAGAGTAGACGAAAGGAGAACTGACCAACCGACAGCCTTGGGGTATAGCCGCAAAGCCTGCCATAGGGTCATGGACTGCTCCTTCCTGGCTGCTTGTCTACCCTCTGCAAGGACGGGGGAGACTTTTCCGTCCATTCTCGCAGATGCGTCGTCCATCGAGACCAGTTGAAAAACTGCGCCGTGATTTCGAATCTTACTGGACCCTTTGGGTATCGCACGCTAAACAAGGTGTTTGAAACAGGGCTTTTGTCGTCACGGCCTGGTAATAAAATCCCGATACTTCAGGCATTATCAAAGCCGATAGACCACGGGGCAATGCGCCATTTATACAGAAACATCCGAAGAAAAATAAAATCTACGCAGAGTCCAGTTCACGCGCATCGCTGATCTGGGGAAAGTGCATATGGTCTGTTACTTGCTTCCGAGGATTTGGAGAAAACCGGGGAAGCCGAAGTGCGGAGGTCTAACCGTAGCCAATCATCTGGCCGGAAAGGAGTCTTTCGGTAGCAAGTCGGTCGTTAGTCGGAGCTGCAGCATCCCGTCGGAGGCTTGGCGGGTATGCAGGGTTCCCTGAAGATATCCCCGCGTTTGCCCAGGCCGAGTTGGTGCCGGATTATGATAAAAAAGATATAAGAGGGGTGTTTGGATGGAAAATGAAGGTGTTAAGCCACTATGTCACCACACGCGACGCATAGTACAGTCGTTCCTACGGGGACCAATAACTGGTGGAAAGAAGCCACTGTCTACCAGGTTAGTCGCCACAATATCCAGGCATTCACGAAAACATAAAATTGACGTTGTCAAAGGTATACCCGGCTTCCTTCTATGACTCCAACGGTGATGGCTGGGGCGATATCCCGGGCGTTGTCAAAAAGGTCGATTACCTTCAGTCGCTAGGGGTTGATGTCGTGTGGCTATCGCCGATGTATGACTCGCCCATGCTCGACATGGGCTATGACGTCTCCGACTACGAAAATGTGCTTCCTGCTTATGGAACCGTACAAGACGTGGAAAACCTCGTGGAAGCTTGTCACTCGCGAGGCATGAAGTTGATCCTAGATCTAGTTGTCAATCACTCCAGTGATCAGCATGCTTGGTTCCAGGAAAGTCGGAGTAGCAAGGATAATAACAAACGCGACTGGTACTTCTGGCGTCCTCCTCGATATGATGAGGAGGGGAATCGGATGCCTCCAAGTAATTATCGCGGTTATTTTGCAGGAAGCACATGTGAGTTGAAATATTTGATAATATCCGAGATCTTCTAACCAAGCTTTTGCATAGGGACCTGGGACGAGAAAACGGAAGAATACTACTTGCATCTCTACGCCAAAGAACAACCAGATCTCAACTGGGATAACAAGGCCACGCGTGAGGCTATCTACAACAGCGCGGTTCGGTTCTGGTTAGACAAAGGTGTCGACGGGTTTCGAGTGGACACAGTGAACAAGTATAGCAAGCACACAAACTTCCCAGATGCCCCCATCAAGGATCCGAAAAGTTACATTCAGCCTGCCATTGAAATGTGGTGCAACGGCCCCCGGATCCACGAGTTCCTGCGCGAAATGTATGACGAGACATTTGCTCCGTACGGAGATGTCATGACTGTGGGCGAACTGGCCAATACACCCAATCCAAAGAACGTCCTGGAATATGTGGGAGCGTCAGCAAAGGAGCTGAGTATGGTCTTCCACTTGGACATTGGCCATATTGGCATGGGACCCAGCCTGGAGGAGAAGTACATTTTTACGCCGTGGAAGTTGACAAAGATGAAATCCATTGTGGAGAAGTGGCAGACTTTCATTGAGGGAACGGATGGCTGGACCACCGCCTTCTGTGAAAACCACGACAACGGACGCTCTGTCTCGCGGTTTGGATCGGATGCACCTGAGTTCCGGGAGACCTCTGCCAAAATGTTGGCTCTGATGATGGTTACCATGACTGGGACTCTGTTCATCTATCAGGGACAGGAGATTGGTATGATCAATGCACCACGCGAGTGGCCCATTGAGGAATACAAGGACATTGAAGGATTAGGATATTACCGAGAAGCAGAGCAACGCAGTGCAAGTGGAGCCGATCCTACTCGCAAAAAGCACATTATGGATGGCCTCCGGATTCTGGCTCGCGATCATTCCAGGCTGCCGATGCAGTGGGATGACTCGGAACATGCTGGGTTTACTACCGGGAAACCGTGGATGCGAGCTCATGATCTTTATGGTGAGATCAATGTAAAGAGGCAGCAGAATGATGCATCAAGTGTGCTGTCTTTCTGGAAAGATGTTCTGCGTCTGAGGAAAGAGTACCGGGAGTTGTTTATTCACGGTGCATTTGAAGTGCTTGACTACGAGAATCAAGAGACATTTTGCTTTGTGAAGTCGAGAGATGATGAACGAGCATTGGTTATTTTGAACTTCACTGATAGACCCCAGCCATTTACACAGGCTGAGAAAACCGCGGGTATGAAGTTGCTTGTGGGCAACTATTCCGATTCATCGCTAGAAACCCTAAAGCCCTTCGAAGGACGCGTCTATATTTGAGATATATCCTATGAAATACGAATCAGCGATATATGGATTACTATGAATATTGATTGAGATGTAACTTTCTCTGATGGTATTCTACATATGACCTACAATATTTCCTCATGTCAGTAGTTTCTTAGCAATGCACAGGTTGTAACTAGTCTATTAGGAACCGCTCAAAGGGATTTGGCTGAGCGCCTGGAAGCTTCTTCTCATTCTATAGAAATACGAAGGCTGTAAAGAGGTGATTTCCACTACAAATAGAAAGGATAGACAAACTTGGGGGCCAGAACAGAATGTTTAGGCCTGACAAATAAGGCCATCAGATCCATTTCCTCCGGCTTCTTCCCGACTTCCCCCGCAACCCCGGATATTTGCATTGTGCTAGTTCCTCTTGGTATATTTAAACCTGACCTTCCAGATGCCAGACCCACCTATCAAACAAGCATGTGATGCATGTCGCCGGCGTAAGGTCAAATGCATTTTCCCAAAACCTTGCGAGCAGTGTCGGGCTGCCGGCCTTGTGTGTCGGACGTCTTCGCTGCGACAGAAAAAGGGGCGACAGGGCCAAACAGCCAACGTCCTTAATGAGCTCAGAGCGAGCGAAATCGACCAGGAGTTAGTGCGGGGTGCGAATATTTCTCCTCCATCAGCAGCTCTCAGGTTTGGAGATAACATACCGACGCCCCAGCCATTACGAGCCTCGGGAAGATGTCAGTTCTTGAAAATCCCGGGCCTTTTAAGCCCGCAGCTTGTGGATGCCTGCTCAATATATTTTTTTCTCGCGAATGAGAGGAACGGTGCCCATTTTGCAACCCGGTAGCTTTCGAAAACAGGTGGACCTTGCCGATACATCCCTCCATGCTTATTGTTTCGTCACTGCTGTCTGCGCTTTTGTGGTTACTCAAACTGGATTTGCCGTGGAGCACGCATCCTCGGAATCCTCTCGAGACTTTTGTACTGAAGACTACCGAAATTCTCTTATTGAGGAAGCCACCGAAGCTCGAAAGCATATCGATCCATTCACAGATCCTGTACGGCAAAACATTACCATCGCTTTTCTTCTGTATGGATGTCATATTGGACTAGGAAATCAACGACATGCATATTACTTTCTCCGCGAATCCACGACGCTTTATACGGCCAGCGCTTTAGAAAGTCAAGCATCATCGGCGCAGGTGGATGACGATGACCCTTCCTTGGCAGGGAAATTGTTTTGGCTATTAGTGGTGTCCGAGAGGTATTTTCTTCGCCTATTAAGTAGTTATTTGCTAATGCAGGGACAGAGCCCATGCGATCCGCCGACATAGACCAATTACGCTGCAGGTCACTCCCGACAGCCCTCAATTAGAAGACGATGCACTTCCAACGCAATTGGAAGATGATCCACTTGCAAATGCGTCAGCCATTGGGTTTCGGTGTCTGGTAAATCTCTACCGTCCATTTGATGAAGGTTTTCTGAGCCAGTGGAATGGAACCAATGCCACATGCTCGATTGAGTCACTAGTTCGCCTTGAGGAGCGGATCCAAAGTGCAGTCCCGGCGGACCTCGATCTGCCTGATATACTCATGGCGGACTTACGTGTCTCCCAACAGTGGCTGCGTATCATGATATGGCAGCTTTCTACAACTGCTGGATTTCTTTCGACAAATCCTACTCATGAATCCATGGATTTTCGATACCCCCTCATAATTGCTCAAGATCTCTGCTTCGCAACATGGAAATTATCCAGGCAGAGTATGGAAACCCATGGAATTGGTCTTGTATGATTCACTCTTATCAAAATACCCAGCCTATTCTAATGGATTGTAGATTGAAAAAATATTCGAGGTCGCGTGCACCTTGATTGATGTTATGGCATGCCTCTCAGCGGCTGGGCTCCGTTCTTCGGGATTCAAGCTTGGCCCGCTGGATTATCTCAAGCATTTCTTCACTCTCATCCACGATCTTCCCGGAGGACGGCGAAGGTTTCTTCCACTGCTACTTACCAAAATAGGGCAAACTCTGCCATCCATGGTGGACACTATCACCGTTCACCTGAAACTCCAACCCGGCCTCCTCGTTCCGAGCTCTACCAGTGAGTCATCAATATCCGCTGGTGTCGGAAATGACAGCTCAATTGAACAGTCGTCCGCAGAATTAGTTTCCGAGTCTGAAAATTGGATGAATAGTAACTTCAACTATGCGGAGATGAGCCGTATCGGTGAGAAAACACCGGAGATTGATGAGGCATTTCTCCAATACTCCAGTTACTTTCCCTGAGGCCGGGCAAGTATCCGGTACCTATCGATATCGGAAACCGTCAAAGCATTTTTCTACAAGTCTTCGATCTTGATTGAGTTCTTCCGGTATTTCCTCCGGACCAAGTTCGACAACGATACTAGCTGCGTGGCCGACACTGACAAGCGGAAATTGTTCTCTATGTAGAGATCCTGCAAAGTCTTTTTCCTTGCTCTCAAAACTGTCTGCAATGTGGCTATCTCGACCGCCAATGATCTGGTGATTGGGGTTTCACAGCAGGCATTGACTGAAGAGCCCCCTTTGTGGCTGTCCTAGGTCCAGGCGCAGTCCCTGGATCTTGACGTCTCCGGTTGGACGACTGGAAATATCACTCGTCTTGTTATTGTACTTGGGCAGATCACCCATACCGCATGGGTATAGTTGAGTCGCTAAGCCGAGGCATGAGAGATACCCATTCTCGGGACCCAGAATCAAACACGGCCTGTGCTTCACAGTCTGGGCCCGGGAAATACCCGAATGCCTGAGATAGGTGTCTGAGTTCCTGACAGCTTGTCTCCAAAACAAGTTTCTTCCTATATCTCTACCTGTTGCCTTTTTGGTATAAATCATGCAAATCAAGGGCGTGGACTTTGCGTTACCGAATCATACTACTATTTTGAAGTTTTTTGACCTTTTAGACTAACGCAAACTGTGATGTGTCCAATATCAAACAATTGGTCATATCTTACTCTTGGCCTCTCTCGTTATTTGGCACAAGGTTCTTGTCACTTCAACTTGATTTATAGCACGCATCCTCTTTTAGGTATAGATGGGCGTCAATTGTGTCTTCAGGGCCCCATTATTATGTTCATTTTCGCACGGCCTACTGAGGCTAGCTCTTGGCGCAAGCTAGATGCACTCCGGTCCAACTGAGAATCAAGTAGAGGTTACTTTGCGAGATGATAAATAATCAAAGGTAGATAGATGATATTGTATGTACAGAGGAGGTAGTGGACGGCCTATGAAAGTCCGGTACGTATGTACCGGAGGGAGCACAAATATACATATAACTAGCTGCATATTTAGCATATATTGAGCGGGTTTCCATTCGTTTATTCAAAGCTACGGTATTATCAAAGAATTCATCGGTCATTTACTCTCAAGTATCCAAGCAATTATTAAAAATGAATCAAAGCTGTCCAAGTCCATGTTGTTTGTAGAGTCAGGTCAGTTAGTTATAGCTCGGTCACCTGCCATGTCACAAAGTGCGCAACTGGTTTCTTCCCGCAGCCGGAATAAACTTCTCTTTGGTCCTGAGATATTCAGGTCAACACCCATTGCGACAACTTGATACCCTCTACGTTTACATCCCTAAGAGCGTTCGCTTTTCTACTCGTTAATCCTGTTCTAATCGCTCAAGCTCTTGAAATTTGAGCAAGGCCATCCTCATCTGCCCCCAGCAGCAATAAACACCCACACCGTACAGGTCAACGCCCAAACCAGACCAGGCCTTTTCCTCAATGGCGGAGCCACCTGCAAAGCGTCCTCGCCGAGTTGACAGCTCTGCCATGTGGGATTCAAATGATAAACGGCCTCGTGCGCCAGATCAAGAGTCAGACCGTGACCGCAGACGTTCACCAGCTCCACGAGATGACCGACGCGACGGCCGGTATCGCTCTCGCTCGCGAGAACGCAAAGATGGAAGGCGAGAACGGAGCTGGTCTCGAGATCGCCGCGACCGAGACCGACGAGACGGAGACAGAGGTGGGCGCGGGGCCCAAGACCGAAAGAGGAGCACCAGTCGGGAGCGCAACCAGGATAGACGAGGTTGGTGAAATATTTAGTTCAGTGGAGTATTTGTGCATTGCTAACATATGAATATCAGGTAATGCACCCAAAAGCGTTAAGTTCCGCGAACGTTCGCGCTCCCGATCTCCGCCTCGCAATGGCACAAAGGCCCGGTCACCCCCTCGAGGCCCCAAGAGTGACCGCAAAGATCCTCGATCGCGAGATGATGGGCGGAAGTCAACTGGGGCACAACGAAGACCAGATCGCAACGAGGATGAGATGGACGTAGACTTCAAGGAAGATGCGGACGAGGACGAAATGGAGGCACAAATGCGAAAGACCATGGGCTTCAGCCGGTTCCGAACTACAAAGAACACCAAGATCCCCGGAAACAACATCTATGGTGTGCGGAAGGAGAAGAAGATCGAGTACCGACAGTACATGAACCGCCAGGGCGGTTTCAACCGGCCTCTCAGTCCCTCGCGATGAATCCTCACTTCTTTACTATTCCAATGGCCCCCCACTTTCTTTGTATTCAAAACACTGGACATTTTTTTCTGCCATCCTTTGACACGACATGCATTTGCGGAGTATTGTTTTGTTGGCTTGATATTTCACCTTTCCATTCAATGGCCCAAGCCATTGTGAATTTACTACGAATTAGTTCAAACCAAAAAGAAAAAAAAAAAAACTCTTCTGAATGATTCCCTATATATAGAAAAGACCGGTCATGGTGGACTTGATTGCGGATGCGACATGTGACTGGGCATAGATCTCCAGTGACGTAGGCATCTCTGTATCCAAGCACACCTGTGGTCTAAACTTGTCAGTTACAACTTCCTACGGCTTCCAATACAGTGGCTTCGTTACGATCATTAACGCCCAATATAACGCCAAATTTTAAGATGTCGACGACAGGAGACCGGCGTGAGATTGTTATTGTTGGTAAGGATAGAGTGGTTGCGACTTTCGTACCCCGCGCGCTATATTCGCGACTCGCTAACCGAAATACTCACAGGTGGTGGCATCATTGGATGTTGCTCTGCATACTACCTCACCAGACACCCATTCTACGACCCTGCCCGCCACAAAATCACACTCATTGAGGCCTCTGAAATTGCAGGCGGAGCATCGGGAAAGGCGGGTGGTATGCTGGCGCAATGGGCTTTTCCGAGCAATCTCGTTGGTCTCAGCTATAAACTGCATGCCGAACTTGCAAAAGAGCACGATGGTATCAACCGATGGGGATACAGAGAGGTCAATTGTGGCCAACTCGTCGTGAGAGGTCGTGCTCTTGCCGAGAATACTGCAGGGAAAGCCGGGGTGGGAAATACAGAATCCCTCCAGAAACGCAGTACAGCGGCTATGTCTAAGCTGAGGTCTGCCAAAATACCCCACGACTTGGATTGGATTGAGCCAGAGCTTCTTCGGGCCTATGAAAGTATGAGTGGACCGGGCGAAACTGCTCAAGTGCACCCATACCTCTTTACTACATCCATTGCAAAGCTTGCGGAGGAGAAGGGTGCAAATATCATTCTTGGACAGGTTACAGATATCAATCGGTCAAAGAGCTCTGTCGAGTCAGTGACATACACCGATAAAACATCCTGTGAAACACAAACCATCGCCGCTACCGATGTGCTCGTTGCTGCTGGTCCCTGGACGAACACTATCCTCCCGGAGGTCCCGATCTCAGCCATGCGGGCTCACAGCGTGGTGATCCAGCCCAAGAAACCAGTCAGTGCATACTGCCTGTTTACAAACATCGAAATCCCGGCCGACTTCAACCCCGAAAAGAAGTCACGCCCAACTGTGGCTACGCCAGAAATCTACGCACGGCCTGATGCCACTGTCTATGCATGTGGCGATGGAGATAGAACAGTTCCACTACCAAAGACTACTGCAGATGTCGAGGTTAACCAGGAACGCTGCCAGGAAATCATCGACCATGTGGGTAGTATTTCTGACGAGCTGCGCGACGGGGAGGTTCGCACTCGCCAAGCCTGCTATCTTCCAAACTGTGATTCTGGTGCTGGGCCACTAGTTGGCCTGACTGATGTGAAGGGACTGTATATTGCAGCTGGCCATACCTGCTGGGGTATCCAGAATGCGCCGGGTACAGGGAAGCTCATGAGTGAGTTTGTATTTGATGGCAAGGCGAAGAGCGCGAAGATTGGATCGTTAGATCCACGCGAGTTCATCTGAATACCATACTTGATACCACAGTATCTATAATAAGAAAGACAGCACTTATTTACAAGATTTTGAATGCATTTTTCATGAGACATAACTAGTAAGCTCGTGAACAAGCGTGTAAACGAGGGGAGCACTAAAGCGGAAAAGGAAAGGCGGGTGACGTTCGTTGGCATTGTCCGGTACACATGTGAGACTAGTCTTAATGAAGTAGGCGGTAAGTGGAAATACGTACATACACCTATAGCTCAATGCCGCGGAGAGGACAGCAGTCAATTGACTGAGGCTACATAATGCGTCACCTCAGAATTTCAGCGTTATTGACTTCGCTGCTTTGTGCAACTGGGATTGTTGCAAGCGAAGATCCCAATGATGTGTCCGTTTTGATTAGAGAGGCTGGACGCGCCAGCAACGAGTCCCTGCTATGGGGTCCCTACAAGTCGAATCTCTACTTTGGAGTGCGTCCTCGCATTCCAAAGAGTCTTACAGCAGGATTGATCTGGGGAAAGGTTGACGATTATGCCGGTGCTCAACAAAGTATGTGATATTTGGTATCTCAGCTCCATTGGTGAACTTTGAAGCTAACATCCACCTAAGACTTTAGACATACATGCGAACAAAATGAAGGAATGACCGGGTATGGCTGGGACGAGTACGATATCCGCAAGGGTGGACGGGAAACCATTCACGACGCTGGGAACAGCTTGGACTTGACAATCGATTTCATCAAGGTTCCCGGTGGTCAGCACGGAGGTAGCTGGGGATTCCGAGTTAAAGGCACGCCCACAGAGGGTGCAGACCCCGACCAGCCCGTCTCGGTGATCTTCTATTCCACTCTTGAAGGCTTCGGTCACTTGGGAGCTGATTCTTCATCCTCTGAGTCCACTGGCGTGGAAGGCAATGTCAAGCTCGAAGGATACTCCACTGAACTTGGTGATTTCGCTATCGATGTCACCACTGGACCGGAAACCAATTCGTACCCCCGCTACAATCATCCTAGCTCCACAGACAAGCCATTGGATCGCAGCATTGTAGCTAGTGTGGCCTTCCCAGAGGAGCAACTTTGGCAAGCAAAGGGAATCTTCTTCACTCAATTGAAGGCGGAGGTGGATGAAGCCCTTGAAGAGTACGGAAAAGAGAACATTTCTCCCCCAGCCCAGCTGTTTACTATCAAGCATAAGCCTGGCCAGGGCAATGCCCATCTTGTCCAGAAGGTTTTCACAGGTGCATTCGAGTTCGATGTCCTGTTCTCCTCTGGCTCCGCTCCCGAGCCGTTGACTTCGGAAATCCTCACTAAGGAAATTGAGGATGCTTCGGCTTCATTTTCTGAGACCTTTGAGCAGCTGCTCCGCCACAGGCGCCATTTGACTCGCCGAAGTACTCGGGCTTCTCCAAGGCAATGCTGTCTAACCTTATCGGTGGCATTGGATACTTCCACGGCGATGATGTCGTGGATCGGTCTGCAAACCCTGCGTATGAAGAGGAGAATGAAGGCTTCTGGGAGGAGACTGCCGAGGCTAGGGCTGCCGTGCAGCCTGTTATTGAAGGCCCGAAAGAGCTTTTCACTTGCGTTCCCTCCCGGCCATTCTTCCCTAGAGGGTTCCTTTGGGATGAAGGTTTCCATTTGATGCCCGTGATTGAGTACGATACCGATCTTGCGTATGTTTACACCTAATTCCGTTTCATTTACTAGTTTTAGCTGATATACTGACGTTTACAGGCTCGAGATTATCAAGAGCTGGTTCCACTTGATGGACGAGGATGGGTGGATTGCCCGTGAACAAATTCTCGGTCAAGAGGCACGCAGCAAGGTGCCTCCGGAGTTTACGATCCAATATCCCCATTACGCAAACCCACCTACTCTGTTCATGGCCTTGGAAGCATTCATGGACAAAGTCAAGACTAGCAATAACAAGAGCAACGAGTTCGAATCCCTGGACAACCAAGATGCGACCGCGAGCCTGCGCTCTGCCACAGTCCGACACCCGGAACTGTCTGAAGCATACCTTCGCTCATTCTACCCGCTCCTGAAGAAGCACTACAACTGGTATAGAAACACCCAGCGCGGCGATATCAAGTCATATGACCGTGAAGCATTCTCGACCAAGGAAGGCTACCGCTGGCGCGGACGTTCCGTGCAGCACATCCTCACTTCTGGCATCGATGACTACCCCAGAGCTCAGCCGCCGCACCCCGGTGAGCTGCATGTTGATCTGATCAGTTGGATGGGAATGATGACTCGCGCTATGCGTCGCATTGCCGAGAGCCTCGGCGAGGAAGAAGATGCCGAGGAATACGCCTCCTACGAGACTGCTATCACTCGCAACATTGATGACTTGCATTGGGATGAGAAGGAGCAGACTTTCTGTGATGCGACTATCGATGAATACGAAGAGAGTGTCCACGTCTGCCACAAGGGTTACATCTCCATCTTCCCCTTCCTGACTGGTATGCTGGGTCCTGACAGCCCTCGTCTCAAGGCCATCTTGGACTTGATCGGTGACTCCGAGGAGCTGTGGAGTGACTACGGTATCCGCAGTTTGAGCATGAAGGATAAGTTCTACGAGACCGATGAGAACTATTGGAGAAGCCCTATCTGGATTAACATCAACTACTTGGTGTTGAAGAATCTCTATGTAAGTGCTCCATCTTTTGATTTATTTGCCCGCAAAATCTAACAGAATCTTCACAGGACACTGCAACGGTGTCCGGTCCTCACCAGGAACAGGCGCGGGAGATGTACTCCGACTTGCGGAAGAATTTGGTCGAGAATGTCTTCCGCGAGTGGAAGAAGACTGGATTCGCTTGGGAACAGTACAACCCTGACTCGGGCAACGGCCAGCGGACACAGCACTTTACCGGCTGGACCAGTATGGTGGTGAACATGATGTCCATGCCTGATTTGGCCGGAGTTGAAAAGACCACTCATGACGAGCTGTAAGCTATTGAACCTCGTGAAAAGGGTTGGTCACGTGGATTAGATAGTGGTCATATTGATAGCTGTACACAATCAATTATCCGACATTTGAATCGATTCCTCCAACGCCAAGCTAATTTAACAATTCATACCCCTGGTCTGCAGCTCAATGGCGGCGGTCATGGTCATCTCGGTCTCGTCTGCGTTCGGGGTGTCGTCGGCGCTCAGCTGGTGAGTAGCTGCGCTCCATCCATCGTCGTTTCTGGTGCTCCTGATCTTTTCGGCTGGGTCGACTCCTAGAACGGGACACCGAGCGCCGTCTGTAGTGGTCTCGACCGCGAGATCGTGATCTGTGACGATGGGTGCGATGATGGCGCTCTCGATCGTAATGATGTCTGCGATGTCTCCGGTCCTTGTCACGTGTAGAATCGTCGCCCCGGTCATGTCGCCTTTCCCGTTGCGGGCTTCGGGTTCGCTCGCGTCGGTGGCGGTGACTTGGGCGGTGACTTGGGCGGTGGTCTTTTCCCCTTGTTGCAGCATCTGGCATCTCTTCTTCTTTTGACACAATGTCGGTACTGTTGGGTCCCCCTAGAGGAACCATGTTGGCATTTTGAGATGCCTTCGGGGGCACCGGGAGGCCCAGAGCGACGGCCATCGCTTCCTCCTCGGCCTCCTTGACACGTTGAAGTTCCTCTCGCTCTTTTTGGAGTCGTGCTTCCTCGTCTTCGTCTCCCTTGGCATACCAGCTAAGATCACGATTTTGCTGCCATCTGCCAACTGGGGCCATTACCGAGTGGCCTAGGTAGTTCTCGCGGTGCACGGAATTCTGAACGTCGGACCATTTGAACTCATCGCGGCCGCCGCTAATACAAAAATTAGCGAACTTAAACATACCAAAGGTGATGATAACCAGTGAATCGACTTACCGGCTGCCTTCTTTGCGTACACCAGCAACCAAATCCATCATGCGACAGAATTGTACTGAAGAAATTTATGTTGTGAGAAGGAGAAAGCCAAAGCCTTCGAAGCTGTAGGTCTGTACTCACTCGAATGGGTGGTCCGTGCGCGGGCGGTCAGCCATTATATCATCGGACGATTCCACCTCCCCGCAGCCATGGAGGTGTTCTCGACCAGCTTGATCATGATCTGTTTACGAAGTTCCCACCCTTCTGTCTCTTGTGGCCTGGCCTTTCCACCCTTGGAAATGACAGAACAAGCTTCTTCTTACACTATTAACGACTATTTCTACTCAGACACTAGGAATTATTCTTCTCTGCGCTCCACCATTGGAGACAAGCACCCTTAGCTTACAGCAATGTCTTCTCCTCAGAATGAGGACACGTGCTATTCAGATATCGAGAATGAATTTATGCGGTATCGCCCCCAGGTACAAATCTTGAATCTTGAAACAGAAAAGGAACGCGTATGTTTGTATTTTTAAACCTCACGTGAGAACTATGAACTGACTTGTGTTAGTACCCTAGGTGAGTGCTTATGGTTTTACTGCCTAAATTCAGTGTGGCTGATTATCATTGAGCTATAGTGATGTTTCTATGCCGATTGTATCTGCTTGGAGGTGTAACCTGGTGAGAACCTACTGACCGAGTTGCTGTTTCGACTGTATAATTTCTCTTCAGTTCTAACTCTGCTTTTGAAAGGCGGCCCTCTCACAGCGTCGAAATTTGCTTTTTACAGCTCACCTCGACAATATCTATGTATGGATTCCCAGTGGACCTCGCCAGCTCCTTGGGTCCCAACCCGAGATGATCATTCACCCGGTGATGAAAAACCCCAATTCGCCTGGCTACATCGACCGTTCTTGGCCTCATACAATCAATCAAATTATTGTGGATGATCTGGGAGTTGATGAGGTTTTGCTGTTGGCGACAGACTCTGGAAACGTGACTGGCTACAATGTCGAGGCTATTTTCTCAGCAATCAATAGGAGCTCCGAACATGGAGGAAGCCGACCATTTGATGCGCATGAAGTAAAGCCTTTCTTCGCTGAATATGTTTACTCAAGTGCATGGGGCTTAGCCATCCACAAATTTGCTCGGTTGATTGCCGTGAGCGCGAACACAGGCGTTATCACAGTCTTTGCTTTCGCGTTAGTGGATGTTGTGTCTGAGAGTGACAGTATCAGTCTTAGTTCTTCTGAGACCTCAAGTGTGGGAGGCTCTGGTGTATGGGAAAGCACATGGATATGCATTGACAGTGCACCGGAGATGGAGGAGCTGAAAAAGGAGATGCCCCATCATCGGACATGCAACCTGCGGCTCAGCTATACTGGTCATTTTGACAACATCCCATGCGTGTCGTTTGCCAACTTTGAATTGGACCCCAATGGTCTGTGGATGGTCAGCACCGATATCCGCAACCGAGTCTGTGTATGGAGAGTCTGGGACAACCTAACCCCTGTCAATACATCCAGTTATGATTATCCAGGGGGTGTTGAAGGACAAACGGGCTGGTTCGTCTTTCCTTTACATCCTCGCAAAGTTCAACAGCACCAATGGAAGTTTGATGCCTGTGGATGCGAACCGGTCCTAAGAAGTACAAAGGATCGGATGGTTTATGAGCTGTTAGATGCGGCTGATTACGTTGCGTCGAGATCGGTCCTCGCTTCTAGGAAAGTCGCACTTGAAGAACGTGCAACGATTTCGAGGCTATTTCTACCAGACGATGTTTTTCTTCCTGATGATTCTCGGCCTCTATCACTGAGCCCAGAGCTCGATCATACAACTCCAGAGGCTTCAAAAACTGCTTCTCCTGCCAGTGCTAGTGAGAGCATTGTTACCAGCACTGGATTATCACAAGACTATGCAGTGGATCCACCCCGTCGATCTATCCGCGAGAGACGTGATATTGCCAATTTAATTGAAGAAGAAAATGAGCAATGGGGCATAGATCATCCTTATGACGAATATGTTGAACACCCTTTCATACGCCATCGTAAGTGAGCGATGTACTTCGGTTTATTGGATTAGAATGCTAACCTGTCACTCAGCATGCAATCCTCAATTCTTTCCTATTCTCCACTTCTCTGGAAATAGGATAACTTTAAATCCTTATCCGTTGGACCATGGATGCCAGTCGTTCTGTCATGATCCACTTGAGTTGCTTGTAGGAGATACCATATTCCCTTCCTGTGATCGCTTAAACTTGGTCAAGTACCTCCCTGAACTTGGGATCGTTATTGCCGCCTCCCAGGCCGGTGGAGTTGCCATCATCACTCTTACCTGGCAAGAGGAAATTGGTCACAGCTTTCGCCTAGACTGGCTTCTCCCTTTCATCAACCAGGACAGGGACGATAAATCTCCACCATCACCTATTATGGGTATTGCCGCAAGTCCTATGCCTGGATTTGAGATGCCGCCAGATGTCCCTTGTATACCTCTGGATGTCAACCACAAAGATCGGTTGAGGTTCAACCACCGTCTGCTCAACCCGGATAAAGATGAGCCTGGTGTCGCAGACTCCCCGGATACGGGGCTTCCAGTCCCTCTAACCCGGATCTCAGCGCTGACTCCGAAATCCCGAACCTCACAATTCCTGAAACCCACGCCTATGCCTCAAGCATCTACCAACCCCATGAGACATGGCATGGTTACCAGCCTTCTCGACATTACAGGTTGATTGTGTTATTTTTTGATCATACTGTCATGAGCTATGAGTTCTGGCATGACTGGAGATGCTAATTACCATCACGAAATCAGGTTGTGCTTCTTGAATCATGGTTGTAAGAAGCATTCATCCAAACCAGCAGATCCACCCGTGTTAATAGTTACCTAATTGTACAAGTGCATGTCAAATGAAATACAAAATATCTATGTCAAATTCAATCACTGTAGTTGGGAAATAGTATGAAGAAATATGTCATCATTCAACGTGATTATGTCGTACAGCGGCGACTTGAGGCTCTAACCAAGGTGAACCTGATTGGTTCCGCGAAAAATAAGCTTAAATTTGATGTTTAGTCACCTGAAACAAGGTTTCCAAGGTTCTCCTAAGATATACTACGTAGGTATTTATCCAAGGTCCGCACTTTGATATCAACCTTAGAGTCTTGGAAGATGATACCCCCAAGCCATCAAGTGCAGCCTCCGACGCTAGACGCTAGCCCAATGTATGACGATAACCTCACCGGCATGGTCACTAGCCCATATGCGGTTGAAGGTGCGTGTAAGCTTGACGGCTCTTGCTCCTTAAACTCAATGTGCAATTGGCTTGCTGAACGTAGAGGTAGGCTGTATATTAGGATTCTCTCGATGGAGAGAGCCCAATTCGGAGTCCAGAGGCGATCTCTTTTACGATCATTTACAAGGTTATGATCGTTTTTGTTTTTGTCTTTTTCTTTTTTTCTTAGTAATGTGGACACTTTTTCTTAAATCTGGGGAGGGGGAGTCATAACCAAAATGTTATTTTATACCCATGCGATGCAAAGCTGTTCTATACATATAGTCAGTCCAGTTGAGTGACCATAGAGGACAGTAAAACCATATGCCCCCTGTTTTACTGTCAAAGACTAAATACAGTCAAACGATCGACCATGATGAAATTATGAAAGTATCAAATAGAAAAGCAGAATATCTAATAAGCAAGGCGCTGGCAACACGCACTATATGTGCAGGAAAGTATGTATGAACACTGCCTGCGCTTGGCCAGAGAAGAAAGACCTAGTATATGAAAATCTAAAGCAAATAGAAACGAAAGAAAGAAAATAACCAAAAGAAACAAGGAAACTAAACGCAATGCGACAGAAAACAAAGGGGGAATTGATGGGAAAAAAAAAGAAAAAAGAACATGAATTCGTTGAATGCATCAATGTCGTTAAGACGCTTTTTGAACAAGAGGAAAATGTGAAAATTCTCATGTGCGGTTGAATGTTGATTGAATGTGAGTCGTGCACATAGAATCTCGATCTAGAAGTCATCATCCATCTCATCACTATCCCATTCGTCTTCACGGTCGTTTTGTACTAGGTCCAAAAATCGCTGAAGACCAGGATGTGCCTGTGCTCGACCTGGTCGAATTGCAATAGCCTCCCATCGGATGGGGCCCTCTTCGTCTGCCAATGGTTCTGCAGGAACCTCCGCCCACCGGACAGGGCGTCTAGGATCACCTGCCTGTGGGGGAGACGTTGGGGAGGAACTTCTGCCCATCGGATAGGGCGTCTGGCCTGTCGTCGCGCATTTCGGTTTCGTACCTCGGCCATGGCACGAGCTTGGGCTTGACGCTCAGCTGCTGCTGCACGGGCAGCTGCATGATCACGCTGGCCAGGTCTGCCGCCACCACGGTTGACTTGTGGTGGGACGGGAGCGGGAGGAGGAGGGTGTCGGTGAAGATCGTCTTCATCGTTATCAAATTCAAATGCGGGGCGGTCGTCATCGCTTTCATCAGTTCCTTCGTGAATGGCTATCACCGCTGGGTCGTCATCAAAATCCAGGAGTGCATCTGGGATGCGGTGGAGGGCTTCAGCTCCGTCGGGGTTGATGCCATCACCACCTTCCAAATCCCAAAGACGATTGAAGCATTGGCCTTTCGCGTCGTTGAAATGCCTGTATGGGTTGTCTGCACACAGCCAGCCAGAGCAAAGATAGCAAAAGTGCGTATCACACTGGAAGCAGCGCATGTGATTGCATCCCATTTGCTTTTGGCAGGGCACGTTGCAAGTCGGGCAAGGGGTAGTGTACAAACGCAAATACTCTTCGGTTGCCTTTTCCTCCTCTGTGGGCTGACCGTCGCGGCGTGGGAAGCAGCGTACCAGCTCGCCATGCCAGCCCTTCTTGCAGACGCAGCAAAAGGCGTAGTTACAATCTTCACAGATAGACACACGCTCCGCCATGGGAGGAAGCTCTCCATCGTTTACTTCGCTTCGGGGCTCGGATCCATCTTCTTCGTCCGAACTACCCAAGTCATCCGACATGGGATCTTCTGGCTTGGGGTGCCGCTTGGATCGTGCAGCGCCCTGGCACCATTGCCGTGGACAATATACTGTGGTCTTGTCGGCTTCAATTTTCTTCTTCCTCTTGAGGAATGCATATCGCTGAACCGTTTCAGCGGTTAGAGGGATCTGAAGTAGCTCGCTTGGTCCCAGGGTCCGATCGCGCTTCTTGCGTGGCGGGGTCTGGCCATCGCCTGGTACAGCTGCAGGTCTTTTGTTGTACTCGCAATCCGGCGCCATACATTTCACACTGTCAACATCACCTTCGGTGATGCAGGAGTTGTAGAAATCCTGCAAGCATTGAATGCAGAATACGTGGGAGCAGCGAAGTAATCGATAGCAAACGGTTCCCTTCTTCGGTTCCAGACATACCCCACATTCAAAAGTTCCCTGCTCAAACTTTTCCCGCTCGGCCTTTTTGTTGTAGTCCAGTAATCCGATCTTCAAGTCCCGCGACAAAGATACCTCCCCAGACGGATCCTGAATATTGAAAGTTGTTTCTGCAAGCTGCTGGAGGTGGTCGATGTAGGTGAAGACGACCAGATCCTTTCCACATTCTTCCCAGAGTCGGTGGCAATCGCTAGACAGTTGATCGATGACTGAGAGGGGTAGCCATGAGGGGATTGTTTTCAGATGAACGATAGGCGGCTTTTCGGTTGGGTAACCCTCTGGTAATTCAATCTCGAGATTAAGCGGGGGCAAGTGCGAGAGGACATGCACATCTTTGATGGGCGGCTGGTCTAATTCTCCTTTAGATTCATCTAATGAAGTTGGAGGTGTGATGACGGCAGCTACGGCATCGAGCGGTTGCTGAAAACATATTGAGGTTGGGACGGAAGGTGCGACTGGAAGATCGAGAACGGCTTGGAACGGAGAGGAAGGATCGATCTGTATTTCTGGAAAGATCGCAGCAATCGAGGAAAGTTCGACCGAGCGGTCATCCTCTGGAAAGTCGAGTTCGGTCATGATGAGATGAAACCGAGTATGATCACTTGTGAAGATTTCTCAAGTGGGGGGTGAGTGGAATATTTGCCTCCGGTATGATATCCAGTGGATCGCAATTTGGAGACAATGGTTGTCTCCTACAAGAAATCCTAGCAACAATAGCTCATGACTGTAAAGAAAAAAAAAAAACCCTTGACCGAGGTAATAATGATGACCGATCCCAAATGAACGATCACTAAGGACGATCGGGCACAAAAGGGGGGTTATATCCTGCAGGAAGTTGACTTCGAATCAGCGTTGTATCTGAGACCGTCCAAAAAAATTAGACCAACCAAAGATGAAGATGTTCCGAGTATTCCTTCTAGAGGCCAATGTTCGGCAGAAAGTCGGGAGGGGTCCAAAAGATGATGCAATAGAGAGTCTGGAGTTTGGAGAGAGAACAACAGCGTCATTGTTTGAAAGTTGAAGTAGACTGAGACAGATTCAAAAAGAAGATACCCAAATTATTCAGAACTGAAACGGAAAAAAAAAAAAAAAAAAGAAAAGGCAAATCCTCCCTCGGATGCCTAAAAAAAAGAATATCGAAGAGAAAGAAAAGAAGAAAAAGAAAAAAACAAATTGAACGTTGAAGTTCCCCCCCGCTGCCCAATCTCCTTATCGCCAACTGATAAGAAACAGGGTCTTGGCATTTGGACTTGGCATTTGACCGTCTGAGATGATCTTCCTGAAAAGGGAAATCTCCAAGTTTAGGGGGAAACTTGAGAACTTTGGAACTTCCCTTATTCACTCCTTTTTTCTTTTCTTTAAACAACATCATGGGAGACACTCCGCTGGCGTCGTTGTCTCTAACTCATGTCCACTATGTCAGTTACCACCCATTATAATCACACTGTTTGACTTACCACTAACTAGGTTTCCAGAACCCCGAGGACCGACTGTCCTTTGCCTCAGCATGGCTGGCCCTGATCCCACAGGCACTATGTGTGTCCTATGCAACCTTGATTTGGTCAACAAGAGAGGTGGAGGTCATCTTGATGTTTACAGGACAGATGGGCTGTGAAGCCTTAAACTTTGTCCTCAAACGTTTGATCAAGGAAGAGCGACCGAAGGGTAAGTTGTTGATATTGATGGTCTCGTGCGTACCTTCCCAAAACTGACACGTGTAATTTACAGAAATGTTCGGCAAGGGATATGGAATGCCATCTTCACACGCCCAATTCATGACCTTCTTCTCCGTCTACCTTACCTTCTTCCTTCTCTTCCGTCACAGCCAAGCTTCCGCCAGCTCCTACCCCAATGTCGCCGTCCTCTTACGAGTCCTGGTCATGATGTCCCTTTGCATTGGAGCTGCTGGTGTCGCTGCCAGTCGAGTCTACCTCAACTACCACACCCCGAAACAAGTCCTTGCTGGATGTACCGCTGGATTCGTATGCGCTTGTGGCTGGTTCATGGTCACCAGCCTGCTCCGAAGCTCCGGTTTGATTGAATGGGCCATGGAGACCACTGTATCCCGGCTGGTCAGAATCCGTGATCTCGTCTTAAGTGAAGACCTGGCTGAGGCTGGCTGGCAACGTTGGGAGTCTCAGAGATTGAAGCGTCGCGGCCTTAGTGAGAAGAAGTCGGAGTAAGGGAATGTCCCCTTTTTAGCGTATACCTACCATAGTAGCGAGCGAACACCTTCCTGTTGATTTAACTGTTTGAAATCAATTTCATTCCATTTCTTTCTATTTCTTTCTACTCAATCCATTGTAAACATTTGAATTCTCAAAATAAACAATACTTGTACTCTGGTCACGTGTCAGCTGGCGTCCCGCATCAACACCGCAGGTACTGACCACCCCTCGTGCACTTCGAAGACTTAACAAAATGTGTAGTGGTCTCTTTGCATGAGTTTCCTTTAATTTTTCCGCTCTTCTCTTTTCGCTTTTTTGCCTGATGTATGGAGCGTTGGTACCCTGGTGATCCACCCAACTTTCTGCCAGGAACACAACTCAACAAGTCAACAAGTCCCCAGTGATGGACGTGTCTTCAGATCCGCCCGAAGCCACTATGCAGGAGCATCACATTGTTAAGGCCGATGAGGTCGACCAAACAGGGACCGATATCTCGCCAGTTTCAGACGACCAACTCATGGAGGAGGTGGCTGAGGGGCTCCGCCAGGAACAGGCCGAACAGGCCACACCCGCTCCTGAGACTGCGCCCTCTGCGCCCGAAAAATCCATGAAACGACCGGAGCTTCACCGTGATGGCTCCGCTCCACCTCCTCCAATGCAGCCGCCCCCTCCAGCTCCCATTCAGGAGAATACGGACCGGGGTGCGAGCTCTCTAAGCCTATCGGATTTGCGGAAGCTTGTGGGTGAAATTCCCAAGATCGAGCAACCAGCCTATGCTTTTGAATATGCCGACGCCCAATCTTTTCCCGATGAGCTCGACGAGTGGTTCCAGTACAACGCCTTTGATCGTGTCATGTTGATGGGCACGAAAGCGACTTTTAACAAGAAATGGCCCACCTTTTGTCAGCGACGCCAGCGAGACACGCCCGGTGTGTCTTGGCTTGACGCATCCCAGGATTTACGTCGTTCATTTATTGCTCGGGTGCTTGAGGATCTGCAACTCTCTGAAGCCCCCGCGCGATTGGAAGCCCTTGAAACCATTTGCTATGTTGTCACTGGTGTATGGGGTCTCAGCGGTGGGAGAGTGGCGCCCGACTATCCTTCAGATGGGAATTCCGAGTCATCTGCCGAAACGCCATTGCGCAAGTCAATGCAGATTCAGTGCATCGAGGAGAATGTTTCCCTTGTCCAAGAATGCTCGGGCGTTACCGCCTTGGTACAGTACATGTGCCGCCTTTTTGATAAGACCCGCTCAGCACTCGGATCGGACTCCAGTGACATTGATTACGAGCGAATCAACCCTGGCGATATTGCGGCACCGGAGCGTGAGGCCAACTTGGTCCTTACAAGTTTATACTTCGCTGTGGAAGTGGGTCGCAGGCAACAGGCGCGCGACCCTCAATGCAGCTCGATCCGCGATGCGCTGAGCAGCTCGAATCCTAGCCTCTTAGTCTCCATTGTTGAAATCATCGCTCGACTGCGCTGGGACGAATCTGCCAATATCCCGCTGACCAGAATCCTTCTGTTGTTATGGAAGTCCGTGCTTCTCGTCTTTGGCGGGACTGAGGATTTAAAGCGCGCAAAGGAGGTACTAGAGCCTGCTATTTCGTCTGAGAACGGTGATTCCAAACGCAGGACGCCGTTTTTACACGCCTCCCCTCTGGACTACCATCTCTTCCGCCAGGAAATTACTTCCAAATACCCAGCGTACAACCCTCCGCCACTTGTCGTTCCACTGGAATTAGAAAACAATTCCATTCTACCCCCTCTTCCACACAATGCAGCTAAGATGAACTCGTCAAGTGGCATCTTTTGTGGTGTTGCCCCCTCGATTTCCGGTGGGAATGGCTCCATCCTTCAGCAGGCCGTTCACATTGCAACCCCAGCCCCATCCCCACCCCCATCCCCCGCCGGCCCAGGGGGAAAGCTGGGAAGAAACAGAACTATCAGACCAATCAGAACTTCCCCTTTATGTACCCTCCCCTGGATGATTCCAGCAACCGCATTGGCGGGAAGGGCACAACGGAACGCCAAGATACCTTGGTTGGAAAGAGATGGGAAGGCAGCGATGTCCCTGCGTCAATTATTGAAGCTGGAAAGCTCTTTTCTACCCATGTGAAAATGACTCGTGCGATGCGACAGCTTTGGCAGGAGCGTGAACACTTTATGCAGTACGACCGTGGCTGGAACTCCGAGGATGCTGCTCACTTCCCTGATAACATATCGGATGATCTACCGGACGATATTGAAGAACTAGATTTGTTGGGCGGCGAGGAGAAGGCCGAGCCTAAACCAAAACCAGTAGAGAAAGAGACAGATGATCCTGATATCCAGCGCCGTCTGGATGCGGTTGACTCGTTTTATGTGAGTACACGCTTTCGATACCAAATTTCGACATTCGCTTACTGTTTACCAGACCAATACTCTATCTCACCTTCAGTCCATCACCATTGTATTCTTGAAAATCATCTTGACAAATGTCAGCGCGGTGATCAACCAGTCTACTAGCCAAACTACGCAGGGCATGAGGTGAGCTCAGACACTTGAAATAATCACGAATACGTTCTAACACAAGACTTAGTAGTCATTCCATGAACGGCTCCTCTCACAATCTCCTTTCCGACGCATCTATCGATGAGCTAGACAATATCCGACTCCGCGAGATCACCGGCAAAGCCGTGTCTGGAACTCTTTTGCTTCTCCTTAAGTGGTTTAAGCGATCTCGTGAGTCTATATTCCGATTCCCTTTTTTTCTGCATGATGTGCCGCTAACCCATCAAGATATTTTGAAATTTGAGTACATGACACAGCTGTTACTTGACTCCAACTACATCCCCTTGATTCTGAAGATGTTCGCACACCAAGACGTTGACCAAACGGTGGCACATAAGAGTGACCGCGAAGATCTATCGTATGTTACTCCACCCCATTCACTAAGCTAGCTCACACACTAACACAAATTCAGCTTCTTCCACTTCTGTCAAAGCAACACGGACTTGCCCCTAGAGACGGAAGAAAGCTCCTGCGGCGACACCGAAAGCGAAGACGAAGCCATGCCGCCCCCAATCGCCCGCCACCGCACGGATCCAACAGCAAACGACAGCATGCCAGGTCTCTCGGAAGAAGAGTCCCTAACGGATATCCTCAACGGACCAACACGCCCGGAAGTCGACGAACTAGGCTACCCAACCGCGCCCCTCCCCAAAGAACCAATCAAAGTATTCTCCTTCCGCAACTTCTTCTCCGCCATCAACTACCTCCACATCATGCAAAAGATCACGCGGAACAAAGCCCACCGCTGTCTGCTACTAGTGCAGTACAAATCAAGCAACATCCTCCGCAAAGGTCTCAAAATCCCAGACCCACACCTCCGCTTCTACACCCTCAAACTCTTCAAATCCCAAGTCCCCTACTGCGGCCGCAAATGGCGCCAGAGTAACATGCGTGTCATCACCGCTATCTACCTGTACTGCCGTCCCGAGCTCCGCGACGACTGGCTCGCTGGCTCTGACGTCGATGCTGAGGTTGAAGAGGCCTTGCCGTTGGAACAGGCGCTTCGTGGTCTTACGCACTGGTGGCATCTGCGCCAGTACAAGGATGTCATGGGTGGTGATGAGGGTACCTCTATGATGGAGGAAGAACGTGATTTCTTTGTGCGAGAACTCGAGTCTATGGGCTGGGGTGCTGCTGAGGAGATGCTCGGTGGGACTTGCGAGGAGGAAGTCAGTGTCCCTGCGACGCAGGGAAATGAATGGGATGGTGTCCCGCTGCCTATGGAGGGGTGGTCGTGATATCCCTGTCCGGTGAGGCAATGAGATCAATGAAAGTGCTTTCTAATACCCGCTGTGGTTTTTCTGTTCGGTTTTTGGTTTATGTAGTCAATTTTACTGCTGTTTCGTTGTTTATGTTTGTTTGGCTTTGGATTTTTCTGTAGTTAGCTTGGGGAATTCTAGTTGAGCTATTTTCCGGCTTTGCTACTGTCACTCTTTCATTTCATTCTATCTGTTCGAGGATGGATAATTTGCCTTGTGTATACAAATTAAATCAGGCATTAAGGCATCAATATTTAATAGAAATGGCAGTTGGCGCCCTTCTGCCCAGCACATTCAAGCCAAAATTATATGTCGACAAAGCCCTGATATACATACATAACAACAAACTCAATAGACTAGTATATGAAATATTGATGCGCAAGTGGAACCGATGTAGCCGCCTCTGCTTTACAGTGCACTCCATCGGCCATAACCGTCTGCAAATGATCAGTGTCTTATTCGAGAGTTTAAAAGCGCTAAGAGTGGACTCACAAAGGCCTCGGGATCAACCTCCATCTTCGGGGTGGCATTGTTGAATTTCATGTCAAGCTTGGTGACCGTGCGTGTATTCCTCACAATTTCGATCTGCTTCTTCAGGCCGTAGGATTTAACAGAACCGTTCTCCATGCCGGCCTTGGAAACAAACATCACACTACTTGAAGGTAGGCGGGGCTAGATTGTGGTCAGCTCAGAAGATGTCATGGATAATGCGAGGACTGGATTCAAACTTACCGCAAACATCGGTCGCGCAATGATGGGCTGGACGGTAGAAATCCTGTGACAGTAAGTATCCATAACAAGAGCAGCGGAGAAGATTAGCGATTGCAAGGGTGGTTCTTACGATGCGTTTGGATCACCCTATGACAATTTTTAGCACGTCACTTACATCGACGTAAGATATAGGAGGACATACCATTTGAGCTGAAGCAATAAATCCCTTCTTGAGAATTTGGAATGGCTTGGTGCCAAAGCTTGCAGGTTCCCAGATCACCAGATCGGCAAGTTTTCCAACCTCAACACTGCCTACAACGTGACTGATACCCTGTGCAAGAGCAGGATTGATGGTATACTTGCTGACATACCGCTTGACTCGGTGGTTATCGGCTCCGGTATCCTCATCCTCAGGTAGCGGCCCACGTTCTACCTTGTTTTTATGAGCCAGATTCCAAGTTCGAAGAACTACTTCCCCACATCGTCCCATTGCCTGCGAATCAGAGGACATCATGCTGATCGCACCGGTATCGTGGAGGACATCTTCTGCGGCAATCGTTTCTGCTCGGATTCGGCTGTCTGCGAAGGAAATATCCTCGGGGATGTTCTTCGATAGATGGTGACAGGACATGACCATATCGAGATGTTCGTCGACTGTGTTACAGGTGTATGGCTTCGTTGGGTTGGTACTGCTGGGAAGGACGTTGGCTTGCTGTACAAGAGAAATCATATCGGGCGCATGTCCGCCGCCAGCTCCTTCGATGTGGTATGCGTGTACTGTTCTTCCTTTGAATGCAGCTGCCGTTCGCTCAACAAATCCGGACTCGTTTAACGAGTCGCTGTGTATTTGGCATTGGATGTCGTGTTCTTCGCAGACACTGTAATGAACTGTTAGTATCCGCGACGATCGAGAAGATAAAATTCCTTTACCTTAAACAAGAGTCGATTGCTGAGGGTGTGCAGCCCCAGTCTTCATGCAGCTTGAGACCAGCGACACCTGCATTGCACTGATCAAGAAGACCTGGCTTGCCAGTATCACTACCCTTTCCAATGACGCCAAAATTGACTGGCAGCGTGTCTAACGTTTGCATCATCTGTCGAATATATGTCTTGCTCGGGGTGCAATTGGCAGCAACGGAGGCCGTACTGGACAAAATATTAGATCCAGACACCGCAATATCAATGCTTGGGACCTTACCTCGGGCCAGTTCCTCCTCCAAACATGGTTGTGACACCCGACGAGATAGACTCTTCAACCTGCTGAGGACAGATAAAGTGAACATGGGTGTCGATACCACCAGCAGTAATAATTTTCCCCTCTGCAGCAATGATGTCCGTGTTTGATCCAATCACCAGAGCCGGGTTCACATTATCCATCACATCAGGGTTACCAGCCTTCCCGATCCCCACGATGACACCGTCTTTCACTCCAACATCAGCTTTGAAGATACCAGTCCAGTCAATTACCAATGCATTGACCAGAACCAGATCCGCACACTCATCATCTGCACGTCCAGCAGCTTGTCCAATTCCATCACGCAAAGTCTTACCACCTCCAAATGTACACTCGTCTCCGTGTGCTGTGTAGTCCTTTTCGATCGTCACCCAGAGGTCTGTCGAGCCGAGACGGACCGAGTCACCGACTGTCGGACCATAAATCAAGGCATACGAAAGTCGATCCATCTTGTATGGCTCGATATTTTGTATATTGATAAGCACCTCCTCGGGGGTGTGTCGGAAGCCTTCCTCCTGGATACGTTGAAGTACCGCGTTGGTATGAGACAGGTCAATAGTTCCAGTCGCAATACTGCTTCCTCCCTTGATAGTTTTGAGACCACTGATCTGCGTCAAATTCACGGTCTTGATATCGCCAGGCTCGAAACGAGTCGACGTTCCCGCGGGGATGTCAAGGTGATAGCCATAAGCTTTGATCCGGTCGAAATCCAGCTCCGGGTTCGATTCAATGAAGTGAAAGTGAGAGCCGACCTATAATAAAAAAAACTTATTAATACGTCTTGTCGAGGTGTATGTATAACAAAGGATAGATACCTGAATTGGCCGATCACCCTTGTTCGTAACCTTCAATTGAGTTCGCTTTCTTCCAGGATTGAGCTCGATCATTCCTTCACCGGGTGAGATAGCTCCAGGCATCTTCAAAGGCTCGTACTCGGATTCTGGATATGAGGGGAATAAACTCTCCGGTGGGATGGGAAGGAAACTGCCATACATTGCCAGCTCAATATCGCCATCTTCGCTGCTAATGGGTTGATCGACAGTAACTAGATGAGTTCCTGTCGTAAAGGTCCCTTCAATCTGCAGTACTGCAAGAGTTGATATCACGGCCGGAAAGACATGTCGGCGGCCAAGGATATGTTTCCCGATGGACATGAGCTGTGATGCGGTGTGCTTGCCATCTCGCATCATCTAGGAATGGTTAAAGCTAGGTGTTGTGCTGGCACCGAGACTAATACATACCTCTTGCAACACATTTGTGATCAATGCCTACTCCGTCGTCAGTACATAGTCATTGATATCACTAACCTTAGAACATTCCAAGATTCCAATGGATGAAGATAGGAATTACCGTAGCTTCAGGATAGTTTAACTTCACTCCTCTCGCCAGTCGTCGTTGGGCCAAAAGCCCGGTCTGGGCAATGACCAATTTATCCAACTAGGTTGTTCGTTAGTTAATCGAAATGAAAGATCAAATCATTCATCCGCCATACCTCACGGGCTATCAACTGCATCGCGATTCACAATTTGAAGTTCGACTTTTCCTCGTAAAATCGATACAAGCTGATGTTAACAGGCACAGTTCAAATGCCCGTTTGCAGCAAGTCGGAATGTAGATCTTTTTTTTTTCTTGAAGTACTCGGACAAATGGAGAGGGAAAGGGATTTAGTCCTGAATTTACGCATGAACGAACTCGATCGGCCCTGCATATAAAATAGGCGCATTGGTCTTTTAATAGTGGGTAATATGTATAATACCCAAGTATGTACCAACAGTCAAGTTGGTCATCGCCGGTTTAACCGCCACTCGGCCAACAAAACCTGTGGGGGAAGACTTCCAAGGTACGGCCTATCGGCCATCGTTGTCCGCAAGCGGCAAATGACGTTGACACAATCTCATATTCAAATCTGCCATGCGAAATTTCAATCAAAGGCTAAACTCCACCGACAAAACAGATTATTCGATGGTAAGTACAAGCCCACGGGTGTGTGTCGGGTCCTTTTCGCCGAAGAGACTCAATTTATGGTTCCACTGTTCGATGTCGCCAAATTCTACCCGTGAACTCCAAATCGATTTCTAGCAATCTACCATTCATTATTGCTAGTAAAATGAAAACTTCAAAGTGATTGTGACTGTGACTGTGTCCCTCAAAGTCGCTGGAGTTCATAGGTGCGAAAAGTCACCATGGCGGTGCCCCAGATACCCCAGCCAGGTAGCGGCCAACTTGAAGTTCACGCCTTTTGCGGCTCTTCTTCTATTTCCACGCTTTCATGCAATTATCCTCTGAAACTTGTGTCACCACCATCCAGACCAACCGACCACGCTGTCCTCGTCTTTATGATGAGTTATGGTGGCGGGCTGGTCGCCGGCGACTGTGTAGACTTGAACATCAGAGTTCGGCCAAAGTCGCGACTAGCCCTTCTTACGCAAGGAAGCACGAAGGTGTACAAGTCACCATCCAAGTCAATATGTTCACGTCAGAACCTCACTGTCACAGTGGATCAAGGAGCAGCGCTCCTGCTGTTGCCGGACCCGGTACAGCCATTCAAAGACAGTTCGTATGAGCAATGTCAAATATTCCATGTCCACCATTCTTTGTCCAATATACTAGTCCTAGACTGGGTTTCCGAAGGACGAACTGCGATAGGCGAGGCGTGGGACTTTTTTGGATGGAAAGGTCGAAATGAGATTTGGTCACTTCCTGATCCGGATAAAGGAACCAAGAAGAAGCTTTTAATCCGAGATAGTCTGGTTCTGGATGAAACATCGTCTACGAAGCGAAGCTATAAAAATGAGATGGATAGTCTCGGGGTTTTTGGCACTCTCGTCATTCGGGGCCCAATGTTTCGTGCTCTCGGTGACTTCTTTCTCGCGGAGTTCTCCTGTCTCCCGCGTATTCGGGCAAATGGGAAACTTCATGAACCAGTTGATTTACACTCAGGTGAATCTGTCAAAACATGGACTGCTGCTTCCGTGCGAGGCTCTGTTATAGTCAAATTTGGGGCTCCGGATATAGATGTTGCGAAACATTGGTTGAAAGACATGTTATTGCGAGATGGAACAGTGGAGAAGGAGTTTGGAGCACGCTCTTTGTTGTGTCTACAGTGATTCGCATGATCGATGTGCTGTTGCGCCATTCGGGGGTTGTTCTGAGGCGATGTATATATTTACTATGGCGAAGATTGTCATTCCCCGGCAGATGCATTTCATCATATACCACCTAGAATCAAATTTCACATGTATATATATCTTCAATCTGTACTTGTCGATGACAAAGCAAGAAGAAATTGCCGATTCCGAAATTCCCTTATGAGCTGCTATCGTGTAGAACTATCCCTACAAAAGCCAAGAAGGAACTCCAGGTCCCCACACAGCGAGATACACTCATCGCCCGGTCCATACCCAATGAGAGTCCGATCACCAAATCCCCATCCGCATAATGCTCAATCATACTTCCCGTCGTATCCCACCAGTAGTCGAAGATCTCTGATCCGAGAATATACCGACTGACACCCCACATAGACTTGTACCCTTTATGCACAAGCCATTGATGGCCGCGCTACTGGGTGTCAGTACCACGGACTCAAAGAGCAGTGCGGGACGTGATCTGTCGGTTTGGAGCTCATGAATAAGGTATTGTTGTCGACATGCTTTATCTATATGGGTAAATGGCCCCCCGTTCTTCTTATTTCCCTCTTTCCGATGTTGGGGCGACGTTAAAGTTCTTAACATAAAATTCGACAAGAGCTTCGAAGTTCGTGGTGCAAAATAGTGACCAAGCTATTTGAAGTGAGCTTCTTTTCTTGGAATGGTGTGTGTATGAATGGGAGCTATCTATATATTGGCGATCCCAAGTTAGGGAATGTAATGATATCTATATAGGCCCTAGCGCATGGTCCACATGATAGGTTTCAATTTCGCCCGAACGTCCGAGCGCCTAGATTGAAGAAAACGAGATTAATATGATAGATCTAATAAATACCTACATCGCTAAAGCTGTCTCGCTTAGCACGCTATCCCAGATCTCACTGTCGTGTGGCACACCCAACATATCAGGCAATCATACACAGCAAGCTATCCATCCACGAGTGAAGTTAACACATGGCTTCCTTCCATCTCGGCGAGCAATTCTCACTTCCAAAATACACCACCGGTTTTCACACCTCTCTTTTCTGGGCCTTGCCGAACTTAAGGTGTTTCCAAGGTTATTGAGTCAAGCTAAGGTATACATACATACATACATACTACGAGCGTATTCATCCATAAGTTATATGCCTCCGTTTTGTGTTGTTCCTAGCTATCCACATGGATAGATTCTGCGGTTGAATCCAGCCTTGCTTGTTTATTAGATATAGACCTAGCTAGATACGTCGATTCGATTAATTTACAAAAATTAGTACAATCGAAACAAAACGATAATGGGACGAGCCGGGATTGAACCAGCGACCTTGCGAACTTCAGTCGCACGCTCTCCCAACTGAGCTATCGTCCCATTTGGGATGATGACTGTAGCACCATTAGACTCTATGGATCTAATAAATATTAGCGGGATGGCCTAGGTACAGTAGGAACCCTAATAATGGACGTTCCCATACAATATAACTAGATATTATCTTCTTTATCCTCCCAAAAAAAAACGTATATTGCTCTACTTCTTTGCTAGAGCATCTATAGCAATCCCTTATATTTCTTTTTGCAAAATGATTGACTGGTTCTGACCCCCGGGTCCCGCTACTCTCGGAGAGCAACCGTCTGCGGCTGTTAGATCGGGGACAATCTAATTTACCGGAAGCAGAGGAACCTTAAATAATAAATTATATAACTAGTTACATAATCATGTTGCGATAACGTCCACGGGTACTTCACCACTAAGCTAGCCAACACTACTGAGCCAGCCATACCACCGAGTCACCGACCCAGCTATATAACCGACCCGGCCACCCCCTAGACATATAGTAAAGGCGATAAATTACAAATTAATATATTAACGGTAGTCTATATATATTTCCTTATAGTAGTGCTTTCTATGTGGTTTCTAGCCTCTCTTGGGAGTTTATGAAAAATATATGAATGAATTTATGATTACGATATACATTTCTATGACTTTTTACGAGTCCCCGAGCTGAACCTAACGTTCTGTAAAGAGAAGATGAGATAGGTTCGTTAGTTAAATAAAAGTCCGGCTAAACCAAACAACTCGTACGGATATGGCAGTGAAAAAAAAAAGGAAATGGGACGAGCCGGGATTGAACCAGCGACCTTGCGAACTTCAGTCGCACGCTCTCCCAACTGAGCTATCGTCCCATTTGAGATGATGTCATATTCAGTATGATAACCTAGGTAGGTTACCCATATGGTTATTTAGAATTACGGGAGGCAAAGCTAAAGTTAGAGTAGTTGAACTACAACATAACATATAGATAAGACTATCACTTCCTCATCTAATTCTCCTAGGTCCTCTTGAGACTCTAAAAACCTGTGTCATACATTTGTACTGCTACATTTGTATTATTACAACGTTGACTATTTGGTTGTTATTTAAAATGTCTTTTTCAAATCACACCCAATGTTGAATATATATATCGAACATCATACTTCCACCTTATACTGTGATGCAAGTATATATATGTAGAAATAAAGCACATAAATCGTCTAGAATTAAATGATAGTGCATATAAGCTACATATAGTGGCATTAGCATGTATTAATATGGATAGCAAGGAGCTACATAGGATTGAAGTACACAGCACAAAAGCTCATGTTATACAAAGATCACACAAGAAATCGTCCATCAAGAAAATTGGTTGTGTAGTGTAATGGCTCATCACTCTGGTTTCTGATACCAGCAATCCCGGTTCGATCCCGGGCACGACCTTCATTTTTGCCGGCAAGACATAATGGTGGCAAGGCACTCTGATAGGAGGGAAGAAAAATAGTGGGGCAGTTTTTTTTTCTTGAAAAACATAGTGGGTGGGGTGAGGGGGTGATTCCAACTCCTAAATATCTACCAACCGAGCCCAGACTTCGTCTTGAAGTACGGATTTGTACCTGGGTTCTATATATGTATGGCCTTTTTTAGGCCCTAGGGTAGGTTAGCATGTGTGTGGCCGTAGGATTCCAATTGGTACCATAGGCATCAATTCCTCTATATATATTAATATCTTGATCATTGTCGGACTTCCTAGTCTCTAAAACTTTACTTCTTCAACAACTCAACTCAATCAATGTCTCACATTATACCATGCACTTTGACGTGCACCCAGTAGTATTGCCGGAGCAGCTTTGCGCCTTTGTAGAAGCAAAATCCTCTCATTCTCTGTCAGGATCTATCGTCCCCTTTCTTTGTATTGGAAGAAACACTTGGTCTTATGGTCTTATACTAGTTCATGACTTGTGGAGCAAAAAACAAGGTCCTGCCCGGATTCGAACCGGGGTTACTGGTATTTTTCAAATATTTTCACAATATCATTTCAAAAACCAGTATGATTACCGCTACATTACAGGACCTGTAATTTAAAGAAGAAGTCGTAACAAGTTTAATATCTTCATCTTGCATTAACGTTGTGTGGGTAGGAAAAGTGGTGAGACGATAGTACGTAGTTCAGTTGATATGGGCGGCTGACGGGAAGAGATAAGATAAGCATATGCCACGTGTCGTACCGGTCAACTCGGGTCAGCTGACCTCGGGAACTGCGGAAGGAACTGCGGAAGGTGGCAGCCTAGATCGATGCCTGAGAAGGCAGAATAAGGCAGAAATCAACCCCAGTGGAATCAACCCCAGTGTAGTGAGATCCCCTTTATGAGAAAGTAAATAACTTAGATAACGATATTATCGATACATTTTGGCGATTTATGTACAGGAGAGATAAAGATAAACAAAAACAGAGTAAGAAATAAGTAAAAGTGACTTTATGGTCTCATAACAAACCATCTTACCAATGCAAGAGTCAAGACAATGCGAGGCGGTGTTTGCCACAGGTAGTATGAAGACCACTCGCCAAGTCTCGACTATTCGCTACTAACAGCATGGAGAAAAGGGAGTCTAGAGATGGTCTTGCCCCCTAATTCTGAATCCAACGATATCAAATTATTCGAGTTATAAGTATAGACATTTCTTTTGTCAACATCCGGAGTTCTTTGATGGACGATGGTTACAACCCATTTCGGTCCGGATGGGTGTGGCCCCGGGCCGAACTAATTGCTGACATCCCATCTGGCCACCGGGCATGATTGACTACTCGTCAATTTTGGGGCCAAAACCCATTTTCAACACATTAATTTCCACCATACGCAATGGGGGAAGTGAGACGCGACGATTTTATCTCACTTTGCATAAGGAATCGAGACCGGTGGGAGAAGGGCTAGGGTTCATAAAATGAAGAACACGAGCCCAACAGAGTGTTTAGCCCACGGGGACTACTGGTGTTAGGACAAACACGTACTAGTCACCCTCGCGGCATCCCAACAGATTCATCCTTCCATGACAGCCCTCGCCCGACTGACCCTGCTCCGGCAACACCTCGATTCTTCCTTTCACCACCAACAATGATCAAGAATCCAGACAAGGACAAAATAACAATGGAAACCCCCATCCCTCCTCTCCCAAAAGAGCGACTATCCCTCCCCCATCGCTTAAACTGTTTCCTCCAACTTTGGCTGCTCAAATCCCTTGCTGCCCTCTACTTCCTCTACCTCCGCCTTGTCAACACCCCTCAACCAGGCACCCAACCAACCCTCACTAAGCGCTATGCCTGTCGCCCAACCCTAGAGACCCGCATCTTCTACCCGCGCTCCTACAACCCCGCCCAGCGCCAACTGCTCCCACTCTACCTGGACATCCACGGCGGCGGCTTCGCGGTGTGCGATGCCACCGTCGACGACTCCTTCTGCAGCGCCTGGGCCAACCGCACAGGAATGCTAGTGATCAGCCTTAACTACCGCAAGGCGCCGCTCCACCCATTCCCAACAGCCACCTTTGACGTTGCCGAGGTAGCAAAGTGCGTGCTAGCAGATGACTCCCTCCCAATTGACCACTCGCGCATCGCCATCGGCGGCTTCAGCGCAGGTGGCAACCTCGCGCTGTCTGTCTCGCAATTCCCCGGTCTAAAAGGTCTGGTCAAAGCAGCGGTGATATACTACCCCATCGTGGATTTTGGCCACCCACCAAATGAAAAGCTGGATTCAAGACCGTACAAAGACGGCCCAAAACATACGCTGGAAAGGACTGCCTGGTGGCTGGACTGGGGGTATGTGAGCGTCGGCCAGAATCGGAGGGATCCACTGCTCAGTCCGGTGTATGCCGGGAGGGATGAGCTACCGCCGTGGATTTATATGATTGGGGCGCAGTGGGATATGCTCCGGTTAGAGACGCAGCAGATGATTCATGGGTTGGCCGGATTAGAGGATAGAGTCGGGGTTGAGCAGGAGGAGGACTTTGAAGTGGGTAAGTATAAGTGGACATTGGCGTGGGGTTGTACGCATGGGTTTACCTATGACTCGCCACGGAAGAAGGGGGGTGTGAGTAAGAAGGAGAGGGAGGAGATTGCGCAGGGGATTTATAAGGAGGCGCATGAGTGGTTGAGAAAGTCTCAGGTTCTTTCTTAGGTGCCGTATTCTATACCCCGCGAAATAGGATTTAATATAATATCGTAAATATATTATATTTAGAAACTTTCTTTTTTAGCGGATACGGAGTCTTATATCTTAACGGAAAATTTAAACTATTGATTATAGTAATTAATATAAATATGACCGAAAGGACTATCAAACCGTTCCTTTGTAATATCAGATGTATTTCGCCTAGCCTACTAAGAACAACAATTTGCTAACTAGAAAGGGAAATGGGGAGGCACTAGTTACAGCTCTACCACTAGCTTCGTGGCACTGACTCCTGCCTTGGATTTTTGCAGCGCAGATTGTATATGCTCTAAACCTTTGCCGACCACAAGCGGAGGCGGGAAGCACTGGAGCTTTCCAGACTTCAAGGCAGGCGTAACATATTTCTCCCAGACAGGCGTCGCAACGTCGTTGACAGCAAATATCATACCGGCATCGACACCAGCGGGGAGATCGGTAGCAGGGGGAGGTGGATGCACGCAAGCAAGGTGTCCTCCACCCAGCTGAGCAAGGATGGTGATGTCGTGAGTGTAAGTCTCAGGGGTAGCTATCGCATCAAAGATGCCAACGAACTCGCCACCGCTCGCTTTAACTGCTTCGCTAACCTTGTCGGCAAGTAAAGTATCATTGCGATCGAATATTTGAGCTGCGCCGCATTGCTTGCTGAATTCGAAATTGTGCGCCCCGGAAATGGCGATGACGTAAATTCCGGCCGCTTTGGCAAGCTGGGTCGTCATCGAGCCAACAGAGGATGAGCCACCATATATAACGAGCGTCTTGCCAGATGACGGCACGTCCTGCAGCGATGGGTACGGAAGGCCCAGTGCCGGTGTGGCTACACCGGGCATGGCTACACCGGGCTCCTTGAGGGAAAGCACGCAGACAGCGGCCTCCAATGCAAACGGCACCACAACGCCATCCGTGAACGATATTTCGTCGGGGAGTATGGCCGCTTTGTTTGCAGAAATTACTGTGTAAAGAGCAAATGCGCCATCCTGGGGGCGCCCACTAGTCAGATTGATAGCATGTCTATTGGAGAGATTAGATTATGCCTGAATGGTTTCATCTCGATATGCTGTCAAATAACATACCCAATTACCCGATTCCCTTTCTTGAAGTTTTCAACATCATTTCCCACTTCATACACCTCACCGGCGATATCGCAACCAAAGATGGCGGGCCATTGTTGCACGAAAACACCGGAGTCTTGCATATGACAGTCGAGCGGGTTGACAGCAATCGCGGCGTTCTTAACGACGAGTTCTCCTGGACCAGCTGTGGGCAGCGGAGCATCTCCCACCTGTAGGGGTGAGCCAGCTTTGATGAGCCATGCAGCTAAGTTCTTGGGGGTGGACATTTCAACAGAAGAATAGGGTCTTAGAGGAAAGGCGAGAAAGGCAAACCGATGCTTATGAGATGCTTGATTTGAGCAGACAGTTGATGTAAAAAGCAAATTTGGGCAGAACACGACAAACTATAAGTACTTTCGCACATTTGAAGTGATTTCAAATTATCATCATTATTTCAAAGCAAGTAGATAGTAAATATTACCAAGTATAAAAAAATGAAGAACCGCATGTGCCGTTCCCATCGAGAACCATATATGCCGTTCCACCCTTAAGTCCGAGATCGGGCTTAATGCCGAGCTATGCCAGTTTACGCAAAACAGATAACTAGTTAACTAAATAGTTACTCGTATTTTTGTATGACTTACTGTGTAGGCGGCTACGGTATTGGAGGGGCCAGAACATGAAGGCGGGAGAGAGTTGATTGCTATGGAAGGTGATCTGCCGACTCTATCTACTCACGAGGGGTTGATCAGCAGCCTGAGGCACTAATGTTGTGGCCTAAGGCATATGTCGGATGGCATACTTACCTAAGTAGGTAGTCGCCCGTAGTTACTGTAACTAGTTAACTACATCCATGGATGGCCTTTCGGCCCCGCGTTATCTTCCAGCGTCTATCTCAACCTCCACCCTGGGAAAAAGGGTTGCTATTTAATATGCGGCTCAGTCCACGAGATCTACTCGAGTATAATGCGGAATACAAAGTGCTGATCTGTCGCGATTGCCAGTATGCCATTCAGAAAAATGCGTTGGGGAGCCATTTGCTCCGCCACAAAATTTACCGAGAAGAAAGGCTTAGTTTACTGTCCACCATCCATCAACTCGACATTGTTGAGCCGGGTGATCTTTCACTACCTAACCCAAGTGCATCACCGGTTCATGCCCTACCCGTAGTGTCTGGGTACTCATGTACCATGACCGGGTGTGGGCATCTCTGCGCAAGCTCTAAACGCATGAGACGCCACTGGAATGATGTCCACAATGTTAGTGGGCCGAATGATTTTGCCTCTCACACGCGCTCAGTGAAGCTTCAGACGTTCTTTCGCGGTACAAAACTCAAGTATTTCGAGGTCTCGATTACAAGAGCCGCGGAGTCACAGGGTTCAGATGAAGGGGATGGACATGACAGAAACGACTCTGGTGTGACCGAAGTCCCGTCACTAGCACAGCCAGTGTCACTTTCTGAGTTTTCTCCCGTGGTGGACCTAGAGACATTGACCTACTTCCATCATTTTATCATTAAAACGTGTTTGACGCTTCCTCAAGTCGAGGATTCCCCACTAGCGTCACAATATTGGGGGACGTACATTGTCTTGTTGGGTCTACAACAACGATGGCTGATGTGTGGATTGCTGGCCATTTCTGCATACCATTCAGCCATGCTTGACGAGACAACAGCACAGAGAAAGCACCGTGAATGGGCGACAATGCTCCGTTCCGAATTCTTGGTCGGGTTCAACGAGATGACAAACAACAGTTCAAACACTGTGTCCACCGAGACTTTCAAGCAAATGAGAACGGCCGCAATTCAAGTGAACGACATTATAAGCTGTGCGCGATGGAGCTTCGCTGGATTCACTGTGGATCAAGAGAATGTCCTAGGTCCTGCCGCATCCATACCATGGCTACAATCTTTACTATGTGACGTTAGAGCTTTTGCGTCTTCTCAGTTAGGAAACTCTTTAAAATTTGAGCAGAGCACGGGCGATAATCTTCAAACATCTTTGGGTACGAATAGCCCGCGAGGTGCCACCGCAGCACTGACTCCACTACTCAACCGTCTTCAGGTGCTCCCTTATCGCATGGCCGAGATATTCGGGAAACCAGATGATGAACAAGATGCGCCAGCTGTTCTACTCGGCATTGCCGCATTGATCCAATGCTGTAACAGCGTCTTCGAGTCCAATGTTCTATCAGGGGGTTGGCAAGGTATAAGCGCATGGTTAAACAAAACCACCGACCACTTCAATCATATGGTTTCACTTCAAAGCCCAGCCGCCCTCATTGTGCTTGCCCACTGGGCGGCTACTCTGGTTAAATGGGCTGAAGTTCATGAGTGCTGGTTCATACACGGCTTTTCGGGGGCAATTGTTTCGCTTATTCACAAACATCTTTCTGCAGATGGTGCAGTTCAAAGTTTAGTTGTAGATCTGTTGTAGTGAACGAATCTATGTGGCTGTACTGAGCTAGTTATAAAATCTTTTGTCTGATGTTTTAAATCTCGATGGAATGGATTCACTTCAGTCTGCTGAACCAACCGTAAGTGGGAAGAAACCCTCTATATACTAGATTAATCATCTTCATCAGGTTGTCTAAGCATAGTCAACGTTAACTTCATCATGAAAAGCGCCATACAAACAATCCCAAGCAGTCCTATAGAGAGCCATCCCAATGCCATGGCCACAGCTCCCACATGGCCCGAGACGGCGCCATAGGTGAGAATTTCGGTCATTGTCGCTGTAGCACTGCTGTTGATGTGCTGCCACAATATGGAAATAAGGCCAAATCCAAAGCTGGCACTCACAGCGAGTAAACAAATCGATAATGCAATTCGAGAAGGGAATGGCTTCGACTCGAACGCTGATCCGTTCTCATCAACTTCATTACGCCATCCAGGGAATGTCGATAGGCTTAGGATACAAATGAACATCAAGGCCACCACGATATATCTAAACATCAATACCATTAGTATATTGCAAGTATCGAAATCGCCAGAGAAAAAGACTTACATCAGCCCGTTGAATACAATCTTCTCCTTAAATTCATTCGCAATCATAATCAAATTGAGCGGGTCGGGTACAATTTCCGTGCTTGTATTCCCGTTGACAGACCTTTGTGTCTGAAACAAATTTGCCAGCACCTTTACATTGTTAGAGCAGATGCGTCCTGTATGGCTCTGCGTCACGCAGATCCCCATGTACCCCGCTCGCACTTCGAGAGTCGTGCCGTTGCCGGTTTGGGACACATCTTGGATAGCATGCGCAATAGCTGAGCTTACTTGCCCGGGTTTTGTGGGGAATGAAGACTCTTTCGCCGTATATTCTAGCGACAATAGGTATACATTGCTTAGACTGTTGGAAGAAGAACAGCCCGCAAGTAGAATTGCTGGGAGAATATATTAATCGAAAAATCCAGAATCAATGGATTAATTTCCCTCACATAACAAAATAACTGCAATTGCCGATAAGAGCATCAAAAATTGATGGTAAGCGAGATGAGGCAATGATTCCCCTTTGTGGCGGTTCGTGTCAGCACTTATAACCCATTCTAAATCTTGAGAATCTTACTTATTCGCTTAATTTCGGACCTCAATGCCATGGCTTTAGTACCAAAGGTATATAGTAGGTTGAGAGGAGGGGTAAAGAAGAATTAAGTGAGAAGGTCAATTTCAATTGCGCATCGTATTTCGAGCTGAACACACCCTATACTAACCCCATCTAGACTAGTGCGGTTAAATACAAAATTTCAGGATATATCTATCTATGTTGGATTCTACAAGGCGAAAGACCAGAGAGACCGAAAGAAAAGTTGTATTCTCTAGGGGACTTCTCCAGAGTTAACTATATCGTGCAATGGGATTGAAAGACCCTCGCCCCGAAACCCCCCAAAGGGTAACAATTAGCATCATTAGAATTACAAGCATCACAACACCCACGGTCAGCCCATGCTTAATGCCAATAGCGAGCGGGCGTGTCCAGATAAGTGTCAAAGGCACCACAATGAATGTTGCGCTCAAGATCAGGTAGATCGATGTCATTCTAAGCCACAAAGGTGCGTGACGCACTCTATGCATGACAAGATCTGGTAATGCGTTTCGAAACTTCGGTTTGGATCTGAACCAGAATGGAACGCCAACAGTGGCTATAACAATGAAAACAATACCGATGCTGGCAGCATCCTGGATATTGGAATCAAGCTCGCAGGTCCAGAGGACAGAAAGTGGTATTACCGAGGCCACACCAATCAACAAAACGAAGGCAATGATGAAACCGAACACAGCCCAGAACTTCTTTGCTATTGAACAGATTCCTTTCGCTGCCCTTTTACAAGTCTTGGCAATAATGGCACCCAGTCGGCTTGCTATTGACTGAAAGATCAGGGGTATCGGAAGCGATCGAGGTTGCAGGGCTTGACCATTCCTTGCGGCGTATCGCCTGACATCATTTTTCACGGCTGCTTTGAGATCAATCAACCAATCGCTGCGCATAGTCATGCGCATCAGATAGGCAAATGCTGTCACGACAATAGCCACAATAAAGAAGTCGCTGATAGGAACAGGGTTTGCAAATGGTTCGATTTGCATACCAAAAACAGAGGCCGCGAAGGACATCGGGACAAAAATGAACGCGAGTTCAGTTAGTCTTGCTACAGCATGAGCCTCCTCAATTGAGCGTCGGCTGTCCAACAGGCCCATATTGGAGGTCAAGGATGCTGATGTTCTTTGAAGTCGATCAATAATATGATCGATATTCTTCCAAAGCTCCTGAATATCTTGCGCAACCTCTAAACTCATGGCTGCAATTTCCGTGGGAGAGCTTAGAGGATGGAGGTTGATAAGGAACTCAATAAAAGGCTCCATTGAGGATCTCAGCTCTGGGAGCTCTCTCTGGGCACGGTTAATGATCTGTCGCCATAAGCCCAATCGATCCTCCATCTTTGTGTCATCCAGAATTTCGATATCTATTTCGTCAAGAATCTGTCGCAGCTGATTGAGAAGGGTCAAAGTATCTTGTTTGATGATTCGGAAGACCGGGTTGACCAGGTTAAGTGATGTCCGGTGCATTTCAAGCGCGCCACAGATTTCTGCTTTGGTTGACTTAGTCTCCCTGAGTTTGTTCTCCCAATCTGCCATGGACTGTGATGTCCGAAACACTCGGTCTAGGTCAACTGAGACTTCTTGGCGAGGGGCTATTTGTTCGATGATAATTGTCTTCAGTACTTCAGGATCCGTCTCGGATTTGGAGCTTTTTCGCCTTTCTCTGCCAATGAGCCAGCCCAAAGACGTAGCAATGGAATGTTGGTCCCTGACACGTTGTGGTTCCTCTTCGATTATGGAGGAGTGGTACGACGCATCGTCATCGTCGTCGTTGTTCTTTTCGTTCTCCCCCTGGGAACCAGTCGACGCCCAGTATTGATGCGTCTCAGATATCTCCGGCAAAGGGTCAAGGAGAACAATTACTACACGGATTGTCAGTATCTCATATTAGGTTTTACTTCATGTATATATCACTTACCAATCTCAGCATTTTGATCAATGAGCTTCTTCCTCCAAATTGACACTCTCTCCTCTAACCCACACACCCTTTTCATCCTAACTGTTTTTGCAGGGTCTGTCCACAAGCCCCACTCTAGCCGGAATATGTTGGTGAGGATTTTTGTCCTAACAGACTTCCCTTTTGTAAAATGTGTTGTGCTGTCCTCGAGCAGATCTTCAAGGTCGCCACTTGAGAAGTAGGTTGGAAGTCGATAAACTGGCCGAATCCACCTGAATGACATGTGGGATTTATCAAACGATGCTGTGCTCCAGTTTCGAGCCGGTGGGCTGTCATATTTTCCACCGGCATAGCCAGAATTCAGTAAATGCTCTTCGAAGAACTCTGGATTGATGCTGAAGGCTTCACCCAGTTTGGCTATCGTCGGTTTTGAAAGATCTTCCACAAATATGAGCCTTTGCTGCACATCTTCTGAAGGTTGACACAGGGCTGCGATATCTTCTGAATCACTGATGTATCTTGGATCGGATATGATGTTATCGAAACAGTCGTAGTAGGTGATTGAAGTCTCCTCGTGGCGGGAGTCTTTACCGACGCTGCCGTTTTTGATATGTTCCAGCACCTTTTCGGCATTCTTAATAATTTCTCCGTATGATGGCGGACTCGTTCCTTCTAATGCATGAGGAACAAGCTGTGCTGGATCAAGTATTTGTTCTTCTTGGCGTGGACTTTGGTTTGATGGTGGTCTAGATAAAGGCAGGGGAAGATCAGATGGATCTATTGGAGCGAGTGGTTGCGAGGTCATCTCTTGGATAGGTTGAGATCCAGTGTCATCCTCAGCATCAATATTGACCGATCCCAACGGATTTGCTTCCGGAACACGGCCATGTGTAAAATGGTCATTACGCAAAAGATCTTCTAATGAGTCTGTTGCACTTGGCACAAGATGATTTTGATGGCAAGAGGGTCTGGCAAGATCAGGGTCATATTGTCGCCCTGTTGCCATTATACAGAAATTCGGGAAGGGCGAGACAGTTCATTCTTACCATGGCATATGCCGATGTAGGTGTTTCCCACATCTCAGCCTCAGCCTCAAGCGAAGTGGCCCGTGCACGTATATACCCCGCTTCTTTTCAGTTCTCACATATAAAGATGCATGAGGAAGCTCAAGTCGTGCATAGGATACTTCCTCGCCCCTTGCGCGTGTTACCAGAAGTTACCGATCGAACTTTATTAACACGTGTGACCAAGGGGATGACTAGCGCTAAACGCCGCTAGTGTCTCGTTCTTGTTGTGTGGACACGATATTCAGTAACGCGACTTTCATGATAGTGTTGTTGTTAAACAGTATCCTCCGTGGGCAAACCACGCGTGTTTGTGTGCGAGTGTGTGCGTGCGTGGTTATCAATCAGTCTTCTCATAATGACGAGGGGGCTCGAAAGTGTGGGATAAGACGGTAAGTAAGATCGTCAGTTTCTTCGAATAATTCACGTAGTGGCGAGGTGAAATTGAAATAGCGGGTGAGGTCTGTCGATGTGACAGCGAAGTCCCGTTGTAACGAGGGTCGGTAGTGTCTTGCTACCTCTGGTCTGTTATTCAATCAGAGTGTGCTCAGAAGATGAAAAGAACAAATTGTTCAGAGCCTCTAGAGAAGGCGAGAGGAGAATAACATCATGGATTGTGCTAAGCTGGAGAGGGTAGGAAGAGAGAGAGGGAAGAGAGATCAGTCCTGGAGGGCAGAAATGTCAACAGTTATTATTTATCCTATACAGGTCTGAGAATATGAACAAAAGGTCCGACGGTTGGCTAGCTGCCATATCGATCTCTCAAGGCTTCGAAGTCAGCACGAATTGATGAGCATATATCATCAACCAATGCCATTTCCTCCTCTACTGGCACGCCCAAGGCTCCAGCTTGCCAACTCACTGTGCACATCAAGCTACCCCCTTTGACACTGATAATGTTGAAAACAAGTGGTGCACTAGTAACATTTCCAGGCTGCGAGAATACCATCTTGACGACTTTGCACCTTTGATCTGCAGCGTCACCCATGTTATCGAAGGCAAGCAGATTGCTCAGTTCGTACGAGGAGTCCCGCTGCTGTCCAATTTTACTCAATGTCCAACTCCTAATGCTGGGCACATATCTGAGCAGGCCGATTGCTTGGTCCTGCAGCTTTGCACCGCATGTAGCAAGATTTCTTGTCATCAAACTCGCGGCTGTCCACATCTCCTCGGAAAAACCAGGCTCTGTCACATTTTGTACCCGTGGATGTACCTCGTAATGACCAGATACGAAAAGGCCCCATGTGAGACCCGGCGTCCCGATAGACGCTCGCATATCGACAGGCGTCCCTGAGACAAAATTGGTCACTTCAGGGTTAGGAATGGCCCTGCTTAGCGCCCGAACAATCATCTGATGCACCGTTGCCGTGAGCTTGGTGCCATGACTTCTTGACGTTTGCAAGGCCGTTTGGACCAGCGGAGCCTCAATCTCGAGGAGTCTTACTCTGCTCTGGAGGGTGGCCGTCGGGTCAAAGAACATGGGTGGTCCAATCCAAGTACCGGCATCTAGCGTGCTGGCAGATGCGCGGAACCCAAGAAGTCTGGCCAAAAACTTTGGCAAGTAAACTGCTATCAACGGCTCGAGGAGAAACTTCCAGGATATGGGAAGCCTTTCGGGAGTGTCAAAGGGTGCCGGAAGCGTTTGACTTGGCGGAGTCACTAAGAAAGAGGCATTCTCCTCCACGCCCGTAGTCTGGCGCCATGCATCTAGAAAGGTGCGATGGAATGCAACTCCGACCATGCCATCGCCGAGAGCATGGGAGAACGCAAAGGTGATAAAGCATCGCGTCACCGTGGAGTCTGGCGACACCAGAGGGAGGACCACGATTCGCCAAGGTGGAATATCAGCAGGCCATGGCCGGTCAAGTATGGCTGGTAGGATCTTTTGAATTGTTGCCATTTCATCATCGCTACTGACTTGAGCTTCGTGAATTATAGACACATGATCGTGGAGATCAATGCTAGAAACCGCTTCGTATGCTGGCTTCTCGGTATGCTTGTCCCTGACGACCACGTTTAGGTATGGGTACTTCTCGATGCAGTGTCTCAAAGGTGCAAGAAATGACTGGGCCGAATTAACGTCGATGTTTTCACTCGCAATCTCATAAACTGCGGCTATGACGAGCGCGTTGTAGTAGCCTACATCTTCGCGACTAATGGTACGGCGTTCATTGGGACCTAGGTTCCGGTTAGTGCCACCGAAAAATTCAAGAAATAAATTTCACTAACTTGCAAGTCTCATGAATTCTGTAGAGTGCGACATTTCTATACAACGACTATTGTACAACATAAGAGCACCATGTGCTGTCAGAATATAGGGGAATATGTCGGCATAACTATCTTCCGGCTATATTAAATGTCAGCCTGGCCTATGCCCTAAACAGGTGGTACCTTGGTTTTTGTTATTATTTCTTCCCACATTAAATCTATTTTGGGACATCGACAGATTACAGATTTGGGGGCTGGAAAAACTTCAAAGCAAGGTGGAAATGTATCGCAGCGATATAAAGATTTCATATCTGAACGACTATCAAGGCTGTATAGGTCAGCAAGTCTAGAAATTGCCAAATTATATTCGTCAGAAGAAAGTGATCTATTCTGCAATTCGTGGCTTGGAGTTGATGAGATTGCATATAAGTACTCCAGCTACTTGGCCCAAATATACTAAACGTTTATCCTGTTTGCTAAATACTCCTTGCTGAATGGGTAATCCGAATAACCCGCTGCCGACTCGAAGACATAAAATGTTTCTCTCTTGTACGCATTCAGCTCCAGACCCTTCTTAATCCTAAATATGAGATCCGGATTGGAAATGAAGTACCGGCCAAAGACGACGATGATGTCCTTGTCCGGATACTTCTCATCCACCAACTTACGGGCCTCATGCGATGTATACCCGCCAGCAATAAGAAAAGGTCCGTTCCATAAATCGTATGCAAAGCCCAGAGTGTCATGGCCGTCATAATCTTGGGGGCCAGAGATCCGCGACTCCACTAGATGAAGATATGCAACATTCGCCTGGCTGGCTTTGCTGATCACATCTGTGAACTGCGGGATGGGATTCTGCATTCTCATACCCTGGAACGTACTCCATGGGCTCAGTCGAAGCCCGACGCGCTCAGGACCAATTGCATGAGCAACAGCTTTGATCACGTCGTCGAGAAGACGGGATCTATTCTCCACATTCCCTCCGTACTCATCGGCACGGTTGTTGCTGACATCTTGGATAAATTGGTCGAGCAAGTATCCATTCGCGCCATGAATCTCGACTCCGTCAAATCCGGCTTGAATAGCGTTCTTCGAAGCGGCGACAAAATCTTGGATTGTCTGCTTGACCTCATCGGTAGTCATGGCCCTGGGCACCACAGCGCCTTCTTCCTTGGGAATAGCACTGGGAGCTACGATATCGATGCCTTCTTTCCGAGCTATATCGACATCCGCCACACGGCCCATGGCGAATAGTTGACAGAATATGAAACATCCCTTGCGATGGACTTCATCGGTGACGATCTTCCAGGCTGCGACTTGGTCCTCGCGCCAAAGCCCTGGTGCGTGCTGGAATCCGCCGCAGATTGCCGATATAAATGTTCCCTCGGCGATGATCAAGGTGCCTGGTGCTGCGGCGCGTTGGCCGTAGTATTCCTTCATGAGGGGTGTTGGCACTCGGTCTTCGGTTGCTCGGAAACGAGTGAGTGGTGCCATCCCAATGCGATGTTTCACTTCCATGTTACCAATCTTGAGGGGCTTGAAAAGGCGTGATTGAGGCATTGTCAAGAATATTTAGGCAATTGTTCTTCAGTGAAAGAGTTGAGAATAGAGAATATTTGACCCATATTGGCTCACGGCAGACCAGGTATTTGTACTCGATTTTCAAATAACAATAACCTATAGTCGTCGGATGAATGTTAAAAGCTCTATACAAGCAGGGTATAGAGATACTTCTCAAAAGGGAAAAAAGATACTTCCTATTAGGGAAAGGCGATTGAGCTTGGCCATTTACGGTTAGAGTTTTCAACATTCGGCCAATCATCCATCTGGAATATGAGGTAGTGGGGCACAGCATCCGGAGAGTTTCTTCCTTTCAGCCGCCTAATCGGCGCCACCCAGGTATAATTGGCTAAACAAATAGAAGAAGGCTGTCATCAGTTTCGGAATTAACTATATATGATTTGATAATTATATATGATTTGAAATCAACAATTCGATTTGAAGCCCAATAGTTGAGATTGAGCTAGTCTAGAGTGAATTTTCTTCCCAAAAGGCTTTAACCTGGGACAAAAATGCTTTATCAGACCATATGAACTGCTTAAGAATGAGGAGCAGCTCTGGCCATGACGTATAAAGCCACCTTAATCTGCTGTGATTCAGGTGCAACAGCTGCACATAACCCTGTCGTGTAGACCCTGTGGGAGCAAAAGCACCTCCGATGTGCAGGAGCCAAGCCAACAAATCAAGCGTATCATCCCACACTGGACTATTGATCGCTGATTGTATCTTGTAGAGCAATTGTAATGAAAGGTGAGACTAGCCGGAGTTAGCAATGCCCGGTATGAGCGACTGGGTGTCAAACGCAGTCAAAGCTACTTACGGGGATGGTTGAAGTCCGCCACATTTTGCAGCGCAGCATAGTCGAACATAGATACGCCGCTTGGTGGCAACATTCCGAGATGGGTGAGCAAACTGGCAGGCTCACTAGCCTCGACTGGATGGACGCTTGGTGGTTATCGATATGTGCCATCGGCATTGCCTCCTCTTCGTCGAGAATTTCTGTATCTCGGATACATTGCAATGCACGTACGTCCTTGAGAATTTCAACAAAATCTGGGCCTAGTAAATAAGAGCGACTTTGAAATCCATGTGGAAGAATAAAAAAGTTCGACTGGGAAGGATCCCTCCTCCATTGGAGCTCGGAAAAGGTTGTGTGATCAACAACTCGGCTTGAGCCTGTCGTGACCGAACCATTTAAGTCTGACCCGTCGACTATTATAAGGCTTGGCTATCAGGAAATGCTCTAAGTTACTTACCAGAAAATCGCACGTTTGATATCGTCACTCAAATAGACGCGTTTTCTTTGACATACGTCCAGAATCTGTTGTATCGCTCCCATATGGAGCTGGACTTGACGTGGCATCCCAAGCCGGACCTTGATTATAGATAAAAGCTTTAGCTTTCATAGCAAAATTGAAAGGAAAGCTTGGACAAACCTCTATACCGGCAAGTAGCAGAATAGCTCCTATTGTGGACTCCGTAGCAGCCTTATCCGGAGAACTCATTCTTTGTCGAATAGAGCTCAGAGCCTTGTTTTGGTATTCGAGACACTCCCTACTGGACATGCCTGCTGTGACGGTGAATAAAAATGTGAGCATAACGGCGCTTAGAAGAGCGTTATCATCTAGTCCTTTTCGAAGGACGGAGCGGAAGTTTTGAAGCACAAGTTCATCTGCAACACTGAAGTCCGGCTCCGTGGGTTGTTGAAGCTTTTCTGTATCTTGTGAGCCGTTGTCGGACATCGGACGGTTTCCAGAAGCTTGCCTTTTAGCAATACCCGTAGTATCGGGGACTCTGCGGCCATCATTTGGAGCGGATCGGAGAAGCCTACAGTAAGGGAGGTTGGTGGCGCGGTAAGAGCTTCATCTTGTTTCGCTTTGCTTGCGGATTGACTCTTATTGTTTGCTGGACATACAACATGGAAATTATGGCCCGAACTTTGCTGGAGCTTTCTTTTGTTTCGGAGGCCGTGCGCTACAGCATGCGATCGGGCTAAGCGCTTCGTTGTGCGGTCATTTGACTTTTTTATTGGGATAAAAAGGAATTCAGCCCCTGGAAAGTCAAGGTTAATCAATGGAGTCATGTCCGCTCCCTTGAAGCCCTGCCCTACCTGTATTGAGGTCATTGTGTGTGGACATCGAAATAGAACAGTATTTGTAGATTAATTAAGCGGTTCTCTTTGATCAAACGCGTGCATATTCTTAAGTAAGGCGATTGCTATGATATGCTCATCCCTTTCATAAGCGTATAATGAGTTAGTGAGTTAGTTAAATCAGTATCTCGTCCAGGGTCGATGGCCGGGCTCCAGCCCTGGAGCCCTAGGGATGGTTGGATTACAAATCAAACGCGCTGCAGGCGGGCGGGCCCAGCCGTGGAGGTGACCCTCCGGAAGTCCTCCGAGACCGGCAACCGGCATGAACACATCGGTGATAAGGTTTGGGGGTGAGATTGCGGCCCGCTCGGCTAACCAAACCTCAGAAGAGACTCGCGAAACTACCTAGGTAGAGTCGCATATACACAGCGTAATAACACATAGGCTGTATTCCAACCATCTTTCCCAGTACGGATGATGCAGCGAATAGTGGAGGGGCTTTCTAGGCCGACTCCCAGAAACTACCGATATGGCCAACAGAATGACAGACACGATAATATATGCATTGATATCAATCACCACTCGACAAAACATATATATATATAACTCCACTCCACTACCAGGCTGTCATACCACCATCGACCCGAATATCCGCAGCAGTGATATAGGAGCTCTCATCTGAAGCAAGGAAGCTAGCCACAGCGGCAATCTCCTCTGGCTGACCGATGCGTCCAATCATGATTTTTTGCATCACGTCTGAGGCCCACTCCGCGTCCTCAAGCAAAGGTGCGGTTTGCAAGGTCTGAATAAGACCTGGTGAGATTGAATTGGCCCGGATACCATGCGCACGCCCCTCCATGGCCAACTGGCGGGTCATGGAAATAACACCCGCTTTCGCAGCTGTGTGGGCGATACCAGGCACGGGACGAATCGCGATCCAGCCGTTGGCAGATCCAACATTGATGATGGATGCACCAGACTTCTTCAGGTGCGGCCATGCGACACGAGTCAACAGGTAGACAAGGCTTAACTCCTGGTCAATTGTTTTGTACCAGTCATCATCCTTGCCGTCATCGAGCCAGCTCATATGGGCCATTCCCGCATTGTTGTACAGCACATCAATGCGTCCATACGTATTGATGGCTAGGGTCACAAGTCGCTCGCAGTTTTCACGTTTTGTGAGATCACATAAGGACATAGATACCATTTCACCACCTTGCTCTCGTACGGCTTCGATGGTTGCGGTGTCGTTCAGGGGGTTGATGTCACAGCCGACGATTTTGGCTCCTTCTCGGGCAAACTTGAGGGCTGCTGCACGTCCCATACTACCACCTGTACCGGTGATAATACATATCTTGTTTAACAAACGGGGTGCCATAACGGTTGGTTTGGTGGTTGGTATATGTCGAAAGAGATATTTGGAAAGCTGTGATAAAAGTATTGAGGGGAGGGGAGGGGGCCACGGCGGGCAATATGAGGGGTGACCGATTCGCAAGAATCTGGTAGGACTCAATGAACTGGTCGGTCAGTATCTCTTTGAATGTTGCTTTTTGGAGGAATCCGAATCCAACCAAGAAAGCGCTTGAATCTATTCTTTGTTAGTTTCTCCACATTAACCAAGTGCCCCGCCAGTTATCGAACCGGAAGCTCGGCAGGTGCATATCGTGGCTGCACGATGCACGATCAAAAGGGTCGATTGCATCCACGGATGGACGATCGGGGTTCGATAGCGTGTCGCTTTGTAATTTATCTACTATCGCCTTAACCGATACTACCAGGGTTCTCCTAGTAAACTTAGCTCCTAGTCAACTGATAGAGGTTAGCACATACCCCTGGATGACGGATGTCAATGAACTTTCAAGTCCCACCCCTACTTCCCAAACCACAAAGCTAAGCTGGTTTGGGCTTCTGAGATGGGCAATGGCTTGCCGATGATCACCCAATATTTGGGCACCCATTCAGCACAGCATGTTTGTATTGTTTACTGCTTCCGACTCCAGGGGCGATTGGGTAATTGAAGCCCACGAATTTAAAGGAAAAATTTACCACATAAATTCCGCGGTCCCACCACGCAATCCTTCGTTATTCGCCCGATTGGCTATATTAAGATGCCATCCATCATCCTGCGCACCGTGTGCCTCATACAATGGAATGAGTGGTGCGTCACATAGGAAGAACAGACACCAGTAAATCTCTTTGTTTGGTAATAAATTATGTTTTTGAAGCCACAAGTTGCCCCACCTATCTATCCAGAGCAACTAGACCGATCGAAGTGGGCGGATGGGTAGTCTTCCAATCCCCAGCTAACTGCAAGGACTAAGGATTCCCCCTCATTCCAGTCGGAATTAATCTGGGCCTTTTAAAGCTCAATTACTCAGATACCACCTTGGCTTGTAGGTTTGACCTGAGGGCTCTTAATTCCGAAATTTTGATGTTAAATTGCAATTAGCCCACTCCAACCACAACTTACATTGCCCGACGTCATTATGCGTGTGATACACAGGAATGAGGCCCACCCATCACCCGAAGACTGATGCAGACGCTTATAATTCGCACATGGGGAAGCCATTGGCGGGCTATACAACACCGGGAATAGGTACGGGGCACACACAGCTGGATGATGAGCATACTAAGCCAGCCTGGCAGTGAAGCTGGATACCATCTTTATCTCTTCCCTCAACAGAGTTTCTGGCAGATTTGCTCCTTCAAATGCTGTGTTCTGGGTCACACCTATAGAGTTAGTAAGTAGATGTGGTCTTGTCCAGCAAGTGGATACTAGACTTGCTACCAAATTATTATCTTCCTTCTTCCTCCTCATCCTCCTTCGTCTACCCAACTATTATAATGGCATAACCACATATCAAGACCTTGCGAATTCTTCCTTTGTTAGGAACACGACTATCTAGGGCTTCTTCTAATCAGATGGGTATTTCTCTCCTTCCATGTATAGATGGATGGTCATTAGTTCAGAAACTATCTAGCTGTCATCATCCTTATTGTCTTAGGGAGTTAAGAGCGTCAAAAGCGGCCTCTCGCTATTACTATAAAAGAATGATTATTTACGGCACCTCCCAAATTGGTGATTGGGTGTAGAGCACCTTACGTCCTGCATCTAGGACTAATTAGTTACCCTATTAAAACAGCGACTTAACAAAAGCAGTCTCAACCAACCGTGATTAATACCTCCGTGATTAATACCTCCTATTGAAATCTCCAATTGGCCACAGATCTCGGCGCCATGGTTGTAGAGTAATTTCCCTTTTCTCCTATGTTTAACTTAATACAACTACACAATACCATACATTGTGCTGCTCCATGATCTCATCCCACGTATAATGTATGCAAGTGGTAGGTAGGTCTGTCTAGTTTGGAAAGGCGCCTAAAACAAAAAAGAAGAAGGTGCGAGCCGGGCAAGATGTAACTACCTAGTTAACTAGTTATGTGATTGATTGAAGTAAACTTCCAGCCTGTCTAAGCCGTGGACGCTCCCAACTAAGCTATCGATCGCCCCCCACTTCACCGAGGTCCCAACCTTGGAAGGACTACTTACTAAGTAAGTAGGCAGGGGAAAAAAACAAAAACTAATGGGACGAGCCGGGATCGAACCAGCGACCTTGCGAACTTCAATCGCACGCTCTCCCAACTGAGCTATCGTCCCATCTGGGATATAGATTCATTTCCAGGTTGGCATCATGAATCTGACTATAATTGTTTAGGTGCTCGGACCAGCACAACCCAGATTTGGGTCTCACGGGTCTACTCTGTATGTTGTACATATGTTGTAGTCTAGGTGAGGATTTCTGGATATAAGTTCCTTTTAGATAGGGCTACCGTACAGAAAGTCTACGGTCGCATTTTCTTAGAAAGCATATTAATTACTCAACTACAATCTTGGAATGCCACAAGAATAGCCCGCCCCTTATGCGGCCTTGCCATGTCGTTTTGGTACTCTGTTTAGATGTCTCCTCCCCCTTCTCAGTTGAAAATCGATGTGAACTCTTTCGGGAATCAGGATTTCAAAGCTAACCCTAACTCGGCATCATTTTGGCTTACTAGGAGTGAACTCCTATGCAATCGAGACTAGCGCCTTTGATACGATTTGGGACCTGCATCACTAGTTCTACGTATACCATTACATTTTGTTATATCGCAGGAAAGCATTTCAATGCAGGCTGCTTCCGTTCAATGGAATCTAGTACTCCGTAGAAGCTGGCAATATCACTGTTTATTTCTGATTCATTACAAATTCGAGTTCAACCAACGACGGGTTTTTATATCTACAGTGATAGTGAAGTTCATAAATATGGCCTTCCAGCGTTTCATCAAGTATGAACAGGTTAGACATTCTTGCTGTTTATTCTTGACACCTTCCAGTATACATTTGCAAGAGATTACCCCATTTGTTACATGCAGTATAGTCCTCGCTATATTTGTTCATCATTCTCGAGATATATCGTCTATACGGTCTTCTATACTGCAAGGAAAGGCGGAAAGGGTTCAAGATTTGCAGGCGACTTTTATTCAATCAATATATATATGTATGTCCTCCGAAGTGCAGTTTTCTCCATTTCTTGCTTTAACAACTCAATAACTATGAGATATTCTCATGGGACAAAACCACTTGACTTTGTGAACTTGTATCTTATCCTATCTCCCATATAGTTAGTTATTCGATCTTGTTTGTGGCTGGGGAAATAAAGATTGCAAAGAGATTTTGATCGCAATCACCTAGTGAGTACCTAATTTAATTTGATTTAGACTGGCTCGTTTTTCTAGAGTCATTCATTATTAGTTAGATAGTTAACTAACTATGTATTGATGTCAGGTAGCAGTGGAAAAAAAGGAAAAATAATGGGACGAGCCGGGATCGAACCAGCGACCTTGCGAACTTCAATCGCACGCTCTCCCAACTGAGCTATCGTCCCATTTGGGATGAGGACTGAAGCACATCTAGGGTCTATGAATCTAACCAGAGTTGTCAGGGGAACAATGGCCGTTCCAATCTGAAAAAACGGTCTAACTAATTCATCAAAGGTTAACTAGTTAACTATGTATACATAAATATAAAAATCTTTTATATAACTCAAGCTCTTTACCGCCTTCATATGCACAAAAAAGGCATGACAAGGTCACATCAGCGGCCGACCCTTGTAGTCTTATAGAAAGGACCCTATAGTTAGTTATTCATACATACAATGAATAAATACATCAACGATATGTTCAAAAACAGACAACAGTTACGGGTGTATTCTCAAAGAAAAGAACTTGTTGTAACCAACCTGGAATGAGCTGCATCCATCCATCCATCCATTCGTTCATTCCTCTCTCCATAGGTGTATGTATGTAGTGTGGAGGAAAAAAGCAAAAAGTAATGGGACGAGCCGGGATCGAACCAGCGACCTTGCGAACTTCAATCGCACGCTCTCCCAACTGAGCTATCGTCCCACTTGGGATGAAGATCGATGCCGAGAAAGAGATGATTATTTATTTTGGACAGCCCACGCTGGTGGCATTAAATACCGTCTAGGAATAACAGATAACCATGCAAGACCTCAGTGTACAAGCTACCTATAATAGGTGCATATTACAGAGTATTTATTTCATACCTCAACATGTGATCCATAATGTCAAAGGACTCAAAGCGACCGTACTGTCGGGGATGTGCGGCAATCAACCCTAGTCATAAAACCACCTTTCAGATCGACGGGAAATGACATAGTCCTTTGGGAAACATTAAACTTATTCCCGATTGAATCTACATAGGTATATATATTGCAACCAAAGCGGCGAGATGTTACTAGGTCCTTTTGTGCTTACTCCATACCTATGTATGTATTACTCTTTATAACGAACTCTGAAAAAAATATATATATGTATATATATGTAGTGGGAAGACTATAATATTAACTATCGTCCAGCCAAAAAGAATAGACGTAAGTGACTACAAAAACGTGACCATAGACATTGTGTCGTTGCATTGGTTTAACGTCATAAAGAGGCACCGCGCGGAGCCGTAGAGCCCTACCTAGCTGAATGCATCTGGCCCCAGGGGTATCTAGAAGGACCTAGCTATGGAATTGCGGGAAAAAGAGTCAGATCTAAAAAGTCGCTCATGTACAACTATAGATGGTCACGATCTACTTGATCACATGCTTTCCTTTGCTTGCTTGCTGGATCCTCTACTATAAGAACCCATGATCCACCGCTGCTCTCTCTCTCTCTTCTTCTTCTTCCTCATCTTTGCTTTTGTTGGGTGCCTGGATGTCTGAATGCCTAAGGCACAGGGACCCACATGATGACAGATCCATAACTATAGATAGTCTCTCTCTCTCCTTCTCTCCTTCTCCTCTTTGTCCAACTCAATCATCAAGAATCTAATCGTGGCACGGCCCACCAACACCTGATCGGTGTTGGTGGGCCCCACCGGATAGCAAATTCCCAGCGGGATAGCAAATTTCAATGAAGTATCCTTTATATGGCAACTCCATACAAAAGGTACATAAACGCGATATAGTTATAACCTCAACTCTCTAAACGAGCAGACTAGCTTAAAAAAAATTAAATAGACAGGTTATTAAAATAAATCGGGCTTAACGGATCTACTACTATAATTAATTCTAAATATATAGTATGGAAGTGTAGGAGACATTTCAGAAATCACCATACATAAGAATTTGTATGTAAAAGATGAACCATTCTCTTACTCCACACATGCATTATAAAATTTACTAGAATTATCACTAAGTAATTGAGGCCTTATTTACACTATGTATATCTTCCTATATTTTTCCTAACTATTTTGAGGGTTGAGAAAATTGGGGTTATGACTATATCGTGTTTATGTACCCTTTGTATGAAGTTGCCATACAAAAGATACTTAATTTGGAAATTTGTTATCCGCTGGGAATTTGCTATCCGGTGGGGCCCACCAACCCCCGGTAGGTGGTTGGTGTTAGGCCGTGCCACGATTATCTGCTTGGTTTCTTCATCAATATTCCATGATCCATCAATAGATTCTACATTAGCTTTTCTGGTTGGAATGCACTCTTTCTTCATTGATCGACCTGGCACGTAATATAGACATGTGTTTGATCGACTGCCTGCTAACTCTACGTGTAGCCTGTTATCCACGGGGATTTTAGCGGGTATCAAAGGGTTTTCATTGTCGTCTACAGTGTAGGGGCCAGCAGAAAAGGAGGTAGAGAGGGTTGGTTGCTACGGAGAGTGAACTGCCTGACTATCTATCTAATAACCTGGGCATGTGACCGCTGATAAAAATGCCCCCTATAAAAGTAGACAATCTCTCTCTCCCCCTCTTTCTCTCTCTCTCTCTTCCCCCGAGCAACCGTCACAATGTCTTCTAAGCTAGCACGATCTCGCAAAGACAAAGGGGAGAAGAAGAGAGATGAAGCTGAATCCGAATCTGTAAGTCAAGATCTCATCATCTCTACCTGATCTGTCCCATGGTGTATCCAATGATGGCATGGACCATCCACTTCGCGATGGGCTTCATGTCGTCCCATCACGTCTCATATTCTCTGATTGATTTCCATCAACTCCCACCAATTCCCATCACATCTGATAGATTCCCATCCTGTCTATACATACCAGTTGGCCTCTTGTCGATTCCCATCTTATAGCTTCGCATCAATTCTTTCGGCAGCCTGGATCGATAAGTTTTCGCTTATTATATTATGAGCACGCTAACCAAATGAACAGTTGCGAAAAGAAGAAGCCCGGCGAGAAGAATACGTTGACTTCATGGCCAAGGGCCTGAAGAAGGCCTTTGACCTTGATTGTCGTCGTTCCGCGTCTAACTCTGTCATTGGTTATTGCCTACAATAGTCTTTCCACCCCTGAACTAGCGGCCAAGCAGTTCAGATTCACTTCCGATTCACTTCAGATTCACTTCAGATTCATTTCAGATTCATTTCAGATTCATTTCAGATTCATTTCAGATTCTCAGATTCAATTCAGATTCAATTCACATTTTCACTTCAGATTCAATTTACTTTAGTAGAAATCCCTATACCCATTAACATTAGTCTTTGAAAAGTGAGAGTGGATCTAAATTACTGCTGGCAATATAAACCAATGAGAGAGTTATGTATCGGCTGGCATATTTAATCGCCAAGCTTCCCCCCGCCAGAGATTCCTCCTCCTACTCCCACCGATACCAATAGGCCCCCGGTCGAGGTACCTCCCGGGCTGCTGCCTCCCCACGGGCCCCGTGGACAAGAAACCCGGGGCCCTCGATACTCACAATGGCCCGGCCGACATGATTACCGCGCGGCCGACCTGACTCAACGAGGCCTACCCGTCCATACCCCCTATATATATATGCCCCTCCCACCGTGGCCTCAATGCGTCACGGTGGAACCCTCAAGCGCCTCCTCAGGAGGAGGCGAGCCGTCAAGCTCGCTCCGGCAATGGCAGCGCCCGTGAGGGCTTACGGCTTTAGGGCTTAACACAGAGAAGAAGTCCGCCGGGAGGAGTACGTGGACTTCATGACCAAGGGCCTAAAAAAGGCCTTTGACCTTGATCGTCGTCGTTCCGCGTCTCCGCGGGGGCGCCAAGCTTCCCCCCGCCAGAGATCCCCACCCATCCCCCTCCCCCCCGCCAGCGCCGAGACGAATCCCGTCGCGCTGCCAGCCCTCGCCCCGGTCGACAACAGTCCCAGGCTGCTTTCCACGGGCCCCGTGGACAACCAAACCGGGGCCCTCGCTACTCCCGATGGCCCGGCCGACATGATTACCGCGCGGCCGACCTGACCCAACGGGGCCTGCCCGTTCACACACCATCAGGCCCCTCCCGCCGTGCCATCAACCCCGCCGCCGCCGCCAACCAGGCCAGGTCCGGAGGGAGGGTTTGCTTGGGTCGGTACACGTGACGACCGCCGAGCCCGCGCAGCCCGCGCGCCAACCAGGCCGCCGCCAACAACCCCCCTGTCGCCAACAACTCCACCAATGCGCCATCAACGGCAACATTGTCGGTAGACGGTGATGTTGAGATGACACCTCTCCCCTCCTCTCCAACATACATGCATGTGCCACTGCCACCGTCATCCCCGCCGTAGTTACAATATAAAAAAAACGAAAATGAAAATGAGCTTGATACCACGAGTATGGGCGACTATAGGGATCACTGTCACATAACTCTCTCATTGGCTAGAGCCTATTTTATCACCGCCTTCTTTATTTTCAATGCTGGAAAGATATGGTATTAGGCATCTTCCTTCGTAGCGGCGAGAAAGGCGATCACACCCACGGTAGTGACAGACTTCGAGTCGGCCAGAAGGGTTCGCAGCACATTGGACAACGCAGCACAGAGGACGCGAATAGCACAGCAGCCAGCGCTAACAACACAGCGCGCAGCGTACCAGCTAGGACGGCGAACGGTGTCTTGAGAATAGTCAGAAACTAGAAACTTAAGGCAAATTGTTTCACTCACCATTATCACGCAAGGTAATGACGAGAACGCGGGCAAGAATGTAGTTTCAGTTCAGCAACAGCTGGAGCGGCAACAGTTAGACTCGGCGATAACAACGACAACAGTGACATAATGATCAAGACGGCATATTTACCTCAGTGGCAGTGAGCAGTACAGGTAGGAGTAAGAGAGGGGTAAAGGCGAAGAAGAAGTTTGAAGAGTATGTAAACAAGTGATATATTGGAGATACTGTTTGTGAATTTGATAGTTGAGGCATTGAGATTTGATGCTTGCGAAGATGATTCGGTGGCTGTGGTATTGAGATCGGATGCTTGTGAAGAGGATGAATTGATAGCTGTGGTATCGAGTAAAGAGGATTTCATAGCTGTGGCACTGAGATCTGATATTTGCGATTCGATGTCTTTGGTAATTGCGAGTGAAGAGGGAGTCGATAATTTTGATTGGGTTGGTTTGTTTTGAGTGAATAGGATCGAATTTGCGTTCAGTTGGACCAGCTCTAAAAGGCTGGACTGTCCGAATTTGGGATCAATCGATGAGCACATCCAACCTCCTCCCCTCTCCTCGCCATTCCTTCCTGGTGACGACCCTCATTCAACCGAACACACCGATTCATAACCCAGACCAGACCTCTCGCCCTCTTCCTAATCACGACCTTTGATTAGCGTGTTTGCCCGCTTTCTGCACTGATACCAGTATCCCCGGCGCCTCCCCCTACCCTTCGCTGTTACGACATTGTCAATCCTCATACTTTTCCCTAGTTACCAACGCTGCATGCCTGAGTCGACACTGCAGGCTCTTATCGACACCGCACACTCATGTCGACGCCGCGGACTCATGTCGACGCCGCGGACTCATGTCGACGCCGCGGACTCATGTCGACGCCGCGGACTTATGTCGACGCTGTACTCTTGTCGACGCTGCGGACTCTTGTCGACGCTGCGGACTCTTGTCGACGCTGCGGACTCTTGTCGACACTGCACTCCTGTCGACACTGCACTCCTGTCGACAATGCAGTCCTGTCGACACTGCACTCCTGTCGACACTGCACTCCTGTCGACACTGCACTCCTGTCGACACTGCATTCCTATCGACACTGCACTCCTGTCGACAATGCACTCTGTGCCCTGAATATGCTTTCCCCTTCGACCACTGCAACCCCCTTTCATCCGTTTATCTTTCAGGAATCATGCCTTTTCCTCCTCCGTTTTTGCCCTCTTGTTCTCCTTTAGTTCTGCCCTTCTCTTTCTCTTCCTCGCCGCGGCGATCTCATTGTCCCTCTTCCTCGCTTCTGGGTTATCCCTTTTCTTTCTGGTTGTCTCCCTCTGCTTCTGGTTTGCCATGGTCTTCGTCTCTTGGTCCTTTATCCTCCGTTCTCTCCGTCTCTCGTTATCCCTCTTTCTTTTTTCTGGATCCGCCTTTCTCCTTCTCATCCGCTCTTTTCTCTTTGCGTTATAGATTTTCTTTTTCTCTGGGTCCTCCATCATCTTTTTGTAATTCTCCCTCCACTTTTCATTTCTGATATCCCTGGCCTCTGGCTTCTCCACTTTCACATTCCTTTTCCGCATATCCGCTCTCATCTTGTTGTACCTCTTCCTCGCATCCGGGTCCTCCATCATCTTTTTGTGCTGCTTCATTCTCTTCTCGCTATACTTCCTTCTCTCCTCCGGATCCTCCATTCGCTTTCTGTATAGCTCCCTCCGCCTCTCGGTATGTAAGCTCCGCGCCTTTGGGTTCTCCATTTTCTTTCTATACCACTCCTTCCACTCCTCAGTACGCCTCTTCAAGTACTCCGGGTCCTCTGTTCGATTTCTGAACAACTCCTTCTTCCTCTCAATGTTTGCTTTCAACGCACAGAGACCATAACACACAATGCGCCCTGACTTTTCACGGAATAATTGGTTATCCGGTCCATCATTTGCGCCGCATTGAGCACACCTGAATTCATATCCACTCTCAGGATTTTCTCGGTTCCATTTCAACTTTCCTTGTATCAAACAACAGGATATTCTCTCATTCACCTCCTCTTTGTTTGGTAACCTTCCCTTCCATTCGTTGAAATCATGGCACCACCCGTAGCGATAACGGCCGAGTGGGTTACCAGAGAATTCACAAAACCGTGTGAATTGGATATGAAGGGCTTCTTCAGTACCTTCCATCATCCTCCTATCTTTGCGAGATCCAGTCATCATCCCACAGTGAGCACAGGGTGACATCTCGTTGGCATCTGTATTGAAGAACCCCTGCACCAAAGGGAACGCCATGTTCAACCCCGAAGTGTCTCTCCCTCAAGGAATACCAATCCTCTCTCGGATCTCCTCAACGAGGGACCAAGCACTGGGTCTGACATATAGGTTAGAGAACATCGGCTTGTCCAAAGTCCCCAGCATGATAATAAACAACCCTTCCAGAAGATTGAGATACCCTCGTTCGATAGGAGTATCGAAAGCCGCCAGAACCCGAGTATAGGCTGTTTTTCCTTGCCGAAGTTTTCTGTATAGAAGTGACCCCCTATACCTTAACCATGTTTTTGGTTCCTTGTGCGTCCTAATTCGAACCTGAATTTTGATGCTCGATCCCACGTATATTGCGATAATGAGGTCACCATCAATGGTTTCATCCTCTACCACAATAAACACGTATATTCCCATCCGGCCTTCCGTGTCCGCATCAGGCAATTCAAGCCAATCTTCCAGAGTAAACGAATCCTTCTCGAACAAATTTTGTACCTCCCGTGGAATTGCCTTCATCAGCTGTTGCATGATCCAGTCAACATCAACGCGACCCAATAGGTGCCAGTAGGATAGACATAAATGCCTTTCTTCCAAATCCAGATTTAACAGGTTGGTACCTCTGCTGTACTCCTGTAGATATTGGATTGTGGCCCGCATTGTTAGTTGAAGCCGGTCACTGATGACCTCGTCTTCAAACTCCGGATCATCCTGGCTGTCAGGGATGACAATCTCCCCACGGACGATATCCACGTCTTTGTCCTCCGGTCCACTAGCAATGTCCCCCCACACATCTCCGATCTCATCGTCCCTCAGACCCAGTGAATCCTCCTCAATGTTTTCGTCCTCGTCCAGCATAAGGTCCATATCCATATCCTCATCGCTGCAATCGCCCACATTGATCCCCAATTCACCTATGTCGCCCTCTTCTACATCCCCCCAACCACCTCTGGGTCATGATCTTTATCGTCGCCGTGGTTGCCCACATTGACTTCAGAATCAGATCCACCAGAAGCTCTCCCATCTGGGCCACGACCGCCGTGGTTGCCCACATTGACTTCAGAATCGAGTTCACCAGTAGCCCTCCCATCCCATCTGGGTCACGACCTTTATCATCGCCGTGGTTTCCCACATTGACTTCAGAATCGAATTCACCAGATCGATACTTGTTATCAGTTGCCGAAGGGGGACTGCCCAGCAGAGGGTCTCATAGCAGGGCGATGTAATCTTTCAGGAGAAACAGGACTGCAACCTGTGATGGAGGAACCGGTTATATCGTTTCTCTGCTGAAAGCGACTTGCAGGTCTGATTCCCGTGGGAGAGGAGCGAGGTTCAGTCGCAGAGACAGTAGGTTTCCGCCGGGGGAGGGTTAGGATTGATGGCGCTAGTTATGGACGAAGGCGGTGCTATGGTTTCATTCTCTGTTGATGCGGAGCGAAGGGACCCAGTGGCAGTGGGATTTTGTGGTGCAGATGTATGGCTATCCTGAGTTTCGCCGCCACTAGGACCGGGGGTATGAGGAGCTGACGGGGTACGATGTTTTGCGAACCAAGTGGCACATCTCCTGGACACATGGGCGAAAAAGGAAACAGGGTGATCATTGTCGGGGGGGGCAGACTCGAACCTTCTGCAGACATGCTTACCATATACGCCAATTTCAATTTGAATTTAGCGTATTGTATTGAACATGTAATGGCGATGCAATCCAGATGGAAGTATAATGGAGAAAACACTGTGTGGATTGACTGTCTCGCACGAGGAGAGGAGGAAGAGAAGGGAAGGAAAGAGCGAGCTATCATTATATAGGTTCCATCACACTTTGATGCCTCAGGCATCCAACAACATGTATAGCTGAATTCTTCCTCCTTCATCTACCCTCTACTCTCTACAATACAATTTAATTCAATTTAACTCAAATTAATTCAAATTAATTCAAATTCAGATTCACTTCAGATTCAATTCGGATTCACGTCAAATTCAATTCAATTTACTTTAAAATCCCTCCAACAATTTGCTGACTAGGAAGGGAAAGGGGGAGGCACTAGTTATAGCTCCACCACTAGGTTCGTGGCACTGACTCCTGCCTTGGACTTTTGCAACGCATATTGTATATGCTCTAAACCTTTGCCGACGACAAGCGGAGGCGGGAAGCACAGAATCATTAGGGGTAACCGCGGCAGTGCCAGGCAAATCAAAACTCGTAGACGCATGACTGGTCAAAGAAGAACCAGTTACATTCCTCCTCTCCTTCTCTCCAATGACATCCTCCTCCACCACTTCACCGGTATACTAGTCTTCTTCTGCAACGATCGATTCAATCCAAATTCCATCAATTCGTTGAGTATTTTCATCTGATTCTTGCTTGTGGCTGAGTATAGTACTAACAAGGTTCCAAAGTTTTAGATTCATATATACAATGTCTCGCTCGTTGCGTGCGCTTCCTCCCGGGAGCGTCGAGTACCTGCGTACATACTCAATGGCACTACCTAGTCGATGGAGGGGCCCGTGCCCTGCCCGGAGAGGGCACACGCTGATACACCCCTTAAGTTACTGTATAACGATACAATTGCATTGAACTGAGGTAGAAATGAATTATATTGGACTTAAAAATAAGTGATGTTGAAGTAAGATAGATAGTTACCCGGAATTCTGCCGGAATTCCCCGCCGGAGCGGGCTATCCGTTAACCCGAGGTCCCTGCTCGCCACAACTCTTACACTAACTAGTTAACTAGTTAGTTCATGACTTGTGGAACAAAAACAAGGTCCTGCCCGGGTTCGAACCGGGGTTTCTGGTATTCATTTTATTTCAAAAACCAGAGTGATAACCTCTACACTACAGAACCAATTTTTTAATGTAATTATCGTAACAAGTTTAATATCTTCAACTTGCATTAACATTGTGTGGGTAGGAAAAGTGGTGAGACGATATTGATATGGGCGGCTGACGGGAAGAGATAAGATAAGCATATGCCACCCGTGGACGTGTCGTACCGGTCAACTCGGGTCAGCTGACCTCGGGAACTGCGGAAGGAACTGCGGAAGGTGGCAGCCTAGATCGATGCCTGAGAATGCAGAATAAGGCAGAAATAAACCCCAGTGTATGTTGTATGGGCGCAAATTTTGCTAGTATTTTACCAATATTACCAATATAACACTTCTAATACAATATAATAGGTCGCAATATATTATTTACTTTTCTAGAATCTATCATTAAATTGCACGAATGGGGGCGGTAACAACGGCTCTGATCGATTGCTCCACCCCATTCAACAAAATCTCCCCGAGAAACTAGGCTTCTTTTGTCTCCATATTTTCATCTACAAAGAAGCTTGACCTATCACGAAGTTCCTCATTGGGTTGTTGAGGCGAGATTGGCCAACTATGCAAACAGTGTGGTATAAACTAACTTTGGGTGTCTCGGTGGCTTCTCAAGAAGGGTGGTTTGATTGATTGACTTCAATTTGGGGGAAACATGTATGTACCTTGAACAGTGTCTAGATAATACATTGAAATTGTCTATACCATAAAACTTTCCGAGTAATGCGAATGCACTGGGGCTACTGGTACTTATGTTGGATTCTCTGACACTGACCTCTCCAATTTTATCAGAAGATATAACGTCAGTCCAAACCACCCGCCAAAACCCCGACCCAAATACCTAAACGGGTACCTGTTAAAATCTGCAAAAGCAAAAAACCGTTGACCTGTCGATTTGCATTTAGTTATGCCGTATTTTTTAACGAAGTGTTCTGTACCGCTGAAGGATTCGACCCGAGGTTTAACCTAGAAACCTTAAGCGGAGCATCGAGTTTGTAGACCAAGGCACCAGGCCCAGTTCCTGGTGGTGTTGATCCTATCAGGCACCCATACCCTACCAGCCCACATAGCCTAGCTATCTTGGCGGATGTTAAGGATCGCATGAATACTAAGTAGTGGGTCATACATACCATCTCTGGCCCCTGAAAATTATTCCTGTTGTGGCCTCGAATAGGACTATCGGGGCTGCGTATGTCACAATTTTCCGAAAATTCGCCAAACTATTAGGGCCCACTTGTTCAATATCAGGCGGTAGTTTTTCTGTTTTAGGATAGGCTGAGTTGAAGACATGGCGAATAGTATCGGACCATTGCAAGGCCGCTTAGAACGACGTACTTCCGGAGAGAGTCTCATGCTGCTTCGACTCGACCGGTAATGTGAGCAATCGCTCAACCTGACGTTATATAAAATTGGAGAGGTCAGTGTCAGAGAATCCAACATAAGTACCAGTAGCCCCAGTGCATTCGCATTACTCGGAAAGTTTTATGGTATAGACAATTTCGATATATTATCTAGACACTGTTCAAGGTACATACATGTTTCCCCCAAATCGAAGTCAATCAATCAAACCACCCTTCTTGAGAAGCCACCGAGACACCCAAAGTTAACACGAGAGTGTACAACCAAGTCTCCAATTTTGTAGTGTCCTCAGAAACAGGCTCCATCAGTGCCATACAAGTCCGAAGTCGATCCAAGATCGAACTCTTCCTCACAGTAATCTCGAACCCAGCCCGAGTCATCGTAGCAATGCGATATTGCCGGCGAGTCTTGCGGTCAATCGTAAAAAGAGCGAACTCTTCGTTACCTAGAGAACCGGATGCCGCACTCCCATTTTCAGAGAGTACCCGTTTTTCCCACTGCATAATCATCCTGCACTGCTCGGGGTTGGTTGTGCCTTCTTTTTCAATGACGAATCTGTAACAAGTGTCCTTCCCAGGTCCTGCTGAGTTGGCGCCGACTTGCCAGATGCATTTTGTGTCGCGGAAGTGGATTGATGAGGTGGGGTTGTCGTTGCTTGATGCTTGGCATATTGCAGCGACGATATCCTTTCCTTGAACATTGTTTGACTGTGTATCTTGCCCTTGGAGACGGTCTTGTCTATATGGCTGCTTATTGGTGATATATGGCTCATTGAGGGTTGCATAAATATCCCTCGTGCCGAGCTTTAGGGGTTGCGGGAAATCTTTGGTTAATTTTGACCTGCGAAGTGGTGGCTGCCATATCTCCAGTATAGGCACTGGTCGGTGGTTTGGACGTAGTTGTTGGAGTTGAACGAGTAGTTTGGGACTGAGTCGAAGTATTTGGCTTGATTTTGTGGGTGGCAGGGCTATTTGGAACTTGGCCTGGATTTTGATGGGCTGAGATGATGGCCTAGGGACGAATTAGACATAATTCTTGGTAGAACGAAATAAATGCGCGCTTCTTCTTTAGAAGTATTATTACATACTGTTCTTCGCTGGCTATGTCACTGCCATAATTTTGAATAGTACCCGGGGTCTCCGTGGTGAAGTCCATATCCCGTGTCTACCACATTTGGAGGGTTAAAACAAACTCAGAAAAGGTTTAAAATAAGATAAACGGCCGAGAGCTAAAAAGTCTTAAAGGAAGGTCTCAGTATAAATACATAGTTAGTTAGCGTTGGCCTTACAGCTGCACTCGTACCAGCGAGAATGAAATAGGCTACATCCAGCAAATCTAAAACTGTGACACACACAGGAGGTTTACCACGTTTTAAGATATACTTGATTGCCTACGGCATTTGACACACACGGACTACTATTTATAAATCGATTCTAAACATGAATGGCAGATTGATAACTAGTTAACCGTTTTTAATAACCACATCCAGGGTCCCTTGGCGGGTGGAGAGTGGATCCAGGACCCTTCGGTTAGGTTCCGGTAACCTAACTAGAGGACCTCGATTCGATGATTGACTTTTTTCTTTTGTGTCTGTTCTGGTACGTAGCCTGTAATTCACTTCCTTTCGCCAATTCTGGTCGCCACCCCTGCCTTGTTCTATCGCAGCGACGGTGCTGCGCTCATCGAGAAACAAGCGGTACGCCATACGACTTGTCGGAGCTTGGCATTCACCCCTATCCAATCGCATAAAAGCTCTACAGACATGTCCACCGTTCGGCCTAAATACGAAAGCGGAAAAAGGACAGTTTAATTACGTGATGTGTGTGGAGCGGTTTTTCAATGGTCCGGTACTCCGTACAGTTAGCGGTGTCTTGAACTCAGACTCAGCATATCCTAGTGTTCCAAGGATACAAATTAGTTATCATCCTGATCTTGAACAAGTGGGCCCTAATATTTTGGAGGATTCTCGGAAACTTGTGATATAGGCAACCATTTATTCGTTTAGTATTGCGACGACCCTATCAAATGCCACAGCAAGGATCTGCATGGTATGATCCACTATCTAGTGTTGATGCGATCAACATCTGCCAGGACAGCCATGCTATAGGCAGCCTCGGTCATTGTGGGCGCTATGGAGGTTATATGTATGTACTCCGTACTCCGTATTGCAAAAAGAAATGTCTCATCAATTACTCCCCACACCCACGAAGTCGTTGATAGCTAAAAGCACCTGAGGCAGGCGCAGCTGAATGAGGCCAAAGAATCGAGCTATGATATGTTGTTGATCCCCACCCCTCCCAATAAAGGGCGTCCTTTAATGTTTAACTCTGTTTATATATGGAAATATCTGCTTTAGATCCTAAATGCTCCATTGCTACGTTACTACATTTGCCGAGGCGTTGTTAGTGCTTCGGGATTCTCGTGATATTCCGCGAATAGCGGCTTGATCAATTAGGTTTGAGCTACGTATTTAAGATTGAAAAGATTGAGAAAACCGGTAGCCCGAGGGTACCTTGGATAAGATGATTTAAAAAAAGTATACAAAATAAAATAAAATAAACAAAGAACAAACAAACAAAACAAGAAGAAGGTCGGTCCGTCGTGGCATCAATTTTCTTTTTTCTTTTATTTTTTTTATTGTAAAGACTGCGGCGGGGATGCGGCAGCGGCACATGCATATAAGTTGGCGAGGGGGAAGAGGAACCATCTCGATATCATCATCCACCAACGTTGCCGTTGATGGCGCGGTAGAGTTGTTGGCCGCAGGGGGGGTTGATTGCCGCGGGGAGTTGGTCGGCGGCGGCGGGGTTGGTGTTTGTGGGCTTGAGGATTCCACCGGGAAGCATCGAGGCCACTGTGAGTTAATCATCTCATGAGAGATATCAACGGTGGTTGCTATAGTGAGATCCCCTATAAAATAAAAGCTAAGGATAGTGTAGGGTTTAAGTTTCGAAATAATATCTTTATATTAAATGTGCTTCCATACTAACGGGAGATTGCGGTTAGGGACTTGAAAAATAAATCAAAGTCAATCTGAAGTGAATCTGAACTGAATCTGAACAGAATTGTATTGTAGAGCTACTATCCCAATTGTACATTCTAAATAATTCCCATATACTTTCGCATTGACGATCCGGAAACAAGATACTGCTCTGCATATTTATCTGTCGGAAGATTTGAATCGCCCACATCAAACGGGATATCTCCTCTGGGGTAGAGCGGAATGGGTTTTGACAGAGATAGAGATGAATTCAAGGGTATTGGACTGAAGTCCAATACAATACTTGATATAAAGACTGTCATTGCGCTTCATCAGTAATGCCTATAAGTAAATTGCATCACCATTCCAATCTTCCAGAATAGAAAGAAAAGTCTATGATTTCGCCGAATCTGGGGACCCAATGAATGAGCATGTTTCTTATGATCCATGGATACCTAATATAACCCAAACCCCCACCCCCTTATTAGCCTCTCTCCACCGGACAAATGTGTGAATTGACTAGCTTAAATTATTTGAGCTTGATAAGTGGGTGGTCATTATTATCTCTGAAACATTTCTATGGTGAACGTTTCATTCTATTTAGTTATTCCAGTACTAAAATCACATCACACTTCGTTTTAGTATCCGCTCCAACACCATCGCAGCCCCCCATCCAGGCACACTTTGACCTACAAGGTTAATCCTCCAATTATTATGTCGACTGCGACATATATATACCTTCGACTACTTATGCCCAGTCACCTTAAGTACACGTTGGATATTGTGAGGATGTCCCATGTAAGTTGGATAGTCTAATGGTAGGGCTTGTGAAATGCCAATCCATCTTATTTTATGTGGGGATAACATGACGTGAGTTTGATAATGATAGGACATTAATGAATAACGGATTGTCTTTAAACAATTGCTAAAACAATGGGGCTCGTTAATTAACTCAGATGCTTAAGCACGCTTTGTTCGAAGACGAGTTCGAAGTCGACCTGGCCCTATTCCTAACAGTGTTGATCCTATAAGGAGGTTGCATAAAGGAGCGTGTTTTTATTTGGTGTCAGAATTTGTTCCCGACATATCTCCACTTCATCCACTTGTTTCCAGCCATGGAAAAGAATATCATTTTCGTAGTGGCCTTTGTTAGAACTGCCGTCGCAATACTGCAGGACCAGGTTTACATTTTCCCCGAAGTTTCTCTAACCTACTTCGGGTGGAGTACATCTGTTTGAATATGTGTAGATCAAAGTGCCATTTCGTCTCCCTGCTTGAAACACTAGCTTGGGTTTCGTTTTAAAATATAGCGAATAATGTCGAGTCGTATATGGGTAGTCGCCATGTTGTCGGTTATTTATAGATATAAAAATTATCAGTGTATGTCTTAACGAACCAAATGGGAATCCTTATATAAAGAGAGACCTTACTCAATCCTCCTTTTCAGTTAAACCCACAGAGATGAGCGACTCAGGCGAGGTGCGTTCGACTGATATGATTGCCGACCCGGTAGTTCATTACCTCAGTATCTTCAAACATGATGTTATTCCACTTTTACTATCCTTTTTCTACCTACTTTCCGTAGGTTCTGTATTTTTCGATGCCGTTCATTATATGCTCCACGGATGCAACAAATCCTCCCATCCTTTCCTTCGATACCTATCACGGATCCACCGTTTCCACCACCTCTACTTCACACGACATCTGAAGTTCGACAAAAAATATCTTCAGCAGAATCGATTCCAAGCCTTACCGCTTGAATTAGTCCTTCAAATCATTGGAACCGCACTAGGGTATATCTTTGCCAGTTTGGTGACGCCCAAGGGCGTCATTTGGATCACAAGAAATCAGCTTTGGATTACGATTATCTTCCAAATTCTAAGAACCACGTTTGTGATCCTTTCAAGTGGCCGCGACACAAACCATATCACCTACCAAACGCCCCCGAAGGACACCAACTGGTTATTTGTGGGCCCGGAGTTTCACTCGCTCCATCATATCTACCCGGATCGTTATATGGGTTCGTTTGTCAAAACCTTCGACTGGATTTGGGGTACTGCCTACTCCTTCAAGGGCAAGCGCATTGCAATCACCGGAGGAAACGGAGCATTCGGCCAGGCAATCGTGAAAGAGCTCGAGCGTGAGGAAAGGGGGAGCTGTATTCGCAAGTTGAAATTCGGTACTGATTGGGATCACCATCACTTTGAAAAGGCACTCCCAATACTTTCCAACTCCGACATTTTGATCCTGGCTCACGGCTCTAAAGGCGAGGACGCAGTTGAGTCGAATTGCAATGCAGCTATTCGACTTATCAAATTATTCAAGGAGCACAGAGTGGCCAACCCAGCCTGCCCGACGCTCCCGGAGGTATGGTACGTTGGCAGCGAAATTGAGCTCCATCCAGCTTGGGGAAATAAAGAATTACAACGTTACTCTCGGTCAAAACGATTGTTCCTACCGCAGGCTCGTTCCTTTTTTGATGACCCTGATATCATTTACCGTCATATCGTGCCCTCCGCATTTCACTCACCCATGGGGGCTGCTGTGTTATCTGCTGACTGGGCAGCTAAGTGTGCGATCTGGTGGATCCGACGAGGTGCCAGATATATTCCCGTTACATATACGGGAATTGCGTGGCTGAACTATTTCAAATTTATGTATCGTATTCCTTACGCTAAGGATACGGATAAAATCTAAACTTCTGACTCTTTCACTGTCTGTTGGGTTTATATAGATGTTAACCAATGAATTGCATTGAATGGGAGCTTAACTATACACTTAATACATTCCAGACATAGCATGTATGTTGAAAACATATGGCCGGACTACGATTAGTTCTCGTCCAGCCGTGATATAGTAACCGTAATTGGTTTATTCTGACCACAAGGATTGTGGATATTATTCCTCTCTTTTAATATGAGACAAGAAATAGTTTCCAATGTCTATTTTTGTAGATTCCCACTCTTCTTTTTAAGTTTCTTTTTAGGTAGAACCGCGGAGAAAGGCAGGAAAAGACCGAGTTTCTGAAACATTTTTGACTAAAACTCCCGCTGAACTCCACCGGACCCTGGTCACCTCCCGACGAACTCTCGGATATCCCACCGGAATGTTAGTAATACGGGCTTTAGAATCCCTGTTGACGGAGCGAGCGGAAGGCAGCAGCCAGGAAGTCTCCTCGACTGGGAACCACCTCGTGAGTGGTGGGGCGGGGTTACTGACACATTTCCCCCTGACTTTTTGAATAAAATGTCGATGGAGGCAGCGTAGATACTCAGTGTAGAAAAGAAAACGTTCTCGACGACAAATTTCATCAAACATAATAGTGGTCGGATGATAGACCACAGTCATCTAACAAGCTGATTGTCGGATTTATGGAGTCGTCGGTCATCGTACTTCATGAATCTGCAACGAAAAAGGTTGGGTTGAAAAGACGGATGGCAAGGGGCGACTTGATCGGCCCACTGAGCTGTACGAAATGAGGTGTTCGGTCCACCCCCAGACTCTTTGAAACCATAGTATCTCGCTCAACTAGCTCATCCAATGCGGTGGTAAAGTCCCATGCCTCTTTCACCCCTACATGTATGTCTGTTTGTTATTTAGGAGTGTGGCTATTGAGAAATAAGGGCACAAACGAGACTTGAGCGATGTATCAAAGGTGTGATCTCTTATCAAGCTCTTCCTTGGTTGGAGCCTTGGTGGAACGATTCCCAAATAAGAGAAACTCCAGTTGGGAACCTATGATGGCGGTGTTGGAAAGCTACCAGGTTGATAGCAAAGACCAAGGGATTCACAGCAAGACACGAGAAATGTCTCAGGGAAGAAGCAGAGGATAAGGACCGAAGGAAAACAAAAGCAAAGTCAAAGGCTTAAGAGAGTAAAGAATGAGAACTGGAGCCACAAGAAGACGTGAGAGAAAAAATAAACTCGGCGAGCAGGTGAAGAAGAGTGGGAGACGAGATACGGTCCTCATTTTTAGATATAAACCTAGCCAAGGACGGCAATACCACTGTAGAACCCAAGTGTCAGACCAACCCGCTGCATCGACTCCATCATGCGCGTTAGGTTGAACGTAACGACAAACGAGCGCAGGAACAAGTTAGCGTCGGCGGTCGTCTTTCCATACGAACGCAGGTACGTAGGGAAGACTCGCGGAAGACACGACCCACGTAAAGCAAGCGTACGAGCCGAAGAATCCCATATACAATAGAGATGAAGTGAATCGTGTGTCATCACAGCTGATGTCGTCCATTCTAGGGAACACAATAGCCAATCTGTGAAATTAGCCATCAGGTCTGGCAGATCAGCAATGCTTTCAAATGTTGTTCATATCGTCCACGACTACTTCTGCAATCTTCCCGGCTTGCCGTTGTGTCGCCACATATCACAGTATACCCGGATTGATGGACAGAGTGAATCCTGGGAAGAGAACCATCCCGATACTCGAGCCGAATATATCAATTGCTCGACAAAAAAGAAGTTTCATGTCACATGGGTGACATCCCGGACCTAATCCGGCACTTGAAAGACAATAGGACTCGGTATGCAACTGGATTGGGGTCCCCATAAAGAGGATTACCCTATAACGACATTTAAAGGAAAACAGTAGGGGAGATATCATGACTTCTTCGGTCAACTATGTTTCAAATCTGGGCTTGGTACCATCGACTGTTCTGATTTGGCCAATGACTGCAAATCAACTTCCGAGATGCTTATGTTCCGTTCTCCTGTTGTATAGGCTCAGATCATCATAGCCCCTCAAACACGATATGGCCCTCGTCCGGGGTTAGTAAAATGCGGGATGTTCCCAGCGCAAGCCGAGATGATCATTCGTTGCCTGTTTCTTGAGGTTGGTGGCTGCCGCTAAGCAATTGTGGGGAGGCCGTCGCATATCATGGCCCATTAGGCGATAGGCCTATCGATGGTAAGACTGAATCGAGCCCGTAAGAGTCTTGAGGAATTTACCCTAATATATCCCGGAGACGTGGTGGGAAAGGTCAAATCAGCAATTCTCTGCGAATTCTCGAAGATACTACAATATAATACTATGACGTATCGTATTCGGTACTCCAGGAATCACTTGACGATTGAATGGAATTTACCCTTAAGATATATGTACTCGGTAAACATTGGACATGAAATAACTCCCGACGCCATGCTCTCCACCATGCAATGTAAGCCTCTACACTCTCACCGTCTTCCAGACATTCCAACAGGCTTCCGGACACTGGGGTCAACATGGGGACTAGGGGATCTTCCTCCCTGTAATCTGGCTCGCAGTCGGTCCTGGGCTGAACCACCACCCGATCCAACACGATCAAGATTCGGACGAGTCTGGGCAGACTGACTCGAGCCAGCTCGCTGACTGGGCAATGGCCGCCCTCCAGATGGACTGGGGGAGCCCGATGCAGCAGGCGAATGGGACTGAGAAAGTGTAATGGCCGGACCTGATGGCGCACTGTTGGCCGAGGCGAGCGGTGGTGCTGTGCCACCACGTCCGCGACGAAGACTAGCTGTCTGCGGGACCGGTCCTTGAGATGAGGGAGAATCACCCCATAGATCACCTAGACCGCCGCCCCGGCCGGCGTTTTGGTTGGTGGGCGCTTGGTTGTAGCCACCGGAGGGTAGTTGTGAAGTCGCAATCTGGCGGGAGGGGGCCGGAGCTGGACCCTTGGGATCTTGGGGGAGCCATGGTGGGAACGGACGGCCCTTTTCGGTGTAGTAGGCGCGAAGGGCGTTGGAGATGTGGGAGCAGTCTTCATTGTCAGGGTCGTCTCCTTCGTCGCCTAGGGTAATGGCACGGCGAAGGTTGGTGAGCCGGGAGCCCAGGCCAGAAATGGCCGAAGAGGTGGTAAAGGATGAGAGGTACGAGCTCATATTGTAGCAGCGGAGTAGTGTGGTTGAGTAATGCGCGGTCTGCAAAATGGTAGCTTCGATGCGGGGTGGGATGGACGCGGAGTTGGAGATTTACTCGCGGGGACCCAATGCAAGAGATTCAGGGTTAAAGAGTTGGATAAGATCTGACAATGATTGCAATAGATTATTAAGGGGAATATTAACAGAAGAACCGGCTCCTGGAGTGAGGTGAAGTTGTTCAAGGGAAAATGGAGCGCAATGACAGCGGCATTCATTGAGCCACGTGATCACGTGTTTCACCTAAATAAAGCAACAAGTCAGGTCTTGTCTCAAATAAATTATGTTCAGGCATCTCAGGAATAAAAGAGATATCGAGCAGTACAATTAAAGAGAAATATTGAAATAGACATTGGAAGATCTAGGATCGTGAGTTGTAGTGGATGCGAAATAGCAGGGTATGATGCCCGATCACTAGCACAGAATAAGAATATAAAACAGAAGAATTGACAGCCCAAACGCCATGCAAGATCAGGTAAACTTTTCCCAAATCCTCTTAACATCGACAAAATCATGCCATGAGCTGGTCCTTGCCAGCACCCTCGGTCTCGTATTCGATCTCGATGCGAGGACCCTTCTTGCGAGGCTTCGCCTGAGGAGCAACATGCTTCCTCTTGGCGCTGGGCTTGGGCTTCTTCTCATCCTCGCTAGCCTCCTCATCGTCCTCGCTATCGTCATCATCACTCTCATCTTCGTCGTAATCGCTGGAGTCGGCTGAGTCGACACCCAGCCAATCCTCCATATCCTCGAGGTCCTCCTCCTCATCGAGATCGCTGACGTACTCGACCTCACCAACACCCTCTTCTTCCTCCTCCTCGAGCTCCTCGCCGTCATCCATGTCCACATCACGCTCACCATCACCAGCCCGCTCAAGACCACGGAGAACCTTCTTCCAGATACCCTCCTCGACATTGAGTGGCCGGTCACCGTAAGCACCGCTGCGCAGACGCTCAATAAGCTCACGCTCAATGGCTCTCTCGACCTTGGCGGCAGACTCGGCCTTACGCTCACGAGTCTCCTCACGACGGCGAACCTTCGGTGCCAGCTTGGGCACAACCTTCTCTCCGAGACGCTCGTCCTCTTTGGCAATGTTCTTCATACGAATATTGACCTGCGTCAAGCGGGTGAGACGCTGTTTGCACTTGTGGGTCAAGAACTTGGGCCAGTAGATAAGGCGCTCATCGACTTGCTCGAGAGCCTTGGCGTAGTTGGAAGATAGGCGCACACGCTCCCACCATTTGCTAGGCATGTGGGCTCGTTCAACGGTCTTCATATACAGGTACATGACGCCTGTTTCAGGATCGCTTCGCACCGTCGCATACCGCGAGTTGGCAAGTGGGCACGACTGGCGATTGCACAGACCGCTGACGTTGTATTCATTACGGCAGAAGTTTTGGTCTTTCGTCGTCCTATATGGAAGGTTGGAATGGTTAGTGGAAGGTTCTTGTTTTTTTTTTTGGTCCAGGTATAATGGAGATAAAAGGTTCTGCGGACTGGATAGCCAAGGAGTTAAGAGTAATACTCACTTGAGTTTGTAGGAGCAGAATTGCTGGTTGATCACCTGCCAGACAATTTCGTCAGACATGATGGGCGAGGAATTGGCAACCGGAAAAGTGGTTGGTCCTTCAGTCTATGCAGCAGATGCTTGACCCCGAAGAAAAAAAAAGATTCCATATGTGTTGACCGCCTTCCTCAGTAGGCTGGTCACGTGTTTGCTTATCGATTGCGCGCAACATCATTGGATAGCCCCGGGTATCCGCTTGCTAAGATTGGCATCTACTACCAACCAACTAACTATGTAACAACCCATAGTTAACTAATATCCATATGCGATGTTCTTGCATGTATGGCTCCAAGAGTGGAACTAGAATAATTGGCCAATTCAATAGTGGGGAAGTAGCGCGATGCTAGATGCGCTCAACAAGACAACATGTCTAACATTTAATATACAGAGAGCCACATGATGTTAGATCGGTGGTAGTTAGGGACGAAAGAAGATGGAGATGAAGAATCTAAGCGAGAGAATAACTATTATACACCGAAGTCATGACAAGCACTTACTCTATCCACGGACCTTTCGGTAACTTGGCGGGTGCCACGACTGTTTGATCATTTTGCCAGCCCAGACCGGAACCAGAGACACAGCTAGCACAGCGAAAACTCGCCACAGCCAGTCAAGGGTGATCACATAACTGAGGTCGAAGTACTCGCTCAGGAAGGGGACACTAGCAGCGTACGCAAGCAGCGTACCGATCAGACAGAAAATCATGACCGAGTGCCAGGTTGTAATTGCAATGGCGACCATTCCAAGCTCGTTGAGTACGAGGGCCGTGAAGGAAAGACTAATCAGGCGCGGCCCTGTGATGGTACCCAACAATATCTGAGAAAGGCCCTCGATCACTGCACCCTGGTAGACAGAAATGAGAACCCAACCAAAAAACGAGCGGTAGCTTAGACTCTTCCCTGTCTTGAGCTCTTTGTAAAGCTCTGGGTAGAGATTAGCGAGACGCTCATCCACATCCCGATCAAAGGCAAGAGAGAAGACCGGCGCGTTGGTGTAGACAGTTGCATAGCCAACCATGAGCCAGTTGATGAACAAGCCCTTGGGATCGAAGTGGCTGGCGATGCTGTACATAGTCTGGCAAACACTGATGATCAACCCACGGTGCATGATGAACTGTGCTAGTTTAGCAGACCGCTTGTACGAGTTGCGGCCGTGCCAGACTAGAAGTTTGGTGATATGGTGGAACTGCGTGATACTGAAATCAGCGGCCAAGGATGCTTGGCGGCCTTCCTTGCCCACGATACCAATTCCGACATCGGCTGCTTGAATCATCGAGACATCGTTGCCGCCATCTCCGATACAACACACGCGTTTCTTTGTGTGTTGGCGAATCAATTCCGCAATCTCAGCTTTCTGGGTGGGGGAGCATCGGCATGCGATCACGGCGGGCAGTAGCACGGCGACAGAGACGAAAGCTGCTTTGAATTGGCCGAGCATGAGGTTCAAGGACTCACCATCAATCAGCAGGCAGCAGTCAGTCTTGTTGCGCAAGAAGTCAAGAGCTTCTTGGGCAGTCGACTTGTCTGTGATTTTGGTGACTGTGTGAATGTACTGGCCCCGGGAGACCAATTTGGCAGAAATAGCGACACAACGCGCTGTCTCCACTTTGTCACCCGTCAGCATCCAGATCTTAACACCAGCATTGCGTAACAGCTCGAGAGAGGATTTGACGTCGCGCTGCAGCCGATCTTCCACACCGGTCACACCGGAAAGCTCTAAATCCCGTTCAAGGTATTCGCTCACAACCTTCGCCATGCCCGCATCTCGCCCTTGGAAAGATAGTGACGCTTGTTTGTACTTAGTAGAGAAGTCCTGATATTGCTCGGCGGAGATTCGTTTGCGCCCAACAACGAGAGTTCGCAACCCTTCCCGAGCCATGTTCGTAGTCTCCTCGTCGAGCCAGTCATTCGCTGCAACAATAGTCGTCATGACAGTGTCTGCACCCTTCTGGTAGAACCAAATCTCACTGTCGTCTTTGCCGGATTCAAGCATGTTTTCGTCGTGCTCGAATTGGACGATAATCCCCATTCGCTTGGAGTCGGATGTGAATGGGAAGATGTCGAGAATTCGAGCCCGGACCACAACCTGCTTGGAATCGGTGGATTCTAAGACGATACTTTGTCGGTCTCGATATGCTAGTTTTAATCCGACTTCTTCGGTATATCGAATAATGGCAATTTCATCAGGCGACGACGCTTGATAGCTTGTCACCTTCCGGCCGTCTTCCTCCTCCGTGGTCGGTGTGACGTTATGGCAGAGAGCAAGTGCTAAGATAATATCCCGGACGCGAGAACCAATCTCTCTTCTGGTTCGCGGCGCTGTGGCATGGCCAGCTTGGGTTCCAAAGACAGTTGAAGGAGTGGTCAAGGTATTGCCCGAAAAAGCAAAAGCTTGACGAATAAATGAGGCGACTTCGTCCATTGCCTCATTGGCGTATGATACAGTGCCAACGTGGATCTTTTTGAGCTCCATCTCATTTTGGGTCAACGTTCCCGTCTTATCTGAAAGCAAATATTCGATCCTTCCCAGATCCTCTGGAATTGTACTGGTGCGGACGACGGTTCCTGGAATGTCTTTGTCCCGTTCGATGAACCGCCCGTATACCGACTTGGCCATGTCTAGATTGACTCGAAGACTCATGGGAATGATCGTGGAGAAGAGAATGAGATATATCATGATCGCAACGTACCATTTCTTGTCGTTTGTTGGTTCGAATCTTTGCAACCCGACGAGGATGAACGAGAGAGTAAATGTGAGAGCGCAGAGAATTTTGGTGAGGTTGTTGATTTCGAGTTCTAACAGGCCGATCTTCGACCGGGAAGCGGAAGTCGAAAGTGAAGCCCGGGTTTGAGATCCTGTATAGATGATGACGGCGTAGGTGATGGTATTAGACGCAAGAACAGTGTTGGCCCAGGCAGTATTGTCGATTGTCAAGGGAGCTGATTGATTTTCCACCGGCCCAGGCGTTCCTTCGTTTTTTGGAGGCCCAGATGACTTGCCAACATGAGCATCGTAGAATCCAGTGGGCGGTCCCAGCCCGATAGTCCCCACGAATTCGTTGACTCTCTTATCAGGAGGGCTAGCTGTGATTTGTAGTCGATTTAAATCGCTCAGAGGGAGCGGTTGAGACAGGATGGAGGGCAGACGAAGCTTCCAGTCAGTTTCGCCATCCAATTGATCGGTCCGGATGAAAGTATCACCTGCAGGTGAATTTTTATCATCTTCACCACTCTTCGATGCGGTATTGGCTGTGGGTTCGAACGATCCTCGACCTTGTTCGAGCAAGTCGGAAGACGCCCCAGGAACGGGTTCTTCCGTTAATGAATGACGAGGAGTGCCGGAGTCATTTGAGATACTCTTCAGAATCACCACATCGGCAGGAAGGCGTTGGTTTTTGCGGACTTTGAGCACATCACCAACCTTCAAGTCTCGCGATTTTTTGGTGATCTCCGTCGCGTTGGACCTTCCTAGTGCTACAGTGCAGTATTCTTCCGCGTTGGCTTCGGCATCTCGTCGCCGACGACCAATATCATCAAGTGCCTCTTTACCCAATGATATTGAAACAACAAAGGCTAAAGGGGCAATGTAGGACGACATATAACCAATTCGTAGCACCGGGATGACCTGTGATAAAGCCACAAAGAGGAAGTAGATGTTGAAAAAAAAGAGAATTCGTTGTAAAGGGTTCTCGGTAAGAAGCTCCAGGGTGTGTATTTTGCATTCGAGACCACATTGGCTGGATACTTAGCAGCCTGGTACTGCCCGACAAGTACCTCACGGGGAGGCTGGTTCTCAGAGTCGTTGTTATTTGATCCAAATCGGATTGATACACCTTGTAGGAAGGCGGGAGTCTTGAATCCTGGGAAGCGCAGGCGGCTGCCTTTCTTGGGAGGCTCATCGTTGAAATCGCGAGTCGAGGCCCTGCGATCCAGGAGAGGCGCATCATCATCTTCCAAGTTCCGAGAGCTTGCATGTGAGTCCCGCAAGCCTTGTTCCCCCTCGCCCCCTAAAAGCGCATCTGCATCATCCTCCGAGTCTGCACGTCCAGATGCACTGCGTCTCCACCGACTTGCCGCTCCGACACGTAAGTTGCGCAGCGCGATACCCGGCCCGTAGCTTCTTTTGCGGCCGGTATAGTCCCGAGACTCACGAGGCTGTTCAGGCGATGTCGTGTTGGGATCTAGCTCTTCTAGATCCAAGTCGTCGTCCGAGTCCGAGTAGGCGTCTGGCGCATCGGGATGGTCTTGGGGGTGTAAGTAGTCGGATGAGGAAGGCATTATGGGGAAGCTGGTGTGGTTCAAGTCAAATAAATTGCTGGTTTTTTGAAAGGTGGTGCTTTTGGGCCGTGCATCAAAGGAAGGTTCATCTCAAGTATACGCTGTCATGTGTGGTGGTGGTATTGGTCAAATCGCATGTGCAGCATAATGATGAAAGAATGGAGGGATGCTACCAGAGTCAAAAAGGAAACTAAAAGCTTCTTGGTATAAAATGCAGTCAAAGCCACGATCATCAAAAATTGAGAAATATATAGAACGGAGAACTGTCTTGAAACTCATTCAAGGACGGTCGATGACTGCCTGTTGGGCCACGCAATCACATGAGTGCATAACTCACCCCGGGGCCCCGGGGCGACAAATAGCTGACATAATGCAGCACTTTTAAGGTTAAACATAAAACGGCCGGACTATCTGTTACTCCGAATTACGGGCTTGGGTTTTTCCTATTCGGGACCTGCCATCTACCTACAACATAACTAGTTAGTTAGGTAGTTATGTATATGCCTAGTCCTCATTCTAGAGCAAATATTCACCATAAGCCCTCTCGTAGGTACCCATGCTGCAAATTTCCCTCATTAACAACGCTAGCGCTTAAGCTTAACAAATCAGATGCACGCGAAGGTCAGAGGCTGTTTTTTATATATATCCATGGCTACTTCTAAATGGTGCCACCTACCTATAAAGATGAGGCTAACCTCCTTTTTAAACTAGCGTATCCTCTAAACATACATGCAACGCTTTATTTGGTACCATTGTATATATAGTTTTTCCCTTGTCTTTTATAGTACTTTTTAAAGTATTTTAATACTTACTATTGTGTTCGTTTTATCCTTCTTCTTAAAACGAAAAACTGGTTTAACAAGATAGAATTACTATAGAGTACACCCTTGTAAAGGAAGTATTACATGAATACTATTGTAAAGTATCAGTCGAATGCACTTGGAGAATGCATAGTTATACATAGTTAAAGACTGCTGGTTAACACCCCACGTTCTGCCGTTCTGCCGGTTGAATATCCACTAACAAAAACTAAGGGGTAATGGGCGGTATCGTTAATTAGGAAGGCGGTAGCAGAAAGGGAGTTAACTCTTTTGCAGAGTCACCGTACTTGTAAAGTGAGAGTTGAATCTAAATTACAATAGTTACATATGTATCCAACAAGAAAGTTATACCTAACTAGCAGATTTAGTCGCCCTTAGAGGCCGGGTAAGCAGTGTTGAACGCGTAGGTGCACTACCTGTGGAACAAACCTGAGAAGCAATCCGATGACTCAGCGTCTTAGGTTGCCCAGGTGGCTCCTCGGGATAATCATAGGCGGAGATCGCTGTCGCATTATTCCAGGACAAACTGCTTGGTTTCTTTTGCCATCAGCTGATGCATTCATGCCCGATTTATTTCTTTGAGTTTTTTTTGGCTCTGTTTTATATCTAACATCGTTTAATGGATTCCTAAGTTGACGCCTTCGACCCCCCTCATTTTTCTTTACGATTGTTGATCTCCTGAGGTGTCATTGGAGACGTGTCAGGTTGGTCCCTCCGGGCTGCGCTCCCCATCTCCAGTTACGTTGGCAAGCGAGAAGAACTTTGCACATATGGCGCACCAAGCGACCGAAAATGATTCAGAGTCATGGAATCCGGCATCACGCCCCGAGAAGATTAACTCTCCTGTTACGATGAGCTCGGTGCTCCAGGGTGGATTGTCGGATCCGACTGCGGCGGATGAGCCAAAGGACAAGTCCCTAGAGGATATAATATCTCCACAGAGTGAGGACTTCTCTGCGTGGGATATGCCCGACGAGATACACACGAATCAGCCTCAATACGCAAGCTTGGACGTGCTAGCGAACAATGCATCGCCAGTGGTGGACCAGGACGCGTGCCTAGACACTGATTCCGTCAATAAGACCATTCAAACCCCCGACGAGACCATTGAAGTGGCTCACCCAACTATCGCGCCATCTACTCAGAATACAGATGCCGTCCTAAACCCGACCCCGCCAGAAACTCAGCCCGCGCAGCCAGTTGAGACCGAAACACCCTCAGTCCAATCTAGTGCGGAAGTTAGCAATAGTTTCCCCATCAATATAGACGCGCCACCCTCGGTTCAAACCGAAACCTTTGATAATGCCATTCCCACTGTCGCACCCGAACAAGAAACCACACCGGATTCGACAACTGCGAGAGAGACTACACTTTCAAGAGAGGAGCGAACCACGGCACCCGAACCTTCGTTGGATACCTTTAAGCATGAATATACCACTCAGTCTACCCCCACCGAAGAACTGTTTCCAAAAGCAAACGAGGGAAATGCCGATTCTGAGGACCCGTGGGCCACCTTTGAGAAGGACCTCAGCAATATGTTGCCCTCCACCGAAGAGGGTACCCCGCTTAGCAAAAATTCGAATACTATCCCTGAGTTTGCCTCGAACTCTACTCCAATCCAGGATAGCGATGAGCTGAAGTTTGCCGAAGAAGCTGTACGTCCATCGCAAGAGGACACATCACTTACGGTTGTGACATTTGATGAAGAGAGTACTGATGTCTTCAACTCCACTAAACAGGCCATCTCTCCGACCGAAAATGAGCAACTTGATATTGTGTCTCGCTCGACGAATGTTGAATCTGAGAATACGGATTCTCCAGCTCCTACGGTGGAAGCCTTTGCACTGACCAACGAGGTCCATCCAGATCCGGCCGCAGCGGAAGTGGACGCAACCACTACCACTCAGGAGCAACCTTTCTGGACAAACGAGCTGAGCGGTGAAATCGACTCCAATGAGGGCGACTTCTTTAATCACCTCAACAGCCAGACAAAGCCTATCTTTGCGCCGCCAGAAGCGGATTCCAGGTTCGAGGAGGGGGTCCCGTTGTTAGATGAGTCTACACCGGGTTCGCCTGAACACCTAGTGCAAGCAGAGAAATCTATCGACAGCGTTTTTTCCAACTATGAAGATGATGCAGATGGCTTCTTCAGCTCGGCTCTAAAGTCAGGGACTAAGGACGACGATGAGGACTTCTTCGGCTCTCTCTCAAAGGAAGAGGCTGAGGAGCAGCCCGTCGCTCATCTCGCCCGGAAGAGCACGTCTCAGGTATTGGAGTCGGCTGGCTTTGCTCTTGACTCCCCGGTCAGTGACGCTTCGGCTGCAGCGCAGTTTGATGATGCCCTGAAGGCTGCGTCGTTGGAGCCCCAACCAACCGCCGATCCCTCCGAGGAAGAGCTAGCAGCGCGGTGGGAAGCTGAGCTAGGTGATTCACCAGATGATGATCTGGCGGCTCGCTGGGAGGCGGCATTGGACGATGACGATATACTCCTGGAGACTGAAGCCTCTCAGTCTGTCTCTGCACAGGAGCACATCCATCAAACTCCTGCCGAGCCTACGAACAATGATATGTCGGCTGGCTTGAACAGTCCGTTCCAGAACCCTCAGGCCTTGTCCCAGCCAAGACCTGTTCCTAACATATACACACCCCACCAACCGTCCACTGGTGATCTATTGCAGGGTGTTCCTATCCCAGGCACTGCACCGCCAGCCACCGGAGCCATGTCATCATATTTCTCACAACCAACCCAGAACCCTGTGGCAACCAGGGGAGAGAGCTTTGCTGAGCGGTCAAAACAGGGTTACAAATCTCCCTACGACCTTCCAGAGGATATCTCACGACCCCGAAAGCCGGTCGTGACCCACAAGCCCGTTCCCCCAACAGTGACTAGTATGCCCCCACCTCCTCCCCCAGGTGTTTCTGGTGTACCGATTCCGGCTACATCTGGCTTCCCCACTCCGGCAGCTCTCCCGTCAGCTGTGTCCGCTCCCCCTGCACCGAAGAATTTCTACGAGGAACTTCCTCTGGTGACACCAAGGTCTAGGCCTGCCAGCTCTGGCCGGTACACCCCTAATCCGCAGGTGGCGCCAACGATGACCGGGCCGTCTCTTCCTCCTCCCCAAGTTCAATATGCCCCTGCCGCACCACCCGCTTCGCAGCCTATCGCGCTCCCAATCCAACCCACACTTCAGCCGCCTGAACAGTTGGATCCGTATGCCAGCCTAGCATCGAGTGCCCCGGCCGGACCTCCTGCCGTTGCAAGGTATTCTCCCCAACCTCCTGGCTTGCAAGCACCCCCAAAGCCACCTTCGTTGCCGAGATATTCTCCTGCGCCCCCGACTACCTCTTCCGCTCGCAATCGTTATGCCTCACAGCCACTTAATGTTCCTGGCCAAAATTTGCCTTTCCAGCCACGGACGTCAAGTCCGCTTGCACACCACGAGAAGGTTTCGTACCAGCCTGATCAATTTCACAAGCCACCATCTCTCGAGCCTGCGATCAATCTATCTCCGCCGCGCGGGCAAGGGGCTGGCTTTGGTCCAATCCCACCTACTGCCCCGCAATATCTCAATGGTTCTGCCAGCCTACCCCGGAGAGAAAGTGCGGGATCACCTGTACAGCAATCTCCGCCTCAAAGTCGCTACGCCCCTCAGGAATATCTCAATGAATTCGCCCAGCGTCTCGCGCCGGCCCCGGAACACGCTCCTCCTGCTCCCGCTGCTCCCGCGACGAATGTGTACATGTCCCCACCACCTAGCGATATCCAGATCGGTCCACTTCGCAGGTCCCAGACCCAGTCACCTGCACGGGACTTGACGAGCCCCCGTTCCTACGGACAGAACGTTGATACCCTCCAACGGCCGGCTTCGGTGCAAGCTTCAGGCTCGCCGACTAAAATCGTTAATCCGTATGCCCCTCTGCAGGCTGCTTCTCAAACCCGCACTCCAACGCAGCATCTTGAATTCATCGCTCCAAATGATGGACAGGAACGTGACCCCCTGGAGCGATGGAAGGGTGCGCCGATCTTCAAATTCGGGTTCGGTGGATCCGTCGTATCTTGTTTCCCTAAGCACATTCCTCGCTACTCCGCTGGTCAAGTGGCGCCAATGATTCAACCCACTCTTGGTGAACCGAGAATCTCCCAGCTGAGCGAATGGCTGCCCTCCGCTGACAGTATTGTCCAGCACCCTGGGCCCCTCAAGGCAAAGTCAAAGAAGAAGGAATTAATTGCTTGGCTTTCTAGCAAGATTGCGGCCTTTGAACATTCGGATCTTCCAAGCTATAAACAGGTTCAGTCCGATACGCACAAACACCAGGAGGAGAAAGCTCTTCTCTGGAAGGTTGTCAAGCTTCTTGTGGAGAATGACGGTAATCTGGAGAGTTCGCCTGAAATTCAAAAGTCTCTCCGCCAGATCATCTTCCCCAATCTACCCAACCCCGACGCAGACGGATCATACACCAGCAGCATAGCCTCTTCGGGAGGGTTTGCTCCTACAGAAATGTCCTCGCAGCCTGATGCCGTTGATGCACGGTGGTTGGAGGAGCTTCGCCTACACTTGATCTGTGGCGATCGGGAGAAGGCTATCTGGAGTGCTGTCGATCGACGTCTTTGGGGACATGCGATGATCATCTCATCCACCATGGACAGGTCGATTTCGAAGCAGGTTGCGCAGGAGTTTGTCCGCCGCGAGGTCAGGTCCAAATCCGCAAACACCGATTCACTTGCAGCCCTGTACGAGATCTTCGCTGGCAATATTGAAGAAAGTATTGACGAGCTTGTTCCTCCGTCTGCCCGAGCAGGTCTGCAACTTATTAGCAAGGCTGATGGCCAGGGCTGTACCAAGAATGCCCTCGAGGGTTTAGACAAGTGGAGGGAGACCTTGGGACTAGTTTTGAGTAACCGAAGTTCTGAAGATCACCAGGCCCTGTTCTCCCTCGGTCACCTGCTTACTTCCTATGGACGGACAGAGGCGGCTCATGTTTGTTACATCTTCTCGCGTGCTGCGGTTTTCGGTGGCCCCGACGACACAAAGGCCAACATCACTCTCCTTGGTGCTGACCATCAGCGTTGCCCTTCTTCCTTGATGGATGAGGATGCTATCTTGCTGACTGAGGCCTATGAGTATGCTACGTCTGTCCTCGGCAACTGTCCAACAGCCCATCTGCCACATCTCTTGGCTTTCAAGATCTTGAATGCCAGGTGCCTCGTAGACCAGGGTCGCAATTTAGAGGCGCAAGGCTATTGCGATGCAGTGGCAGCGGCATTGAAAGCAACCACTCGTCCCTCGCCGTACTATCACCAGCACCTCTTTGCGGAAGTTGAAGAGCTGTGTGCTCGTCTGCGCCAGACAACTAGCGATAGTGGCTCTTGGATCTCGAGGCCAAGCATGGAGAAGGTCTCGGGGTCTATGTGGGCTCGTTTCAATAGCTTCGTGGTGGGTGATGATAGTGATGCTGCATCGACTGGATCCGGCAAGGGCGGCGAGCATGCGGAATTTGGTCCTTTTGCAAACGTGGCTGGCACCCCAACAATTAGCCGCTCACCTTCTGTTTCCGACATCTACGGTTCTTACCCTGGAGCAGGAGCAGGAGCGCAGCCTATTCCCACCAGCGGCGCATCCAAGTATCACCCCTCCAGCCAATATGCGCCAAATGCCTCGCCTGAGCAGTTCAAGGGGCGATCTTCGATGGATTCTCAGAGATCTGCTTCCTACTTCCCACCCTTTGGACAACGTCGAAGTTCACAAGAACTCTCGCCCTCGATTGATCAACAGATGTCCTATGGAGCTCCAGTGTATGGGTCGCCAAACGCGGGTGGGTATCAAGCAACACCGCCCCAGTCCTCTTACGTTCCTCTTGCTCCGGTAGAAGAAGCTATGTCGCCCACTGAAGCACCTCCAGCTGCACAACCCATGGTGAATGGCCTCTTTTACCAGCCTCCGGGACAGGCTGCCACATCCAGCGAATCCCCCTATTACCAAGGCCCTCCTGGTATGCCGGCTGATATACCTGACTCAGAGTCACCCTACGCACCTCCCGTTGCCAGCTCCTCTTACGAACCGGTTTCCTACAAACCAGTTTCCTACGAGCCGGTTGCAGCCGGTGTAGACATGGGCTATGTTGCCCAGGAGGAGGATCTGCCACATACCGCAGAGCAGCCAAGGAAGCAGTCGATCATGGATGACGACGATCATGATCTTGCTGCCCGGGCAGCGGCTATCCAAAAAGCGGAGAATGACCGCAAAGCGAATGAAGCGTTCGCGAAAGCCGCCGAGGAAGATGGTATGTATAAAGAACGCTTATCGCTTAACTCACTTGCTAATCCGATTTCTCCTATAGCTAAGAAAGATGCCCAAAAATCTGGCAAGAAGGGTTGGTTTGGTGGTTGGTTCGGCGGAGCCAAGAAGGAGGAAAACAACACCGGTGGCGGTCCCATTAGAGCCAAACTTGGCGAAGAGAGCTCCTTCTACTACGACAAGGATCTGAAGAAATGGGTCAACAAGAAAGATCCCGGTAGTAGCGCACCCGTCCATGCCACCCCGCCCCCTCCTCGAGGATCCGCTCCCCCCAGTCGGACTGCGAGCTCGGGCAGTATGCCACCAAACGGTGCGCCTCCAATGCCTCCAATGCCCCCAATGTCGGCCTCTGGCAGTCGGCCTCAGTCTTCCTCAACCGCCGCCCCGCCTTTCTTGTCCACCAGCCCAGGCTTATCTGGTCTTGCGCCTCGCTCCGTTTCCACGGGAGCGGCTATGCCAACACCGCCCGGTAGTTCCAGCGGCCCGCCGCCGCGGCCTTCTTCGTCCTTGACTCATGCTAGCTCAATCGACGATTTGATCGGCGCGCCTCAAGCGCGAAAGGGCAACACGGTTCGTGGCAAGAAGAAGGGCCGTTACGTTGACGTGATGGCTCAATAATCATCGTGCTTTACCTGAATAGCAGATGATAACTATAGTGCTCATTAGTCTCCCGACTAACCAGTGCTATAATGTCCTTTTCTTTTGTTTCATTATGTTTGTTTTATTGTTATGTCTTTTATTTGTTATCACCTGATTTCTTTGATGAAGCGCATCCCCTACCCCCTACCCCCTACCCTTCGATAATACAACCCCATGTTACTAGATTTGTCATTGCCCCAGCATCCTGCATGTGTCTTGTTTCTTGCCCCGGCAGACACGCCATCTCTCTGCATTCTCGCTCACTGAACATCATCCGATGCCTTGCTTTTTGCACATAGCTTGATCTTTGGTGTTCTTTGACGTGACCTCATCCATGGAGTCAAGGGCTTGTACTCCTGGCATTATGTATATCACCCTCCTCCCCTTGGTGTTCTATTCTGACCTGACATTTTGTTGCTCGCTGGAACTTTCTGGATCTGGAGGTTTCTTCTTGCATGGCTTTTGACATGCACCTGTTTTAATAACGATATCTAATAATTCATTCCGACCTTTGGACACCTGAACTTTTGGAAGATGGATATCGTAGCTCAAATTTCACCACATCATCATGTGGTGAATGAATTGATATAATACTGAAATATGACAGTTAGAAGGCTTGGTTGTTGCATGAATGCATTCTTGGGACAATGTCAACTCACCGTTAAACAAGATTCTTCGCCATCCCGATTACCTGGCAGATAAACGTAAAGAACCAATGCCATTTCATTGACGAAGCCTAACCATAGCAAATGAGGAACCGAGTCAGCACTAGCACCATCGAGCGGCAATTCCAAGGATCATCGGTCAACTTACAGGCAACAACTTTGGGACTGAGCCTCCCAATACTGAGCACCCGGCTCCAATCCTTTCCATCAATTCGCACCTTAGCCCAACCAGACTCAAATCCCTCACTCGCCTGCCGCTTCCGATTAAGCTCGCTTGGAAGCTGGCTCATCTGCTCCTGGGTCATCTGCGCAGGGTCCAATGGTGGGTTCACGAGATCAGACCAAACACTCGCGATACGTAGCTCATCTGTAGCAATAGCCAGCCGTAGCGAGCCATGCATATTGGCAGATAATTCCAACTTGGGAGACGAGTTGGTGGACAGTGCTGTGGCAGCTGTGTTAGCGCCCGACCCACTGAAAGAAACAGAGTGCATCCCCGGCGCTTCGGCCGCCATAACACCCGGCTGTCGGCTTTTGCTATCTGTAGATGCGAGTTTCGTGAAGCGATCGGATATGCTCTTTAACTGCGCCAGATTAGGTAGGATAATGTGCACTTCGGGGTCTGGGCAATGCGGCTCGTGTAGGCCTTCGACTGCTGACTCGTGGAGGATCTTGATCGGGACTTCTTGCGTGATCCATGTCTGGCGTTCGCGTGGTCCTCGATCGCCTGTCGTGTCGGTTGGAACTTCTGGGTTTGTGTCGTCGCCAAAGCCATCTGCGTCATTATTGGTGGCCAAGGCCATGTTTCCCTCTGTCCATTCTGACGCGAGGACTGTTAGTGCCAAGAGAGGGGTTTTGTCTTTTTTAGTTAGGCGGAGTTGTGAATGTGTTGAGCCCCAGGCGGAGCGCAGGGCTCGATTTAGGACGCTGATGTTGACTTCGATGTTGACGGCACCGGAATTGGACTCTAGCTCGTAGGTTGTGTCATCGAAAATAGCTCCCTAGGAAATGGTTAATTTATAGATCATATGATTGATAGGTTTTATATTATTATGCATACGACTGGTATTGATGCCCATACTTGTGTGCCTTGGTCGGGTATGATAGTAAAGCGGATGACCTCGTACTCCAGGCGCATCCAGCATACCTTGCCCAGCGACGACAGTGACGCAGTGAGCTCTGATTTAGTTAGCATGAATCCTTTGTTTTATCGATTGGTCTTACTGGAGAAAGTCCTGCTGTCTCTTAATTGTGTTCGGAAGCGCATTGTGCGAGTTGATGATGATGGAGGAAGGATGATCGACCTCAACTAAGGTGCTTATCGCTATCGCTATCGCTATCGCTATCGCTATCGCTATCGCTATCGCTATCGCTATCGCTATCGCTATCGCTATCGTCGCCGCTCGAGAGATCACATCTACGACTCTCGCTCTTCTCACAACTTTGGAACAGCTTGATGACATTTAATTGACATTCAATTTTACATCTCCATGTTACAATCTTTTAGCTCACTTGGGTCAAGGGTCAAACTCGCAACCAAAGCTGCTCCTACTCCAGACCCATCCTCGGCTTCGTTTAGAGCAATCAAGTCCAATCTGCCTGATTCCCAATCAAAAATATCACGAAGACCCTGGTTTGCCCGTTCCTTCAACATACTATATTTACTGAACACCGAACCATCAACCCCAACGTGACATTGATGGATCCCTTTCTTCTTGCAGATGGCGGCAATCCCACACGCGTAGAGACGCGCTGCACGCATCGCGATCAGGCCAATAAGATGACGAGACGCCTTCAGTTCGTCTAACGAGGGTTCCAGATTGAGGCTCCCTTTGAACACCTCTCTCATTTCGGTCAGACTTTGTGACATGTCCATCTCGGCAGCAGACAGAAACGATGTCTCCAATGAGTTCACGACACGAAGACGCGAGACATCTTGGCCCTTGAACAGTATGCCCTCCTCATGCATTTTCAGCATCACCAGGCGCAGCATCTCTCCTATGTACAAACCAGACACCATTTTCTCATAGATCTGCTTGCCTGGATTGGCAGATTCCTCGTCGATCTGGCGATCAAATGGAGTCACGGGCAGCACCTTACGCTCGTTATCAAAGGAGCCGTACTCCGTGTTGATGATTACAGTTGCATCTTCGGGCAGTCCTGAATTACGCAACTTGGGGATCAACCGACATTCTTCCATATACGCTGCATTACAGCCAGTGCTAAAAATGCTGCCAATCTTTACCCGCGGATCCCGGTAACGTGATGCGACAAGGGTCCCCGCTGTGTCATTGATGAGGGCAACCAGTTTCACTGGGGCGTTCTAATTTGGTCAGCTCCGACTCTCTTGGTATTAAGTATGGGATTACCCTTTTTGCAAGTTCCTCTTCCAGTTGAGGTACTACATCATGTCCTACCACTCCGGAAACATTGAAGTTTTTGGTCCAGCGCTGCAGAACGCCACTGCGGATGGACTTTTGCTCCACTGGGAACGAGAATGTGAACGCCATTGGTAGTGGGTTTGAAGCACTGATATCACTCTCACTTTCAGTGAGGAACGACTCGATTCGGTCCGCAATAAAACTCCACAGGCCTTCTTTTGTGGTTGTCTTGACTTCCCCCGGAAGCTTGTATTTCCTCTGGCGTTGCTCGAAGTCTCTCTTGCCGGCGGAAAGACAGACCTCACATACACGGAGATTGGTTCCTCCCAGGTCAACTGTGAGAATGCGTCCTTTTTCCTGGCCTGTTGGGTATCTCATGATCCATGTGACGTTCATAGGCTTCAATCCATACCACCATTCCCGTTAGCATCTACTTTTCATATCGCCTTGGGTCCATTGGTACTGACAATAGATCCACCCTCAACGGTAAGACCTTTCTCCAGCTCCCGAGTAAAGTGATCTGTGATTGCCTTCAATTTGGGTGGCTCAAGCAAGAACCAATCCTCATATTTCTTGAGTTCTGTAGTGATTTCTTCTGGAAGACCTTCCAGAAGTTCTGGGCGATAGCGAACCCCTTGCATGATGATCGACAAACTTGGTAGAAGATATTTTTTTTGTAGTTCTGCTGTTCTGCAATTCTGAAGAGTCTCGGGGATATTCCCGGGGCCCTATAGCTCAACGCCATCATGACCACATAGTGATAGTAGAAATTGATCCAATGGGTTAATTTGTTTTAATTTTATGATATCAGTATCTGCTACGGAATATGTACGGAGTATATACGGAGTATATAGGAAATAATTGGACAAATATTTAAATATTGCTCCTTGCGTCTATAGTTGAAGCTATTTTCAAATAGCCTTGTTCCCCCTTTGATTGAACATGCAGAATTGTTTTTTTTTTCCTTCTTCAACCTTTCGATATGCTGCAATTTTGGATATCCAATATGTATACCGTATAAAAAATATATATAAAAATACCAAAATAAAAATGTACTGTATAGTTAACCGTAGTGTTGTTGCAGTACCCCGGCGGATCATCCGGCGATGGTTCATATCGGCAACTCCACTAAAAAGACCTTAGGGCCTTTCCCCTGATCAGATCTCCACTTCAAAATAAATTCAACTTCAGAAAATCTTCCGAAAACTATTGTTTTGATATCAATTGTGATCAGAAAGCCGGTCTTTCTAGTTCCTTGTCGCTCATTTGTGCCCACTTTACCACCATCCACTCTCTCCGCACTCCCTCGCTTCTTCTCATCTTTGTACCTCGACCTCTTTCGTCAACACGATCATTTTTCCCATTTCTTTTTCTTTTCTTTATTTTCAAGAGCTTATTGCTTGCCAAGTTCTGCACTTTCTTAAGACGCGCGTCTCAGCATGCGGGCTCGACAGTCCTCTTTCCCGCCCTCGTTCCGACGTCCGTCACTTACATGCCATCCTCGAGCCAGTCGAGGCTCCCTGTGACTTTTACTCCCCGACTTAGGCTGAGCATCTATTCGGAATGGCGGCCAGTCGAATAAATCCGAATCACCCTTCCATCCGCCTCTCCCCCTCCCTCTCTCGAAATGACTCGCGCTCAACCTCACTGGAAAGAATCCCTGGCTCCATCTACCAGCAACTCGACCCTCTCCTCAGCAACCTTTCTCCCGAATCAACACTCCAAGCCCTCACATCAACCGACGCAGTCCCTTCGAACGAACAAGCCGCCCATGATATCCTGTCGCGAAGCATCTCCCAGGTGTCGCCGTCAGAACGCGCTCTAGGGATACGCGCGGCGGTAGCCGCCCAGAACTTGAACTTGTGGCACAAAGAGGTCCAATCATGGAATTGGCCAAATCAGCGCGACGCGAAGGTTGGGATGGGTTTTATTCCTCCATCTGAGTCGCACTCCGGGGAAAATCCCATCCCTTCGGGGCTCTTGGCTCCCCCTAGCAACACCCAGGCAAGCTACTATGGGAGCTTGTTAGCCAATGTGGTCGAAGGATACGAGAGGAGAGCCGATGAAATCCGCGATGGAATGGACGATCTTAACGTGGAAGAATTAAAGGAACACGTTTTGAATGCCCACATTCCATCCAGGTCTCGGCCCTCGTCCGCCACAAGCTGCGTGTCTGTGCCTCCGCCGCTTAGCTATGTACAGCTGAGTGACTTCACAGCTGTTATTACTGCGACCATTCTCCGAGCTCTCCCATATTTGTCGCGACTGAATGCCCTCCTTGCCACTTGGGAAGTTCGCATCTTTGTCCTACGCCAAATTCCTGGTCTGCTCAGAGAGCTGAGCTTGACCCGCTCTGCCCTTGACTCGTCCCTCCACGCCTTACGAACCCCACATTCTTCTGCCTCCGGCCCGAGCGAATCCTGCGATGCATCCCTAGCTGTCGATCACGTTAAACTGGAGTCCGCAGTTGTGGCTGTGGGGAGGCGGATGGACCGGGTTCTCGACGCGTTGGAGGGTCGTCCAGATTCTTTGCCCGAACAATGGATAGATGACTTAGAAGCCATTGAGTCTGATTTTGCTGTATGGGTGGTGGAGGCTGATAAATACAAGGTTCGCAACGCGTGGTTGCGGTCAAAAGCCGAGTCTGAAATGGCGGAGATACACGCGGCCGATCTCCAGCGCGCAGAGTCATTGAAGGAAACGCGGCAGGACCCAACATCCGATATAACTGTATCGGAACCTTCGGATAATCTCAGTTCCCCCGAGGCCCAGGCTGTCGAAGATGAGCCTGAACTTCGGTGTGGCCTTGAACTCTCGCCCGGTGATGTAAGGCCAATTAGCCCACAATCTGTGGAACAATCAATCCCGCCTCTCGAAGAGATGCCTCTTCCTGCAGACTGTGTGGAAGGGGATGCTTCGCCAAACCTACAAGTCTCGATACCTCTATCGAAGTCTCCAATCGAAGAGAGGCAAGATCTCACACCCGTGGTCGTGGCAGAGGACCTAGACACACCAACACAGTCCGACTTTCCACCAGCTCCTGCGATTAATCGGCAGCCCTTTTCGGCTCTTGCACATACGCCCTGCGCAATTGATCGCAACTTGGAAAACAAGAAAAACAAGGAAAACATTCCTCCGCCCGGCTTCCAACAGCATGACGGAGCTGTGTCACCCCCCAACCAAGCTTCAGCAAGACCAAGTCCATTATCCGAGCATAGTGCTCTGGCTGAAGATCCTTTCATTCAAGATTCCCCTGCGACTGAAATAGAAGTCCAACTTCCTGAGGTTGTCGTTTCTACCGGTATACCTGCCGCAGAAGAGCTGAATGCACCCCCTGGTCGCAAAGACTTGCCTGGTGATACTGTGGCCAATGAGAGACAAAATAACACCGACGAGGAGGAAAAACAACCTTCTCCACATTCCAAATCAACCGAGCTCAATCCCGAGCCTAAAATTGCCACTTCTCCTATTCCCCAAGATCCTGGATCCCTCAATGGGCTGAGTGAACATAACCAGTGTGATACTCCGGTGGCAGCAACTATTTCTCCGGTCCTCACACCAAACAGGGCAGAAATTCGAGTGCCGAAATCGAGACCGTCTGGCAGGGTTTCCCAAATACCCATGCTTGTCGCATCACCCAAGTCAGGCTCGAACCCTACGCCCATCAAGTCTCACCACCCACGGAATGAAGGGAAAGCAGAGCCTTGTCAACGGACTGTTCGCAAGCCGTTACAGAGCCCTATTAAACTTTCCAAATTTCGCCCAGGGAAGCCTGATCTTGACAAAGATGGCACAGTAACGCACAAAATTACGCATCGTCGTCGGACATCTACTGGATCGGTGGGATCCTTGCTTTCAGACCATTCTTCTCTCATATCCAGTCCCGAGATACCTGAGCCGCGCACTGATTCCTCTAATGTAACGCCTCTTGGGACATCATCTCACACTAAACCTATACAGCCTCCTTCACATGGGGACTATACTTTGAGAGAGGATCGTCTGCGTCGTCTGGAAAACCAGAAGCCTGACCCACGCATCGGTCTGCAACAAAGTCGTACGGTCAGCCTGCCCCTCGAGCGGTTTATCAACGAGCGCTTGGGGTTGGGTCTGGGAAGCGAGTCGGCGCCAGGTGTGGCCAGTGTGAAACCGTCTAGGACTAGGACACGCTCTGTTACATCTACCGAATTCCCCAAAGCCCCAAAGGTATGTGAAGCCATTGTCCATTTGATTATATGCCCATCGTTGATTGATTATACTAGGCACGAAGCAAAATCACATTCCAGGATACATCCGCTACATCCATTCCACCGGTTCCACGTCTCCCTACCGGCTGTCATCAACTGTCCCGAGGGAAGTCTGCAACTGACTTGAACACTCAAAATGAGATTGGAAAAATAGCGGAGCGAAACAAGAAGACATTCGGAATGAATTCCGCCCGAAGAGCTATGGAACACCTTCTTCAGCCCAAGTCTGTCCGCTGGCGACAGCGACTGACTGCCCATCCAAGTCTTGAAAGTCTGGGTGTGAAGAGACAGGAGCTGTCCTATGTAGAAGAGCATGAGTCCGAACTCACCGATTTCGGATTCCGCCCTTCCTCGTCAAACAAACACAGCAAGCAACCGCGAGACCAGCTCGATGAAAAGATTAACTCGATTCTCAACTCGTTGCCTGGTCATATTCATTTGGTCGACTCCAACCACGAAGCAGACACATCCTCGTCTTCCTCATCGTTGGACCGACGAATGCGGTACAGATCCGAATCCCCTACTGGTCCAACTCGTAGCAACACTCCCGCACCTTCCTTGACCTTGATGCCCGCTTCCCGGAGACGACACTCTCATGCGTACAAGACAGAGGACAGCTGTGTCAAACTCTACCACCTCCATCACGGGGGCCAGTCCGCACCGACAAAACTCTTCGTTCGCACCGTTGGAGAAGAGGGACAGCGAGTGATGGTTCGTGTTGGCGGTGGATGGGCTGACCTCGGCGAATACCTTCGCGAATATGTCATTCATCATGGTCGCCGCAAGGTGTCTGAAACGCCCCGTGTGGAGGTGCAGGGTATAAAAACACGTTCATCACCGTCTTACGCTTCTCCGGGTGCTACATTGACCCCAACTACCGCTACCTCACATCTTGCCTCCGGCCGGGCTACCCCCTCCCGACCACCATCCGCGCTCAGTGCCCGGCCACCCTCATCCCTTACCGTTCACAAGAAACGCCGAGCCTCAACCGCATCTGATGCATTGGGCACCAGGGCAGTGACAACAGGCCACATATCCTCCTTCACATCACCTCCACCTACCGTCGCCCCTCTCCCTTCCTCAACCGGCAGACGCCTTTCAGTGTCTTCGGGCTATTCAGTCAGCGATGCCCACTCCCCGAACAACAATGCTACTACCTCCACGGCCAACGAAACCCGCTCCACGCCACTGGGCTTAGCTGGTCCCAAACCACGTGCTCGGTACGAATCGATGAGCCCAGAGGGTGAAGCCTGGGTTGCAGATGTCCTCCAAAAGACCCGCCGCTCCAGCTCCCACAACCCACCCCAGTTTGCACTGAGCCTGCCTCCCAACCACGATGCCGATGACCGATTTGAGATCGGCGACGGCAGCGTGGTTGGACACTCCTTGCCCAAAGTCCGCAGCATTGGCGATATCGGATCCATGGGCACAAGCAGGCGGGTCGTGCTGAAAGGTCTTGGGTCTCGCCGGCCGTGAACTCCGACAAAAGTGATCCTTCGCATATAAATTCCTATCTTCTTGATTCCCATATTTTTTTCTCTGTTTTTATTTCCCTGCTGTACCCATTATGGATGGGTCTGCCGTTATTTTTCTTCGCATCATCCTGGGCCCTCGGCTCTTGGACATATGGACATTTGGCTGTACATGTTTTTTGGCGCCGTCCTTTCATATCTCGGGTTTTTTAACTTCTCTTCTACTTGCATCAGCGTGGCGAATATGTTCTTACTTTGTTTTGCGTTTTGATTCGGGATTTGGTGTGGTGTTAGAGCTCAACAATACCCTACAGTTATTTGGTTGATAGAGTGATCTTTGCATTTACAAATAGTTTGACATACATATTACATTATCCTTCTTATACACTACTACATCTTTCAGAGTACTTTGAATCCCGTAATACCTTAAGAGGTACATGCTAACTTGAAGGCCGAAAACTATTTTCGGGTCTCTCCGTACCCTCGGGGCACAGGGAGGCTACACCATACCTATAAACTCCATTTATAAGACGCATATAGCCGCTTACCTGCCAACGGAGCAGGTCCTCCAAGTGCAAGCTTCCCAATTCGCTCATGCTCCGGTCCAGAATCCCCCATTATGCCAGGTATCTTATCCAGAACGGCAACATGGCTCGACCCAGCAGCGGCAAGTAAAGGGACGTCATCCGCAACCGAAGCCCCAATCCTCATCATCGCAAACGAATCCAACTGTTCCGTCCATCTAGGATATCGGGTAGAATAAAACCCAAGCCCAATTAGAATAAACAGATAAAGACCGAGCAAAATCGAGACCGTCACAATACCGCCAACCGAGAACGTCGGAATCGAAGTATCCTTCCCCATATCCCAGTATACATTAATACGGAACGAAAGGTCTTCGTTGCCGAATTCCATCCACGCTTGGTTCGCCAGGAACGCAGCGGCGTTGAATGCGTTTTCAAGGCGGCCGATGCTGACTTGTCGGAAAACCGCTAGCCACTGGTGGATCGCTTCTTCGGCTGTTTGGGCTCCGTTGAAACCACACGGGAAAGGCACAATGGCCGGGTACTCTTTTGAAGTGAGGTTCCGTATATCCAGAAATCCGTCCTGGTTTAGGAAAAGTCCACCCAGTGGTGCCATGCTGAGACAAATATCTGGGTCTGAAGACCCAGATCCATGGATTCCAGCGTCCTGGGGAGGTGGTTTTGACCGGGACCATGCTTCGAAGAAGCAGTCGGGACCGAATAAGGCGAGTGTGAGCGTTTGTAGGGGGCCTTTGTGTGTGTCTAGATAGACCCCTTTGGGGTTTGCAATTCTCCAATAGCTGGAGGTGTTGGTCAGCGATATCAATGACATACCACGAATAAAGCCGGGGAATAAGTAGCACGAGTAGAACATAAGGGGCTTGGAGTTTAGTACGGAACAGGCTTACTCGGAATACTGAATCTCGCAATTGTTGTCGTCAGTGCAATTGGGTCTCTTTTCTAACAGCGGTCCAGCCTTTCCCCCATTACTGTAGTTGGGAAGCTCAAAGTATCCGGCTGTTGTGTTTACCGCGATCTTGACAATGTAACGGTCAAGTGAGTGTTCGGTAGAGCTCACTCTTCCATATGTGATGTTGACATACAGTTCCTCCGAAAAGTCCTGGCGATCACGCGTTGAGCTCCAGGGAGACTGTCGCATATCTGCTGGCATGCACGCTGTTACTGTCCAAGAATAATTGGTGCTGCTAGACTTGAAGACATTCTCGTGGTAAAAGTATAAAGACCCCGGCGTATCGCCGCAGTCCTTTGGAAATTCAGTGGGAGTAACGGTGGTTGTTGAGTTGATACGCGGTAGATACTGGCGAATTAACCCAGTATTATATCCATTTAGCAATTGAGCTAGAAAGGGGTCCGGATAAATGGAGATATTTGCAAATGTTGTCATATCGGGACAATGCTCGTTATATGTTGTAGTACACACTTCGTTCCCGGGGGGCCATAGTTGTGCTTGAGGCTGCACGACACTGGTCCGCTCAAGGGCGTCGCGAGTGGCCAGCACAACCGTGTTATTGGTACGCCCGCGGTAGTTTGCAAGTTGGGATGGAATGTCGAAGAGGTTTTCGGTATGTCCCCCTAATTGGGGCCTTTTGATTGTCTTCGAGGATAAGAAGATCTGCTGAAGAGGAGCTATGATGAACCCCAGGATATGGACACATATGGCGACAGCTAAGAGCCAACTCCCATACCGTTTCCAACCACCAGGCGTCAGGGCACGAGCGTACGTAAATGGATTTGTCCAGTTCCGATCTGCCAACATCATGACCTGTCTAATAGTCTTATCGGCACTCCTAGATCTGGCTCGTCTCTGGGAATAAACTGCTGCAGCGCTGGCACATATCGCAGAGGCGGCCGGGATAGAAAAGACACCAACAAACGACATCAGCACTCTTGCTGTCTGTATCCAATCCTCGTTTTCTTTGAATAGCACGTCTACCTTGGGTATGGTGAGGCCCTTCAAGACGGCTTTGTGATCGGCGTCTTTGTGTGTGCTATAGCTGAGGTTATGACTCGAAATCGGCCGAAAGGTGAGATAGACAATAGCAATCCAGCTAAACGAGGATAACGCAGCGTATGACCCCGCGATCCATAACCCGAACGATGAGTGATCTAGTCGACTGGTCGATGGCGTCTGGTGGTCGGGCAACAAGCTCTCGTTTCCATCTGTTGGGGTCACATTGGGGCCGTCTGGCTCCTCAGATGGCGCCTGATTGGGTCGATGGTTTGATTCTTGGGGTTGTTGTTCAAGCATTTCTTGACTTCTTAGATAGGAACGGGTACTCTGTAGGTTTGCCCTAACATAGAGCAAGAAGGAATATTATATGGGGTGAGAAAGTTGTGAGGCTCAACTGGAAACACTGCCACATTTTCTTGCATTGCACTGGGCGTTGTCTGCCAAGGATCTTAATTTATCTTAGAGTGTTTTGTTAACCCCAGATAGGGCAGAATACCACCTCACCACTGGGCTCAGGCCGAAATACGAGGCTGAAATGGGAAATTGTCTTGCATATCAAAAAAGGTAGAAGGGGCCGGGCACCCTCACATGACATGCCATATTATTACCCTGACTCGTAGATTTTGAAGGTATTCCTGGGAAATTCTTGGGAAATTCTCTGGTGCAAAAGAATTCATGGTCTCCTTCCTACCTAATTTGCACTAGGCCTAGGCACAACCCATATGATATTCAATATTTGGTTATATTCATTCATTTCTACTCAGAAGAATACTGTCTTGGAACAAACGCTCTCCCAAAATGTAGATTCCCTGGGACCAGTAGCAAGCACACTTCATCAGCCTTTCCACCTTCAATGAGGCTACCACCAGTGCGTAAAGAGGCTATTGAAAATAGTTTTGATATTCATGGGAGGATGGAAGAAGAGACATTTTTAAAAATGTAAAAAGGCGCCGATTGGATTCTTTGCCAACTTCGGGTCTTGCAATTCCCTGTATAAGATAATGGTTAGTTTAGTTATAATCGTAGGCTCGAATTCTGAGACTGAACTCATAGAAGCAACGAAGTAGTTTCGGTTCTTCGTCAGTCTCTCGAATATCACTTACATGTATAGCGGCTCGCACACGCGACATCATCCTCTTCATTCTGCAACCGTAGAAGCGCTAATTAATGGGTATTATATCTCGCAAAGCGACGCACCGTCCATTTTCTCTGGATAGCGGTTCTATTCGGATGACTCAATTGCGTCGCGAGTCTAGTGTGATCCAGCGATGGACAATGTACGACTGCGGAATCGATACCAGCAGCATGCTAAGTAGTCGTGCAGCACGGCCACCTTGGAAAGGGCGAGGTATGCCATTCATTTGTTCCTGGCTTTCTGCTCCAACTTCGGCATACACGCTAACCAGAAGACCTTTCATTCCTTGTTCTTTCTCTTAGGTAGGGTTGTATCTTTCGTTCTTTTCTTGTTGGTAGCAAAAGCCTCGTGGAGGGCCGGGTTTTGACGCTGGCTTTGACTATCTCCACATTTGCACGCTTCTTTGTTTCAGTGGCACGGCTTGGCATGAATGGAAATGTGGAAGACGCTCTGTGGTATATCGCCCTTGGCGAGTGGTTTCGAGGTACATCTCCTCACTGCAGCCGGTGGTTTCCCTCTGTCCAGGCTTTTCGCTTGTTGTGTAGATAGATGTGTAGCAAAATTATCGCTTCTTTTTCGGGCAGGGCGAACGATCCAATTGATGTCCATTCTTGAAAGCTCAATCGCCTGTGGCTGTTCGGCAAAGATTCCAAGGATGGGGCCTATGCACTTTGCGTAGCAATAGGCGTTCACTTTCTTTTTTCTTTCCGCCAGGTATATCGACCACAATGATAAGTTCTTGGTGTCAGTTCGATTAAACAGAACAGAACACCACTGTCGATATACCCACCCCTTAGAAATGGCACTTGCACTGGATCCCGCGATCGCTACTCGCGAGTTCGGGAGTAGCAGCCTCCTCCTATATTCGTCAATCATAATGCCATGGATATTGTCCATGTAGATTCGTAAACTTGCAATGTTGACAGGAAAACCTGAACTTGAGTGGCAGAGTTGAAGATAACGGGAAAGAATATAAGCTCCTTTAAAGATTACTCCTTAGTGCAACGACTAATTCCGCACTGGAACTTTCTTAAAATGTTCAGTAGATCGTAATCCACTTGTTTGTGCTCATAAAAGAAAAAGTCGGGGTTGTGAAGGTTCGCCTCTTTCTAGAGGGATCGTGTGTCCATATTCCCCACTTGTTATCGTTCAGCCAATGAGCAAGAGTATATAAAAGTGCGGGGTGCATGAAGAGAATAAGAGAAAGAAGAGAAGTCAGAAGGAGTAGAAGGATGATTAAATATAGTAAATGCGCGAGCATATAATAGCCTCGCATTCTAGTATTTATGTATAAAAGAAAAAGCCTGTCTAACAGGAGAAGGAAGAAGAAGAAGAAGAAGAAGAAGAATCCTTGTGCATTCAATCTGGGAAGGGCAGGGTACTTATACCCTGAATCCGACAAACAAGTGCTCAGTCTGCAAGCAAACAACGAGAGATGGGATCATCTCAACACAAGGGGGAAGTATATGATAGTTGAAGTGTTGTTGTTATAAAATACAAAATTAAATTTGAGAAAATATCTATAAATAGATATTGGCCCAGTGGCGCAGTGGTTAACGCGCCGTGCTTGTATGTACATTTACGGGAACACGGAGATCGGGGGTTCGACTCCCCCTAGGCCCTTTTTATTTTATTTATTTCTTTTTCCCTCTTTAGTAGATATCTCTCTACGAGCGGAGACGTTGTATACATAATTCATTCCAAAATAAAAGTGCAATATGGCAAAACACCCTAACCCGAGTGAGTCCCTTTACTCCGCAAAACCAAGTCGTTAAAAAAAAAAACCAAAAGAAGAATATACATGAGGCAATCATAAATCGTGAACAGCCAGGAATTCTAGAAAAGGGCAAGGAAAGCAATTGCATGAAATCCATATCAAGCGAGACATCCAATCCCAACATCTCATAGCACCTGATGCCAATCATGAAGTCTGCTGGCGTTTCCAGGGGATGTCTTTCCGAAGTAATTCTCGTAGCTCTGGAGAAATCACCTTCGGCTTGTCGGCGTCGATCGCCTTTTGAAGATTAGAAGGGCCAGCGTTGACTCCGCTGCTTGATCCAACGACAGGCTGGGGTGATTTTCCCTTGCTGCCTGAAGGTGAATCTTGGCCGGTTGCGCCTGGGCGACGCTGGTAGGCGGTTGGTGCAGCGGGGAAGTTGTCTTTCTTGTCAATGGCTTGTACGGAACGCTCAAAACGGCGGAAGAGCGACTCTGCACGGGTGAGAATGGGTACGAGATCCATTGTGTTGGAGAGTTCGTTGACTAGAGATTGCAATATTAGTAATTTGAGATGGATGTTACGTCCGGTCGTCAACATACTGTATTTTAACACTTCATCAAAGTGCTTGAGGTGATCCATGATTACATCACGGTGCTTCTCGAGTATCGCCAGTGCAATAAACAGATGGAAACTGCTGGAGAAATAATCGGTCCACAATGTCTCCCATAGACGCAGGACATCGGTCCAGTCAAACTCTCGTTTGTACCACACCAGCAGCATGCGGAAGAAGAAGAAGAAGTTGGTACTGTCGGCGGACTGCAGATGCAAGTAAAGCTGGGGGTCCATGAGCTGAACGAGGTTATCCAGCGCTAATAGCTGGCCACGCATTCCAGACTGGTCCCGCAGGAAATTATGTTCCTGTGCAGAGGCATTAGTAAGAAAATACGGGTTTTTACATTGTGGAAAACATACCATTCGATCCATGAACCCGACAAAAGCCCAGAACGCTACGGCGTCATCTTGCATCACAGCATAGATCGGCGCCAGGAGATCACTCATTCCTTGGACGTACCCGAGGTCTGGATTGAATTCATTGTATGTCAAGAGCATATCCTTCATCTGCTCCAGGTGCACATTGGTACCCGTCTCGGCAAACGGAGAATCAGGATCCGGATGGGGGATGTCTTCGCCCGCAAACAAAGGAATCGTACGGTCGGTGCGGTGAACATCCTTCTCTATATCCATGTGTTAGTGGCTACCATAACGGATCCAAAGTGTAATCTCACCTATCCGATTCTTCTGTTCTTTCCAATGATCAAACTGCTCGATCGTTGAGTTGCCCTCAACCATTCGCTCCCACCAGCCTGCTTTCAGCCGGATATACTCATCGCGCTTGGAGTTCATCATCGCTTGGCGCTCCTCGCGGCTGCTATCCCACGAGTACACACCGAGAAGGAAGAGCCAAGCCTCCTTTCTAACGCCATCATTGGGATCCAAGCCGCCGTGGAAGATCCGCTCTTTGACTTCCTCCGTCGTTAGTTGGAGTCTACCCGAGGTCGGGTCGAAGAAGCCCTCCCATTCTTTCAGTTGGAGAACACGGCGTCGCTCCTGGATAGCCAGGTTCCCAGTCTCCAGCTCTAAGATCTCAAAGTCGCCAACCGAGCTATTCTCCATTTCCAGCATGTCCTGCGCAGTCCATATACGCTGATTTCGCTCTTTATCGCTCTGCTCGGCAACACTCATCGCCCAACGAGCCAGATAGACTCTGGCGCTGTCGAACTCATCTTGCAACGTCTGGATTTCTGGGTTTTTCATTAAACGGCGCATCTGAGGCGGTATGCGAGGATTTTCTGCGAACTCATTGGCAGTTCGACGGGTAAAGGTGGTGATTTTGCTGAGCTGCTCCAGCACTTTCCACCGTGTCTCCTTGAGCGTCTTCATGAATGGATCCATGGTGGCATCAGGCGGTTCGGCTCGGGATCCAGCGGCGGCTTCGGGTTGTGCCTTTGCTAATATAGATTTATCGCTATAGCTCAACGGTCGGCCGAAGGACAGCTGGTCCTCATCCGACGGGTTGATGAGGTACACATTGCTATCCACCGCAGAGCGTTGCACCTCCGCATACCTCCGCAACCAGCGCAGGACTTCATCGCCGCCCCAAAATAGACCGCCTTCAGTGCCAAATGGATCGAAGTTTTCCTTGACCCTCTTCCTCTTTTGTAGGATGGTTGACTCGCATTCGTCGTCATGGAAGAATAGCGCGGGGGAAGCCATCGCCCGCTCGGGTATTGATCACTAAACTACCAAACCACCATCCCAGGCTCGGCGGCCGTACTAGTAGGGAGTATATCTGTGATAGCGGAATTGCAAAAGCATACAACCCCACGGGGTCTTTGTAGGTTGTGGTGGTCGGAAGCGGCGGAACGAGGTACTTCTGACGCGGTGGGGAGTCACCTTCCGAGAGGTCTACTTTCACATATGTATCATAGGCTTCTCCAAGGGAGGCCTCTGGGACCCATGCAAGGAGATAGGAGGGTGTATCGGGGGTTTTGGATTGCGACGCGGATGCATGTGATGCGGGGACCGGTTTTTGCTGGACGAGGGCGATAAAGCCAGGGATATTATCTTTGGAGGAGGAAGTTGGATGAACATAGACCTGGATTTCTTGTTAGCCTGGTATTCCTCTCTGATGGAAATTTGTCTCACTTTGCTTTTGGAAAAGAGCAGCTTAACCCCTCTGCTCGAGGCAGCCTGGGATATGGTGTTATATTCATCTTCTTCGTCGTCACTCATGGCGTAACAAGATGCTGGAGGTGATGGTGTAGGAGGAGGAGTATATTTTACTGGGGCCATGATAGAAATTTAGAACCTTTTGAAGTGCTTGGAAGTTCCAACCTTTCAAGTTGGAAAGTTGAAGGTTGGAAGTTGGGAAGTTGGAGACGACGTAATTGCCCGATAAGATACGATTACGGGACTATCTCCACCACCTAAGCAGATGATCCTTCTTTCACTTTTCTCTTTCTTTTGGATTTCTGGATCTTTGGGGTCTTTATTGAGATGATTGATCTTCTTGAATTGCAGGTATTGAAGACATATTCCTTTTTTTTAATTTTAATTTTAATTTTTGCTCTTTCGCCTCCATCTCGGATCCTCCAGGCAGCCAAATTCATAGTCAACCTTGGACGTGTGTACAACAAAGGTAGAGAGATATAGCACCCACTTGTTTTTCCGACATCGGTCAGCTAACTATGGCTTCAAGGGCACACTTACTGATGCCTTAATAGGTGCGATAGGAACCCCCAACCTCAGCGAGTCGAAATCTTGTAAATCATTTCCTCCGTCATTTCAAACACCACAAGGGAGCCGGGTGAACGTTATCCATATTACATGGCAATTCGAGACAAAGCGTACTGCATGGTTCGCAAGTGGAAAGCACTCGGGCTTTCTCGATCTAGTTTTCCTCTTTACTAGATATGGTCAATTCTTAGATAAAAATATACGGCAAGGTTTCTAACTATATCAGGTCTATGGCTCAGGTGAAGAGAACGAAACAAGGCGTGAAGCAGTAAAGAAGATGCTTTCTTTGTAACGTTATATTGCCTCTATCTTATATTATGGACGGATGAATGCTTACAACTCGGATATCTGACACCTGTTGCATGTCGTAACCATGATCCAAGAGAGCCTAAGTAACAAAAATGCAGGGCATATACGCTGAGCAAATAGGACTAGTTATTATTATTTTATACAGTTAGAAATTGAGGTTCCGGTGGCAACCTTCTAATATACACCCCCGAGACATTCCACGAAAACCCCTCAACTCCCCTCAAGTTCAGATAGAGCAATTGATAAAACAGACTGAATACTCCGCTAGAGACCATTAAGACATATCAGATAGCTCTGTCTAGGAATCCGGCGCGCCTATAACACGATGTTGAGTATGAGTGCTTGAGTGCTTAAGTACCCCGCTGCCCATATAGGCAGCGCTGGCTGCAACCAATAGAAACCATAGAAACCATCTTACTCTCCCCTGAGTTATCAGCGTAAAATCAATCTCCCGCGATTTCTGAATATCAGCTCCGTAGCCCTCATCATGCAATCATTTAAACATATAACCCATGTCCTTCATAGCAGCCATGAACAAAGAGCAAATCGGATGGAAAGCCATAGGCAGATTTGATGAGCAATCTATGGATTTAGATTACTACTGAGAGTGGGAGAAAGAAGAAGAAGAATTGTTAATTGGTAAAACTAGAAATGCAGGGGGTTATATACCCTGCAGAAACCATCTAAATATTGCTCAATTGTAGCAAACAACAAATAGCAAACAAAAGCAAAAGGCTCAGTCTGTAGCAAACATGCATGCATGCATGGGAGATTGTTCAACAAGATTATATAAAATGTGGGCTCCAGGGAGGGTTATCAAGTTGCTTACCCAGTGAGAAAATCACCTCCAGAGCTGGGCAACATAATAAGTACTTAATACTGCTGCGTGCTCACCTTTGTGGCAAGAGGTGAACACTAAAACGGAAAGGGAAAGCCATCACGCATGGCCAGAAGGCTGACATGTAGGTAATTCACCTAAATTACCATTACAGCAAATGATTGGAACAAATATTCCTATCACATTGTCGTAAACATTTCAATCGTCATTTCTAGTTCTCTCAATGTCATCCGTCCTCTGAAGTTCGTCCAAGCACAGACAAGCTAGAAATGCCTACTTAGGTATATCCATTTTCGCCCCTCGTAGACCCCCCCATTGGCGTCGTTATTTCTTGACTCGGCTCATGAAAGTCCAAAGACCCTGAAGATCTTGGGCCAATCTCTGGGGCCTTTACACGCCTAGAACATCTTAGATCTGTGCGTCACCCGTGTGATCAAGCGTGACACCACCAACGGGACTCGATAACCCATTTGGGAAACCATATACCGAACACCCCCAGCACACTCAAGGTTGGACAACCTTATTGCCACACACATGTCTATCAGGTGAGTTCGAGAGTCTCTCTATTAGCACAAAAGAAAATTTGTGGTGATATAAAAATCAGACTACTTCGCTGTCGTTATCGCTGTTCACAATTTCAATAGTGTTTATTTGATACTTGAATTTACTCATTAATTTCATCGACATCATGGCGGAACTCACTCGCACTTTGCCGGCCTCCTGGTACTGCAGTAAGTCGCTGTATCAGATGGAGCGACGGGCGGTCTTTCTCAAAGTATGTAGCGCAGTCTGCTGGCAGTTGAAGGAGACTAAAAACATGCTCCAGTCTTGGTACTTGCTCGGCCCCGTCACTAGATTCCAGGTTGTGGGCGAACATGTTCCGTACGAAGTTGCGCAGCAGCCTATCTCTGCTGTTCGTACCTCGGGAGAGGCTCTGAACCCCGTCGCCGAAGAGCTAAAGGTTATCTGCGTGAAAACGGTAAGTGTGAGCCAGGTGAAATGACATGTGCCTTCTAACAATCTTTCTATTTACAGGGCAAAGAACTACGCAGCCACCTCACCCCAACTGGACTTCTCTTCTCAACTATCTCCGATGATGCTCCCGGTTTCCATGAATTCTTCCCAGAGCTTGAGGAGCTGCTCGGCAAAGTCGACTTCACTAAGCTGCCGCATCGTCGTAGCATCAGCTACGAAGGCCGGTTCAACTGGAAGACCATGTACTATTATCTCTTATCCTGCCATATTGTGTTAGTATTAACTTTCGTCAGGGTCGACGGATATCAAGAGTGTCTACACTGCCAATACACCCACCCATCCTTTTCCAAATACTACCCGCCGACCTTCTACACCGTGCGCAACAAGCACAACTTTTCACAGCATATCGCCGACCCGAACAAGTCAGATGATGGTCTCTTCCTATATTTCTTTCCCAACTGCACGCTGAATGTCTATGGCGGTGGTATGTCCTCCTTCAGGGTATGTCCGACCGCTGACCCCCATGTTACCCGGATGGAATTCGATTACTTCCATCTTGAATCTGGAGACAAGTTCGAAGAATACTTCAAATTTGTGCGTCAGGTCGCTATGGAAGATTTCGAACTCTGCGAGAAGGCTCAGAGCAACCTATCCAAGGGAGTCTATCATGAGGGAATTCTGAACCCAAACAAGGAGAATGGCGTGTCTTGTGAGTTGTGGCTTTCAAAGTTTGTTTATGCAATAATGCTAATACGTATGTCTCCTTCAGACTATCAGAGACGAGTATTTGATATGGTCTGCGAGCAGCATGAGTTTGACAGGACCGCCAAGACAGCGAAGGAATCTGGACTGGAGGAGCATGTTGTGTCCTCCATAGTTCAAATGGCAGCGTAGTATTTATTCATGGGAAGATAGTGATCGCTTTTCTGATATGAGATATGATTGTTAATACAATTATAATATTAATAATATTAACGCCTTGCACAGTATATTACAGTACTCGCTATATGATAAAGGTAATTCCAACCATCTAAAAACAGAAGTGACAGGTCATCCGATTGATACCAGGAAATTCCAACCCAATCGGGTAATATAGGGAGACATCTGTGCTAAACGTGGAGAGTATAATGTGGAGGGGTGACATATATGCTTCTCAGACAACCTTGAAAGTATATCAGTGGCATATGCCAACCAATTTTCTATTATCCAAAATAAAGTACCATTTTATTTCCCATGGAGTCTACCGATGCAGATTATTTAGCCTCTCCAGCCTCTATCCTTGTGGCCTTCGTGACAATCATCTTTCTACTCCACCGAGCATGGTCTCATTTATCTCAAACTAAACCCGATAAAATTACTAATTCTATTTCAACCACCTCTTTAAACAACTCAGACCTGACGGTGTCCAAAGAACCCGAAATCCCAGAAGGATGGTGGAGCGGTCGGGAAGTCTTCGAGCTCGAACGGCGCGCGCTCTTCAGCCAAGTAATAGAAATGCGAGAATGATATATCGCTTGGCGGAATCGCTAACATACAGCTCTAGACATGGCTATATCTTGCCCACAGCTCCCAGTTTAAAAAGCCCGGCTCGTATCAGTCTTTCGATATTTCCGGTTTTCCAGTCTTTCTCATTCGAGGTAAAGACGACAAGATCCGCGCATTTCATAATGTCTGTCGTCATCGCGCCTATACTATTACCAGAAAGGAAACTGGTGCCTCGACTGTTCTTGGTTGTCGGTATCATGGCTGGAGTTATGATACCACTGGGCGACTTGTGAAGGCTCCTCAGTTTGATGACGTTCCCGGGTTTGATAAGTCGCGGAATAGTCTATTTGAGGTTCATACACATACCACCGATCAAGGGATGGTTTTTGTAAATCTCAATTCTGGGGAGCCGGCTGCATTTGACAGTGAGATGACTTCGAGTTTGAGTGGATTTGCGCGTATAGCTGGTCTGGAAGCGAAATCCGCCTGGCTTACAGGTCAGACTTTGTCGGGGGACTTCAACTGGAAGGTTTGTGGTGAGTCACTAATGTCAAGGAGAGCTGGGGACAATGGCTGACACTTCAATAGCACGGACTCGTCACCTCGATGTCTATACCAGCGAGCTACATCGCAGAATGCCTGAAGTATCGGCGCCCTCTCCCGTCATGAAGTTTATCAGGTCTATTACGCAGAAGAGCACCCGGGAAGAGTGTTCCTTCTTTCCTATTACAGTTATTCATTCGTTTCAAGAAGCGGGTTTATGTCTTGCCCTTTCTTTCTTTCCCGCCTCAGAGTCAAAGACACATATTCGCTACGACGTCTTCGCCCATTCTACTGTCAATGAACCAGACATTCGGAAAATATCCGAAGTATTACAGAGTGCAGCGAAGAACTTGATTGTAGAGATTGAGCTTGAATATCAATCTATCTCGGCCAAACAAAGGTGAGTACTGCTATATATTACGTCCGAGAAGACCTGACCGATAATCCTTTAACTAGATCTTCTAGCGAGTTAAATAACACAGGTATGGTCATTAAACGTCATATTTCTTTTTCTATTGCCTAATCCAATTCATCAGACACTCGTCAAATCTTGAGTCGACTCCAGGAGCACACAAAGCTCGAACGGATCAAAAGGGAGCAAATCCTTCCAGCCATGCACAAGCCAGAAGGAAGCACTCTATTCCAAAAAGCTGACCAATGTAAGTGCTTTGATTTCCAGTTAGGCATTGCTATCCTACTAATTTACAGTAGTGTGCAGAGAGCTAGACTGTGTCAGCAGTGGGTCGCAGAACGGTACTTCAAGTGCACTTGACTGGTAGATTTGACCAAATCTCATCTTTGTTTTTGGTCAGCCCGTGCAGCTAGTTTGATAATTTGGGACTTATTAACTGGGGTAAGAGATGTTAATCAACATACAATGATCTGTTTCATGAATATGACACGGAAATAAACCATTCATAAAATTCTAAATAGTATGAACATACAAACCCAGCAAATGTCGGCACGAATCGAATCGGAAAATCAAAAGCAAACATCAGAAGTGAACATTAACCGACAAAAGGCCATCAGGCATAAGAAATAAAAAAACCTTATGTAGGAAGCGCACCTCCATGCTTCATACACAAGCAACGCCAACCCCTCAACCAAGACATAACCTTTCAGCCTCGGCGATTCGATCCCCCCTACGCACAGACTTAGTGACCATAGTGCTAGGATCCCTGATAGGACCAAGAGTCTGTCTCCCCCACTGCGAGCAGTAACACGTGCCGGTCTATTCCTCCTAATACGCTCCGCGCGAACAGCAGCCGGCACAGTGCCATCATCATACATTAGCGGTACCTCATGTCGGGAAAGCGTGCGTGTTTGAGGGCTTCTGGGGTAAACTGCGCTATCTCTAGTGCGCGAGCCATCCCGCGAGCTGCTCCGAAGCATCCGCGTGCCTGTTCCAATACTGTGCATGAGGCCAAGCATATCATTATCTTGTACGAACGCCTTCAGCGCTAGATGCCATTCGCTGCCAGGCCAGTAATTGGACAGACGACGGACTAGCGCTTGCATCTTGCGCATCGCGAGGAGCTCCATTACATTCTGTGTGGGTTCTGTGATTCGGCGGTCGGCGAGCTTGCGCTTGTGCGATGCTAGTCCTTCGGCGATCTCGGTGCCGAAAATCTTACCGTATTCATTATCGAAGAGCGACTCTGGGAGATGGGAGAGGATGATGGAGAATATCTCGCCGCTGTGAAGGTACGAGCTTCGAGCCGCGCAGATCAAGGCGTACCCTTGTGGGCCTCCGTCTAGTCTCGGCTGCATTGGATCGGATTTCTGGCACAGCCAGTCGATGGCGGCTGGCTCGTCGAAGCATGCGGCGTACATTAACGGGTTCATGTTTTCTGAGTTTCGGACCTCTGCTGTGAGCATGGAGAATTTATCGAGCCAGTCCATAAAATCGGCTCCGGCGGGATTGAAGGCTGCTGCGATGTGCCAGGAGGATTCTAGTTGTCCGCCGAGCTCGTGGAACTGGTGCTCAACGTTGCCGATGTTGATTCCGTGTTGGTATAATGCTTCAGCTACGGCGACGGGTGCGACAGCGCAGAACTCGTGCATCGCTGCTTCGTGGAAGATTGTGCGAAGTTCCTCGATCGGCACAAGCTGTGCCTGACGTAACCTGTTCAGGGCAACTACGAACTGGGGAAATGCACCCACGCCGACGAGTGAAAGAAGAATGTGGTTTTCGCGGGTTTCTCTGATATCTCTGGGTTTGATCAGATGTTGAGGATCCGCATTGCTGACAATGTAGGTGAGCAAATCCATATTGGGACCATTCAGTCCTGCCTCAAGCCAGCTTCTTCCCGATAGATCATAGCCATTGGGCGTGACAATCCCATATTGAACCAGGAACTCTAAGCAGGAAGAGCATTGAACTGCGGCATTGTATGCAGGATGGGTCTTGAATGGATGGTTGTCCGTTTCTCTTGGGAATGTAGTGCAATCCGACAAATGGCCCATTGCATCTTCGTAATTTGTGTATGATAGGATCAATTCCTTCCATTTATCAACGGTACCAGGGCGCTTTAGCCATTTTTCCACGCCCGCTTTGAGAGGTCCATTGTGTCTTACGAGTCCATGCATAGCGTGGATCTTCTTTTCCTCCATATATCGCACTCCCACTGAGAAACCAACCATCCTGTCGAATATGATCTCGAGTGCCTTCTGAGGGAGCTGGACAAGAGGCAACTTGGTGGCCCATTGGATTTGCTGGGCTGCTGTTTTCTTGTCGACTTTGCTAGGCCAGGCAACCTGAAGCACACCACCTTTGACGTTTCCACTTTGCAATCGGTCGAAAATGACTCCCCAAACTGCTGGACCCCAAGATTCCAGAATTCCTTCATCAAAGCCCGCCATGAGGAATAAATTTGGGAGGGTTTATTGTGAGACTTTTTGAGATTCGTGAGAATCTATCGAGCTGTTGACATAAAGCTAGTTTATATCTTCACCTCTCCAACCCCCCACGAACGTCGGTATGTGACAGTTCTCTCTACATTTTTCTTTGATGGAAAGAACCAAAGAAGATAAATATAGATTCTTTTGCAGTTATTGGACAAGAAGTAATATGAATTCCTCCTAAAAGGGTAGACGAGGACGATTCTAGAGCACAAATAAACAAAGAGGTGAAGAACTAAACTTTTTTTTTCTGTGGTGATAGAGGATCATAAGCTCATATTTACATATTCAAGGTGGAATATTGAGCTCAGCTCGTAGTCTACAGTGAGCCCTGTGCATTAATTCTAAATACCGAACGGAGAATGGGGATCACTAACCTTCATTTCTGTGGCATCAAGTCAATATTAGTAAGTCGAAGTTTTACTGTTTAACTACATAATTCAAGAGTAATGCAAGCCCAATAACACATTGCTCATTCATCAAAGAGAGTCGAGGACTCGACGAAACGTGGGAAACGTGGCTTTGATCGGGTTTCGTCTTGAGAACAAAGAGCTTCTTTCACAGTCTAGGACCGACGTTGGAATATTTTGTGGCTTCTAGGTAGAGATAGGAATTGAAGCGAAATGTTTTCTGGTTCTTATAGGGGGAAGTCTACCTAATAGTCAAGCTAAACTCCAATCTCCAGGCTTAGATTTACTTGCTAGGGCATTGCAATGTGTATAACTAACTATACCAGATAGACCTAGATACACAATCGCATAAAGCAAGACGAAGATCGGTATGGAATTTGAAAGGAATTTGCCCGACTCCAGTTTTGACAAAGAAAGAAAATCGTGTAAGAAATAGGAGGCCATTTACCTAAAGCTAGGATAGCTTACCCTTACGAATGTAAAATCAATCGGAATTTCCTATCAATAGTATTAAGCTCTATAGCACACCCAGATTCTGGAGGATTAGAGTACATCTCTGCTTCAACTAGCTAAGCATACATGTATCCATTGGTCCATCAATACTACTCACTACACACCGATCCAAATCCAAATCAACCGTCGCCGGCATCAATCTTGGCCTCAGCCTCAATATCAGCCAGTTTAGTCCCAGCAGCAATCTCATCATACCAAACACACCTAGTTCCCTGAGATCCCTTCATCTCCTTATCGTCATGCCAACCATTCGCATAAAGACCAGCCCGGAACTGGAAAGCCGCATCACCGTCAATGGTAGTAATGAGATCCTTCTCATCCAAAACCTTCTCCCCATCATACCAAACTCTGAAGTACCCCGTCTCATCCGACTCCCACTTCGCCTCAATCTCGACTCTATGCCATTCACCCGCAGTGACAGTGGCTAGATTGTTGAAACCCTTGACGTTCTGCTTGCAGACCGAACCCTGCTTGACACGCGTGTAGAGCTTGTTGCCCTTGAGCGCGACCATGGTCGTCGGCATCCAGTCGTCGCACCCGCTGTCTGTAAAGTCGCCGATGAATTGTGCGATGCCGTAGGATTGCACGGGGGAAAATTGCCAGCCATCTTGCAGTCGAAAGGAGAACCCGTATGCGCCTGTGTCGCCGCGCTTGTAAATGTCGTTCTTCACCACCTCCGAATGGTACCGGCCGGAGTAGCTTTTGTCGTAGATTTGGGTCATTTTGAGTGCGGTTTTGCCCTCATACACCTCGTCTGTCACTTGCTTCACAGTGCCCTTGTGTTCTTGATTTATTTTGTTCCAGCCGGAGGTTGTGCCGGAGTTTTTGAAGATTATGCTCGCCTGGGCAGTCAAGCTGAGCGCTAGCAATGCTGCGACCGAGGGGAGTTTGCCAAACATGATAGGGGCAGGGGAGTAGAGTTGGCGGTTGTATCTTTCAACTAGTTACTTTCTCGTGGGTTTCGCGGCTTTATACGTACAAATCCGAACTTCCCTTAAGGGAAGTTGAAGAGTGCCGAGTTTCCCATTAGTTTGACTAATGTTCTACCATTAACTCTTCAAGAATCTAGAGGATTTACTCAAAACGGAAGTAATGCTAAGGCTCTAAAACTGGCGATCAATGCCGTATTCTCTGCAACAATGCTCCTGGTAATCCACTACGGATAATATGGTGAGTGTCATTGGCTGGCATTGACATGCAATTTCGAGGATATAATATAGTTAACTATAATCCCTACCTATGTACTATGTTGTACTTGATTTCCTCTGCCACTTCTTGGCTTTCCCTTTCCGCTTTAGTGCACTCAGGCCTTGCCGGCTTTTGCTCACTGAGTACAACTGAGCACGCCCCTGAGCTAAGCCTTTACTCTCTCTCCACTACGGAGTATGCCGTGACTCGTTCCAACATATCAGCCGGCGACAGTGTGATCTCGCTCGCTGACCTTGTTCGCTGTCATAGCGAGCTTTTGGTGAAACCATTATTCTGGGCCTCCCGCCATTTGGAATTGATGGGATGCCGATTTCAACATGTTTACAATGCCCCCTTGATGGAGCACACTCACGATGACCAGCGGCCCTTTGAGAGGCAATCCAATGAATGGGAGGCTGAAGCGTAGTCACTTGCCAAGAGCTTTTCGCTCGAAGGGAAATTAAACGCTCTCACAAACATTTTACTGTCGAGGGGAAGCCATTTGGACAAACGTAGGTGAGATATAACTCAGTGCCCGCGAGTGGCTTCTATTATTTACCGCTAAAATGTTACGGGAATAGCAAAGGGCCTTCTTTCATTTTTGCGGGTCGCCCTGTTCATCGACCTCACTATTCGCTAACGGTGGGGAGAAATATGAGAGGAGTAACATGTGGAATTCACTCGAACCGACTAGTTGAGTAGTTGGTCTTTTGGTGCTAAGTATTCTCCTTCCAAATTGGGCCAATGGTCTATAGTTGCAGAGTGCAGAGTCAAGTAGATACCCACAGCGGACTCTAGCCAAGCTTAGCTATGGACATTTCGGTTCCCACAATTATTCGGGCATTAAAAGAGGGGATATATCCACATGATGCTGCGAAAAACTTCAAGAAAGGCATACTAGCTATGCAGTATGCACGAGGGCTTTTTAGTTAGGCAAGAGAGGCATGCACTAGATGAGACTTCCCTTTTGATTATGTTAGCAAACAATACTAGCTGATGGAATTATCTGTAAAAAAAAAGCAATACGAAATACTAAGACTATCAATAGGTCTAGGGTATACAAATGTACCAGTACAAGTCTATCTTATTCACCTGGACACAGTCATAGTTGGGGGCTGGAATGCACCGGGCAATGGGGCGGAAAATGTAGTGATCAACACGACAATAAGAATAACATTCACTACGCCTTTCCGAGTACGAGAGAACAAGAAGTTGGATGCAACTATAACTATAACTATAAAACCAGTCAGTTCAGTAAGTATTAGAGAATCTTCCTCAAACATGAACACATTTACTCCGTAATTTACTCCATATCTAACGACTTACTCAACCGGGAATTTGGAGGGTGATCTTTTGGCCCCGGGGGATCGATATTTAGCTGCAGCACACTAATCAAATAATCGACAAAATAATCAATTCTGGTCTGATTATTTGTCGAGATCATTTTGAGAAACACCATACTGCTTACAGAACCTTGAAGGGCCATCGCTGATTTCGGGGGGCCTAAAAGGACAGTATCAATCGGTCTGTGCTATGTTGTGCGGTATTAGACCTACCTAAATTAGTTCCCATTCCGAACATCTCTCCTATTTCATCTTTGCGAACCCCTATACTTGCAAGAGAAGACAAAAAAATAGTTGGTGGGTTCGTTGGTCTTTGTTCTATGCAGCCACAGCCGGTACGAACTATTTTCAACAAAGAAACCAACATACCTCGCCTCCCCGAGTCTGCTTTCGCCGAGATTCCAGTTCATAGTATGTTCTAGCGCAACTACCATGTGATTGGGGCCTTTGAGCAACATCCTGACCTGCCAACAAAGAACAAGGACAGCCTAAACCGGTCAACACAATGCCCGACCTATAGAAATTCGGAATAAGAGTTGAGATATGAGTTATTGGCTACTACCATCGCCTTCTAGGCCTCGTGGTTCTTCAAACCAGAAGACCAAGGCTTTGCAGAAGAAACTAGTTTTTCGACCTCCGTCACTAAAGCTAAGGAAACCCTTCAATCTGGATATCAAAGTCGCAGCTCTCCGAGGCACTGTTTCAGGTCAATCGAGTCCCACAGTCAATAAAGACATGCAGACAATGCCAGCACAGGTCGCGGACATCACTCATGGCCCGTCTGGATCGGCCCCAGGGACCCCTGCTAAACGCATGGCAACCAACACTAAAAATACTCAAAGCCAATCACACCACCTTGGTCTCAAAGAAGAGGATATTAATGTCGGGGACGCCGGGGACACTCGGTCTGCCTCCCCGCGGAAATCTCTGGACACTATGATTGACTTGGAATCACCCCAGGATTCTGAAGCTGATCCTGAAATTTCTCCATTGTCAGACTATCTCCATCCATTACGTTCGGCTTCCCGCCTGGCCCGCTTCTTCCCAGAGCTATCCTCGCACTTCGCCGTTGTCTCCCCGGTCAGTGCTGGTTCCAAAATGGACCGCTCGACGGGACCCTCTTTTTTCGAACGAGAGCTAGAAGAACGCGTGCAGACCTTATATCGCAGCTCTGCAGATGTTGCCCCCGATGCACATGGGGCTTTCGATAAACCGCAGATCACCCTCTCGTCTTTTGGATCTGATGAGACTTTAGATTGTGCTTCATCATGCTACAGTCGTCGCACTTCGGTGACCAGCGTGGGGAGTACGTTCTGGGGAGATGATGGACGACATCCCTACAAAACGGCAGATGCATACTCAATCTATTCCCCCGTCGCCGCCGGCGTCTTCGACGATGCCAGTCCCATCTGTTCCTCGCGGCCTTCCTCAATGGTTGTGCCCTGCCGCCTACACGTGTCAAAACTCACCTGCCCAATCCCCGTCACTAAAAAGGCATCGATGAACGATCTCAAGAACAAGCCATTACCACTAGAGCCATCCTTCGGTCCTAGTTCAGCTCCAAGTCACCACGATGACTCCCCCTTTCGGCAGTTTCACTGCACCTCAGACCAAAGTGGTCAACACAATACTCGAAGAGAGACTCACTGATCTCATTGCAACACTCCGCCACAATGAGCCACGAGGACTGGAAGCATTCCATCTTACACCAGTTGAACAGCCACCGAGATCCCAAACATCCGTGCCAAACATGCGTAAACAGTCAGCGTCAGCCGCAGCATCAGGGTCGACAACGGTCAGATCTAGTGGTCGCTGGTCATCGAAATCGTCATGTCCCAACGTTGTCGCAGGCCGCCGAGGAACTTGAAGATGTCCTGGGGGGCCTGGATGATCAAGATTTGTCTCACAAAACGCGATCGATCCCCGATGGGCCGTTGCAGATCAGCCGCCATAACGGGGACCTGATTGCTACCCGGCCCGCGCCCCTCCCCCCTTCCACCAAGCCTCACTCACAAACTCCGCAAGGGAAGTCCACGCTGAAGAACAGTCGGGTCAGCACAGTCAAATCAATAGGCTCAAGTCCAATCAAAGAAAAAGGTCGCAAAATCAGTAAAAGAGAGGCTAAAGACAAGCGATCGGGCAGGGGTAGGGAGAAGGGGATGGATGAAAAGGCCGATGCCAAAAATACTTCAACATCCAAAGAAACCATCAAAAAGGCAAAATCCAAGAAATCCTTCCTGGCTTTTCGCAAGCAAAGCCCAGCGCCGCGCGATGGAGTTAGTGTCAGCTACCGATCGGAGGAGTCCCTCAACATGACATTAGAAGCGCCTTCTTCCGATCCCCTCGATCTGCCCCCCACGCGCAACAGCCTGTTGCTTCAATTACCTCGTCTACAAACCAATGATATCCTGGATCCCTTCGACCACGTTGTGGAACAAGCAATGCTATCGGGTAAGCCCGACCCGGCCGCCATGGAGGGCGTGAAACTAGAGGAGAAGCCCATAGCCTCCAAAATCCGTCAGAGCTGGGCTTTGGTCTCGACTGCCCAGGCGAGCAGCGTCCAACTCACCGAACACATCTATGAGCTGCCCGCTACTTCCCCGTCACCTTTATCTACATTCCCTCCTAAGGTCGAGCGCAATTTCCCAGTCAATATCCCTCTCCCGGAAGATATGCCGGTGGATTTGATCCTATCAATCATGCAGAACATCGACTCTCTAGATGACCTTTTCAACTTCGCCCTCGTCAACAAAAAGATCTACATCGCATTCAAAGGTCGCGAGTTGCCCATGCTGAAAAATGCCCTGTTCAAAATGTCCCCGCCCGCTTGGGAAATGCGCGAGATGAGCCCGCCATGGGAAATGGAGTGGCAGCTCCTTATAGATCCCGACTCCCAGGTTCCGGAATACACGCCCACGCTGTATCTACAAAGGTACGCACAGGATATCTACACCCTTGCCAAGCTGAAGGCATTGGTTCTTGCGCGGTGCGCTCCGTTCCTCCGTCGTGATACTATTCGTGGTCTGGCGGGCGTGGATAGTACCCGCGCTGAAGAAGTCGACGATGCGTTCTGGCGGCTCTGGACCTTCTGTCGGATTTTTGGTAGTGGGAAGGGGCGGGAGAATGATATCACTGGTCAAATGGACTGGTTAAAGGGTGGTGTTCAAGCGAAGAATCATTTCACCTTGGCTTCGATGATGACACAGCCTTTCGGTATGAATAACGTTTTGTTTGAACCGCCCGAGGGATTCGGTCGTGGGAATCTCTCCGGTTTGTCTCAGAAGCAGATGTATGATCTGACGGAGATCTGGACGTGTATGGGGGTTCTGTTGCAACCGTTGCATGGAAAGTGCATTGAAGCTCGCAAGGTCGGTATTTTCGATGGCATGAACGTCCCAGATGGTGATCTAGCTCGCGAAGAGACTGTTCTCGGTAAGTGAAAGCAACAATCCTGTCTATTTGATCACAACTAACTCAGAAATACAGAGGAGTGGACTTCATACATTCTCACGCTCGGTCTAGGCGCAGTCTTAACACTCAGCTCAGTCTGTCCAGCCGACACTACCGCCGCCACATTCAGTAAGGCCAACTCAATCGGTCTTACCAAATGGGAAGCAACCGAAACCGAAGCAAGTCGATCATCATTCCTAAAAGAAGCAGTCTCCCGCGCCTACGATCTCCAAGATCGTGCCCTTGACAGCCCAACCGAAATCAGCCCGCAAAAGACAAGCCCTACAGAAAATGACCGCGAGATCCGTGAGCGCCAAGCCGGATTCGCCCACGAGCTCCGTCGTCGCCGTGAGCGCGGTCCCGATCCAGATCTCCAAGGCCGGTTTTCATTCTCTGCCGAACGCCCCATGTCCGAGTTCAGCACTATTGTCCATAATCTCAACACTTCGCTTCGAGATCACCGGCCCATTCCATCTGTGCCTGCGCTCGTTCTTAACAGGTCCTCGACCTCGACTGCTGAGACAGCTCCTCAGACCCCAATCCATCCCTTCGATCCTGCCAGTGTCTTTGCTTCGTCGCATACTCCACCGCCGGCTATGGTGCCTCTGCCTCTGCGGACGCAGGTTCTAGACCCTGTTGACCGTGCCATTGACATGATGGTTAATGAGCTTGGCTTTAGTACCCAAGATGCTAAGTGGGCTCTTAAGATTACAGATACTGGTGAAGGGATTGATACTACTGCTGCTGTGCAGTTGCTTCAGCGTCAGCGGAAGAAGAATGAACACAATCCCTTTGGTCAAGGTGATACCCTGCTGTCTGATTTTATTAAGTGTCAAAAGTCACAGGAATTAGGCTGGCGTTGGGCTTGATGGTGTTTTCATTATTTTGTCTTTTTGTTATTTGGGTGCGATTTATCTGTGATTTACTGCCACGATCATTATGTGTTATATACCCTTGCTGTTTATTTTTGAATTGACTCTTCTCTGAATTTTGAATCATTTTCCTAAATCGCTCTTCGCTTTAACACTCCACGTTCTGTGTTGTGTTGTTTTATGTCTCCGTATCCAGTCTCAAATTGTGCTTATTGTTGTCTGATTCGATACCAATATCATGTTGTTAATATGTATATGAGTATATTCAGTAAATATATTATTTCTATCCAAAGAAATATCTGTTCCAAATCTAACTCACAACATACAATACCCGGTGTTGGGTTGGGCAAGGACCGGGTAGTAGCACACCTACGGGCACCCACTGCATTACCCAAATAGGAAGGTGGTATTTTTCTGTCATAAAGTGAGGTTGTTAAAATGAACTATAAGGATGTCCTTTCGCCCTTCGGGGCATACTGGTCAATTGAAAATATACAGAGAAGATTAGTACGGCCCCTGCACTAAGGATGACGTATCAAATCAAAGAGAAGCTACCTATATTTTTTTTTTTACCCGACCTTATATGAGATGATAAGGTACGGGCTTTGTACAACATAACATAGTATGTTGTATATGAGTCACGTGCCGTCGCCGTTCGTCTCTGCGCGCGTTGTGTAGTTTTTTTGGGAAAGCTATGTTGTATATTATCCCTGGGTTTGATAGAAACCAACACATCACAATATGTATACAATAGAACGTTCTATTTATAGGTTTTACTATAAAAACACGAAGAATAGAATATCAGAAGCAACAATAAGCTAAACTACAGTATAATTTGGCTGGTCGAGTGCATATGAGGCTGAATGGGAGGTGAGGATTGGACATTCTCACTCTGTTTTTATGAATAGATTAAGGCAGTTTCGCATCTCTGGAAATCCTGTGAATAGTATTCTTTTTCAGGGCCATGGCAACATCTTCACAAAAAGATCTAGTTATCAGGCTTAAGTTGAATCGAACACCCGATCTTGTCTTAGCAAAGAATGCAATAGCAACAATCTATCTTAAAGCAACGGGGCCAATGTATATATACAAATGCAAAAAAAAAAAGACAAAAAAACCAAAGAGGCTAGAACAAAAGCATAAATTCATCACATCGTCATGTCGGCACCTTTTATAGGTCCGTGTATTTTAATCAAACACCATTCGGCTCGTCGTCATCCGACTTGTCTCCATCATCGCTGTCCTCACCCCATCCCTCGGCTTCAAGTGAACGACCGCGGATGCCGAAGCTCATGATGAAGCCAATGAAGGAGACTGCACCAAAGACTCCAAATGCCAGGGCCTCTCCTTTAGGCTGGATCTTGGCTGTGAGGGAGAACAGTCCTCCAGAGAGGAAGGGGCCCACTGCACGTCCAGCTGCGGAGAGAGTCTGTGCAAGACCATTCAAAGCGCCGAGAACGGTATGATTAGGTGCCGAGTTTGTGACCTGGGGAATAAATGATTAGTTTGGATGGACTTCACAGAAAGAGAATATCGGGATTTCTTACCAGAAGCAGAGCACTGGTCAAACCACCCACGGAGGCGATGGTCTTGATCAGCAACACAAGGCAGAGTTCGATGGCCATGATGGCCGACTTGCTAGTCAGACCCTTGCCGGTCCTGCTCTTGTACCCAATGAAGGGTAGTAAGATAAACGAGATGACAAATCCAAATAGGCCCGCGCGGTAAGACCATCGATTGCCCATTTTGTCTCGCAGGCGGTTGAAGATACAGATCTGGAAAATGATCGTCACGATTCCAGCAAACCCTTGAGCAAGGCCGATCTCGGACGGGGTAAGTGACCGTCCGGCCGGGGGCTTAGCTTGCGCGAAAATTGGGAAGAGCGAGTTAAAAGAAACATTGCAGAAAGCGAAGATCAGGTATGTCAAAAGTAGTAATATTGTATCTCGAGTGAAGAGCTCATCCCAAGAGAGCTCTTCGTGGTGGCCAAGGATGCTTGATACCTCAGACGCAGAGTCTAGGTCACTGTCGTGATCCTCGGTCTCTAAATCGCGGTGGCTGTGGGGGTATGGCACTGCTTGCGGAACCTCCACATAGGTCGGGTGGCGGGCATTGCCGGTGAACTGCCACAGCCATGTGAACAGGCTGCGCACTTTTTTGCCGATCTTTGGAAGACTGTCTGCGTCTTCGAGGCTCTCTTCCAGGAGAATGGCCGTGAAAACGAAATCCACCAGAAGGATAACAGCGGACAGTATGTTTGGTGCGAGATAAGGATACGGGTTTTTGTTGCCAGTAAAAGGGTTCGTCTCAAAAATGAGGAGTCCTCCTAGGAGTGGTCCCGTTATACCTCCAATTCCGTATAGTACCGGGAGGTAGGTAAAAGCCTGAGACTGGTTGCTTCGATCGGTGATTTCTCCGAGGCAGGTGGACACCAACCCCTGGTTACCATTTACCATCCCCATCAATGCCTGCACAACTATAGCTTGTACAAGAGTCTTGCAGAAACCGAATGCAACAAAACACAGCGCAGTCAGAAATGTGCCAAGCAGGATCACCGGCTTGCGACCAACACGATCCGACAGCCAGCCCCAGAAATAGTTTGTGCTGAATTGAGCCAGTGCAAAAGCCGATGCAATGCTGCCCACGTATACGCCCACCTGTGTCGGTTCCACCTCGGGGAATGTCGATGCCATGTCCGGGAGGTATGGACTAATTGAGTTCAACGCCGTTTGCTCCGCCAGTGCAATTATCGCCAGCACTGCCATTTGCCTCTTCGGCAGCGGCGATGACGTTCCGAGTAGATCAGCTGTGTCATGGTGGGGATCGTGCGAGCCGTCCGCAGAGGATTCGGACTGGCCCGAGTTAGGTCGCCCACGCGACTTAGGCGGTGGAGTATCGAAGGTCTGGTAATGCTGCGTGGAGGAGCGGCGGTTGAGCGAAGCCCGGTCTGGACCCGTCATTCTGGTGACACACCCGCAAAGGCAAGACTGATTGAAGTTTTTTCCTAGCTAACCATGCGATTGGGGCCGTGCCGAAAGCCTGATTGTAGACGCAATGCTGTCGTGTGGGAGCTTGTTAGTACAATTGCAACCCGCGATAGTTAAATATTTCCCCGACCAATATAATGGTGGTGTGAAATCAGGTGTAAGTAAATGTTTGAGAAATAAAATGTGTGGGGAAGCTTAGGATGGTTGAAGTTGACTGCAAAAGACCCCAAGCCGGATCAAGGAACACCATGATGATGTAAGCGATGCTGCAGATCTATGCTGAGTCAGTTGTTCTAGCCCTGAAGCAGCGAGCACACATTACTTCTTTGGATTTATCTGCATAGCGCTTGTTTTGCTTATTCCTTATTGGGTTGAAGACTCATAGCCCTTGCATGTGTCGATCTTGTGCTCCTGGTGGTAGTGGACGCCGAGGCTCAACAATTATTCCAAGCCAGGTAGATCATATAGCTGGGTAACTTGATTTTCCTTCTATATCCCAGACCAAATTATTTGTGAATAAAATGAAAATAATCGCGCTATACATTGCGATACTATGGAAACCCACTGGTTCATCTATGCGCTGCAACTATGCGCTGCCTAGGTGGGCCGAGGTTATGCAGGCATCATACTGATGTGATCACTAGTACAGCAGTCTATATATATATATCACAACATCCTACAATCCATTACCACCTGAAATAACCATAGCGCCCCTTGCATTACCATAACTATACAATGGCCCTGCACGGAGTAGATTACCCACAATACTAAATGATGGTAAACCGGGTGCCAAAAAAAGGCTACTTTTGATGCCATCTCAAGGACAAGACGAAATCCAAGAACGTAGAGCAAACGGGCGAAGAGTAACTACCCGATTTGGCTCGTTTAACTGCAGGAATATTCATACATAGGTACATATGCACATAGTAGTTATATAACGTAGTTGACTAGGTATATCTTTCTTTCTTCACCAATGAGATTCACTTCCCATACCTTGGTTGACTGTTATAACTTAGCATCATCTCATTCGCCGTGACACTTATCTGCATGCTCCCGTTAAAAATATTATGCTTGTCACCGAGACTCTTCAAAAGACCAACCTAAATTTGGGCGAGACTGAGCGTGCCACAACAGTATCACCTTCCCTTCTCGACGTCGACGTCTCTAGTAAGGTCTCCGAATAATGACATCCATTTTTTAACGGCTTTCATCAGCCTTCTGACATTATCGGATCTTCAACACACTCATCTTGATTTGAGAATGAAGTATCAGAAGAAAGGTCCAAATCCAAGTCAACTTCCTTCTCAGTTATAAAGCCACAATATGGTACGTCCTCCATCAACCAGCCAAGTGGCCGAGCAGTAACTCGACCATCACATCTTCCTTGGTCTAGTGGTGATGATTTCCGCTTGTCATTAACACCGATAAGCGCGGGAGACCGGGGTTCGATTCCCCGAGGGAGAGATTTCTTTTTGCACCTCTTTGGCCCATGTTGATACATGTTTTTCAACTTCTTTTTGTTCTTCCCTTTCGAATAGCCCAAACTGTTCAAACTGATCTGATACACCCATGGTTGGTGGAGATAATGGCCTTTGAACACGACATGAAAATCCCGATGCGGACATTTAAGTGGGTCCTTGCCCTAAAACGTATGCCGCCCCATATATCAAAAACTGGATCAAATCTTTCACAGGCCGGCTGGCCCAATGGCAAGGCGCTTGACTACGAATCAAGAGATTGCAGGTTCGATCCCTGCGTCGGTCAATCTTTTTGCTTTCCTGGCTTTCTTTTTGTTCTATGCTTGGAGATAGGGTCAAAATGGTGGTTGGGTGGTAGGCAGTATGTAGAGTAGGGTGGTGGATGGTGGTGGCGGCTTTAGCTTTGGAGGGTGGTTGCTGGGTCCTACCTACTACAGGCACAAAATTCGAATCATGGGATGCAAGAGTCAGGTCAGATGTGGAATACAGGCGTAAGGTCAAGGATATCGTCCAATATAATGGCGCATGGAGGACATGCAAATAGATAGGAAGAGTAGAGTGTATGTACCATTGTAGAGGCAGAATTGAAAGAGGTCGCCAAAATTCCACTACCGGAACAGCTGTAACGACATGTGCACGTCTAGGAGACTGGGAGTCTGACAGCTATCTATGCCAGTGGTGATAGTGGACGGTTTAGGCTAAACAGATACCCGGTCAAGATTGCATATCAAGTGAAGCACATACCCACCCAATGAACGACCTCTCGAGACCATGTATGATATGAAGTTCAGTTATGTTTTGAATTGGTGCTGGCAATGGCATGTGTGGTGGATAAATGGGATATTGTATTTTAACCGGGAATCCATTATACGAGACTCTAGCTGTAAGGAACAAAGTAGCAAGCAAAGGATTCATACAATATGTACATAGCTAAAAGAATATCAAATTAGGATATCAAGTCGTCCCTACTTCATCAACAGACTAACAGCCCAGGGAACACTGAGCCCTCGCAGATCTCCATAATGTTGTCCAACGCCAAGGAACACAATGGGAATTCCCGTGGCATGGACCATACTGACCAGTGTTCCCACCATGTCACCGACAGTGTCGCATTTACTGATAATGAAGCCGTCCAAGTTCCTGCCAGTGCCAAACGCCTGGTTGAAGTTGCGGGCTTGCATCACACTGTCCGTACCGACCAGAGCCTCACCAACCATGAAAATCTTGTCTGGGTTAGCAAACTTGGCGAACTTCTCAAGCGAGGACATCAGCCGCTGGTCGTTATGCCGACGGCCGGCAGTGTCGATGAGGACAACATCAAACTTATTGGCCGCAGCGTAGTCAACTGCATCCTTGGCAACGTTGGCGGCGTCCTTGCCATAGCCCTTCTGGTAAATCTCCACATCACCTGCGTTCTCGCGGACACTCAGTTCCTTCAAGCGGTCAGCGTGCACACGGAGCTGTTCCACGGCACCGGAGCGGAAAGTATCGCATGCTGCAATAAGAACACGGTACTTGTTCTGGAGCAAAAAGTAGCAGATCTTGCTCAGGTTGGTCGATTTTCCAACACCGTTGACACCAACGATAGACATGACGTATGGGCGAGGCGCCTGTTGCTTGGTGGTGGGAGCGACCACGGCGTTGATCTCGCGCAGCAAATCCAAAGAAGAAGTCGGCGTCAGGATGTTCCGCAGCGAGGATTCCATGGCCACATGCAGTGCAGCATCAGTACTCTGGAAGTTGCCAGTCTTCTTGCCAATCATCTCACCCTTAACCCCTTCGCAGAGCCGGACAGCAGCTTCGCGGGCGACGTTCTTCTTCAAAAGGTGTTCTTCCATCGCCTTGAGAGGCTTCTCGAGATCAGATTCTGTGAGAACCTTTCCTCCAACAATATTACGGAAGAAGCCACCAATTGCGTTGAAGCCGGAGCCAACGACACCCGACGAAGCAGTGGTCTTAGACTTTTCCGCATCAGCTTGGTCCAAGATGGATTGAACTTCCTCGCCCAACTCCTTCAGCACGAATTGGCCCTTGCCAGTTCGACGACCCCAATCCTCCTCGGAGACAGCCTCCACTGCTGGAGCGGCAGCCTCTTCCTCCGCGGGGGCAGAATAATCGAGGATCTCTCCGTCATCCTCATCTGCCATCCCACTGGCATCCCATCTGCGCATCTTCTTCACTGGGGTCTTGGCAGACTTTCCCTTCCGGGCGTCATCACCAGACGATGCGTTGGCGCTCGAGTTGGCGGCCTTGCGGGAGCGTCGGGAACCACGACCTCCAGGTCCGGCTTTCGCTGTAAGAAGATGACCCTGAGGGGTCGAAGATCTAGAAATTTCTGGTGTAGCTGGTGGCGTACCCTCGTCAGAGGTCGCCCCGGCTAGCGCAGCTCTAGGCTGCGCTTTGGGATGGTCAGCATGCGCTTGAAACCGGAGGTTGTCATTCCATACCTTTCACCAGGCCAGGCACCGGTGGCGGCGGCGGGCCTCCATTGTCCGACGAAACAAGCGTGTCTTTCTTTTCACCCTTCTCTGGCACATTTTCCTCTACAAAGCTACCAGTGTTGTCTTCAAGCTCCCGAACTTGTTGTTCAAAGTATTGATCGAAGCGATAGGTCTGGATTCTCGCGCGGTTTCCCTTCACCTGGTCCTTGTAGAGATCGATAAAGATTGTCGAAATGTTCTCAAGAAGTTTGTCAATCCAGCCAAGGTGGAGTAGCGATTGGTAGACAGCCTGCATAAACTCAAGAGTTAGTCGAAGCAGTGAGGCGCATGCGCGCATGCGACCAGACGTACCACGAAGATCAAATCGAATTCCTTGACTCTCTTCCATTTCAGTGTGTATTTCTCCTTCTTGTATGCCGGCGAGACTCCACCAGCTGTCGTATTTTGAGGCACGACCTTCTCCTCGATAAAGACATCGTTAATCAGGCTGTTGATCACATGTGCGCCCACTGGAGCGTACGCCTTAGACCAGAGCACCACGCCCGAAGTCGTCAGAATTTCAAAAGCCTCCAACATTCTGAGTATCTCCGGCAATCGATCGTCAAATGTGAGAAGCAGATAATCAACGTGGGAAGGAAAAAATAGCCCGGTGTGACTTGGTGGCGGGACGGGGCGAAGTTGGGGGAGCTCGGAAGCGGATTGGATCTTCAGCCACGTATAAACACTTTCCTCCGCTATCAACCTCGCTTCTTCCCCAAATCCCCGTCACACGACCCGGACGACACGTTCGCCACCGAAGTTCCACGTTCCTTATCCTTCTATCTTCGTTTTCCTATTTAGGTGCATCATGTATCGGGGCTCTTTCGCTCCGCCGCCCGCGCAATCGCCGCCCCTTCACCACCCTGTCCCACAACATGTCTCGACCGTCCCTATGATGCGCTCACCTCCACCACCAGCTCCCCAGCAACCCCCAAGTGCTGGATATGGCGGTAATCCATATCAACCCTCACCGGCCCAGGGTGGCAGTGGAAGCTATGCCCCTGGTGCTCCTGGA